AGATATACTAAGCTTTTTAGCCTTTTTATTTATATATAAGTTATAAATAAGTATTTATTTATAGTAGTAGATTTTATAAAAAAGCATTCTTAAAAAGAAATAAAAAAGCTAGTACTAAAGTATTTAATTTATAACCTTACTAGCACTAAAACTATAGTTAGGCTACTTTATATTTAAAAAAAGAAAATATAAATTATGCCTTAATATAATAAAAGCCTCTTATTCTTTAATTTTAATATTTACTTTATATAAGGAAATAATTTAAGACTTAGGAGATAATACTAGTAAACTATAAGTATTAAAAAGTAATAATATAATTAGAATTTTCTTAATACTTATAACTTTATTAATATTAAATAGAAAGAATTTTTATAATAAAAGGAAATTTTATATATACTAATATATATTAAGTAATTATATAATAGTGTAAAGTAATTACTTATAAGAAGCAGTTCTTACTAAAAGGGAGGCAGTTATTAGTTAAATAAAAAAGGAGCCTATGCCCTCTTTTTAAAGTAGTAAGCACTTACTATATATATAGCTTCTAACTTTTAATATTAATATTTTTCTACTTTTAATACTTTTTAATACTTTTTTATATTTATTTTTATATTACCTTATATTAGTAAATATATATTTACTGCTATAAATATTAACTAATAAATAAATAGTAAATATTTTAAGTTAATACTATATTATTTACTATATATTTATACTCTACTTTACCTTAAATATATATATATTTTCTATTTATAACTACTAATATCTTATATTAAAATATATTACTTAATTTATAAATCTTCTCTCTAATAGTAAGTAATTATATTATAATACTATAAAATTAAGGCTTATTATAACCTTTAAAACTAACCTAATATAAAAGTTAAGTAATTTAATATTATTATTCCTTATAAAAAGAAAATTATAAGTTATTTTCCTTTATAATTCCTTTCTTCCTTAGTAAATATATTCTTTTAATATTAATAGCTAATATATAACACTTATCTTCTCTCTCTTAACTTTACTATTAACACTTTAAAACTATTTATCCTTTATTACTAAAGTATAAGTAAATATCTATTTTTATTAATATACACTTACTTATTAGACTTATATATTTATTATTATTAACTAGATTATATTTAGAAGCTTTTATATAAAAACCTTACTTAAGTCCTAATACTTAGGCTAATACTAGGTAAATATATAAATTATATATATACTAAAAGATAGCTAAATACTAATTATATACTCCTCTTACTTACCTTTTATTACTATAGTCCTAGTAATATCCTTAATATAGTAAAGAACTAATACTAGTATTAATTAGGTTAAAGTAACTGCTGTACTTATAAAAAAGTAATTTATAATATAAACAGGTAATTATTTACACTAGACTAATTAGCTTATATACTAAATATATAAGAGATACTTAGTAAGTTATAAATAACCTAAAGAATTTATATTTAATACACTAACTAATTATATTAGTTTATTATAGGTTCTTTTATAACTCTTTTTTATATACTATAAAAGTTAATATATATATATCTAGTTAAGTAAACTAAAGTAAAGTAAAGAAAAAAGCAGTTCTTACCTACTTCTTATATATTACTTATTTATTCTTAAAGCTAAGTATAGCCTTATATACTAATAAGTAAGTCTTTTATTATTTAGAAATTATTCTAATAGTAATATTTATACTAAACTTAAAAATACTAATATATTAAATAAGTAAATTTTACACCTAGCTTTATACTACTTAAGTAATATACTAAATATAAAAAAAGAAAACTCTTTTATAATTAAAAAGCTTTACTTAATAACCTTCTCTCTTCTTAAAAATAAATATGCCTATATAATATAACCTGCATCCTTTAATAATACTAAAACTCTAGTATTATAATATAAGTTTATGCCTTATTTTATTAAAAATGCTATTATTATATTTTTATATTATAGCTATATTATATATATTTTAAAATATATTTTTTAATATCTTTCTGTCTTTATAGTTATAGTTAACTAATTTTTATTATATTATAGTTATATTTTTATATTAGTTATATTTTAATATTCTAAAACACTAAATTTTATTATTATAATAGTTTTATAGTATTATTATTTAATACCTTAAGTAAGTACTATATAAGTATTATAGTTAATATTAATAGTAAAGCACTTTTATACTAATAGAAAATTTAATATTTATATAATACTACTTTATAATTTAATAAAACTAAATAAAATTAAATACTTAGTAAATATAAAAAGGTATAAAACTATATAGCGCATTAATAAGTTTATAATAACTATAAGCATTAAATAAAGATATAAAGTAAAAAAATATTATAGTATATAAAATAGTTATTTTTTAGTAAATAGTTATTACTTTAGCTTTATTATATTTTTATAGTCTTTAATTATTATAAAAGAGTTTTTACTTTTATAATAGCTATAATAATTATTATAGTAATATATTACTTACTATTTATATTTTAAAATAGCTATCTATTTAATTATAATATTAATAAAAATAAGTATTTATAAAAAGCTATTATAAGTTAGAAAACTATCTTAACTTAAGATATATTTTATATTAAAGCTATTTATAATTATAAAACACTTTTAAATAATAATGCTTTTATATAAAAAGTATATGCATTATTATAATAACTTTAAGACAGTGCTAATTTTTCCTTAATATAGTATATTATTTTATAATAGTATATAATAAAAAGTACTTTAAATAGAAAACTGTTTTTATATAGTAATAATATAGGTAGCTCTTATTATAATATAACTATTATTTACAGTAAGCGTAAGTAAAAGCGCATATAAAGAAAAACTATTTTCACGCCCCTAACTCTTACTAGACCTCTGACTAAACCCCCCCCTAGCGCCTGTAGGTAGTGAGCAATGCGGGTTTAAAGACGACAAGCGCTGTCATCATAGTTCTATCATTCCATCTTTAATGAACAGGCAATGGTAGGCATTGAAAATATACTCTTGAACATGAGCAAATATAGTCAAATGGAAGCAAGATGCCCTTGAAGCAAGGGGGCCTATCCTTTATTCATATCGATGCATTTTGTAGGCGGCTATATCACAAAAGAGGAATCTCGTTGACCGTCTAAAACGGCATTGAGAAAGGAAACACACTCAAGCCTCCTCCAACATGAGCCTTCACCGAAAGGAACTCGCAGGCCGAGGCCCCAAGCCACTCCTCTCATACGCCATGTCAACCATCTTCATCTGAGCAATGGAGTCCTCCCTGTCGACCCAATGCTGCGTCTTGCGGCCTTTGATCCTGTTGACAAACTGCTCCAGCTGGTGCCTATACGACATCCAGTGCGCCTCGCCCGGCAGATCGGCGAACTCGCCTCCGGCCTCCTTCCAGGTGTAGGCCTTGCGGGACGTCGCCTTGGTCCAGGCCTTGACGACGCTGCCGTCCTTGGAGCGGATCTCGTTCATCTCTTTGATGTCGATACGGTGCCAGAAGACGCCGTGGACAAGCCCCTGAAGCGTGAGCTCGCGCCGTTGGAACTGTTGCTGGCCGGCCGGGAGGTTGACGTTCGGGAAGGGCACCTGCTTCGTAGTGACGGTGACCCACGAGGGCTTGATGATGGTCTCGCCCATGAGGGTGCTGGAGGCGACGCCGGTGCGGCCGCCGGGGAACCGGAACGTGGCCTTGAACTCGTAGTCGCACTTGTCGTGGATGCCGTCGGTGTACGCCTTGACGTCGCAGCTGAGGCACTCCTCGGGGCTCTCGCCAAAGAGCAGGCGCAGGGCGGCGAGGTTGTACGTGCCCATGGCCATGATGGAGCCCCCAGACAGCGCGTAGTTGAAGTGAATCTGGTCCTTGCTGCTGGCCCACCAGGGGATCATGGAGCGGGTCTCGACGTGCTCAATCTCGGAGGGCTCGACGAGGGAGCGGAAGAGGGCCCACGAGGGGTAGAAGCGGCTGTGAAAGGCCTCGAGGAGGACCGGCGCGTTGGGCGCGTCCAGCTCGGGCAGGTTGAAGAGGATTTCGGCCTCGGTGGAGTTGGACACGGAGGGCTTCTCGAGGAGGACGTGCTTGCCGGCGCGGATGGCGCGGACGGCCCATTCAAAGTGTAGGCCGTTGGGGAGGGGGATGAAGACGGCGTCGATGTTGGGGTCGTCGAGGATCTCTGTCAGGGGTTAGTTTGAGCTTGCTTGCATATGGGGGTACAGTCATGAAATGGATCTTCTTGAATATCGGGTTGTATCATGAAGAAGAGGTCCTTTGAGAGACATGTGCTGAGTTAGTTACCTTGGTAGGTATCCTTGACCTCTGGGATGCTGTGGGACTTTGCGTATTCCTCTGCCTTTTTGCGATCACGGGCGCTGATGGCTTGGATGATGACTTCGGGATGGGACTTGGCGGGGTTGAACAAGGCAAGGGGTCTGTGGACATTTGTTAATAAACCTTCTTCGATACAATGGGAGAATGATATATAAGTAGACTCACGCAATGCCAGCAGCTCCCAGGACGCCGAACCTGATGGCATCGCTGGATTTGGGGGGCGTGGGTGGGTTGAAGCAACCCCAGATGCGACTGACGAGGGCCATTTTAGTAAGTCTAATAATTTCTGGTTTGGTGTACAAAGTGATAATCAAGTGGTGTGATATGTGAGCCTTCTGTGTAGAATAAGTTCCAATATCAAGGGTAGAGGTTGTTGATGTGTGTAGTAGTTGTAACTTATGTGAGGTGTCTGATGAGAGGAAACGAGATCTAAGAGTACGGCGGCCATGATGAATTTATAGACGAGAGCACATGAGCTCTCTCAGTGCCTTCAAAACAGTCTCCAACGCAAAAAACGACTCCTTCTTTCATGCCATTGCTTGCGTGTCCCGACACTTGGAAATGGAAACGAGGCTCAACATCGTCACGAAAAGGGCACTCGGATAGATTGGAAGCTCTTTGTGGCTTCTTCGTGGCGTTTTGGCAGGCAGGGGCCCGAAGCCGTTCATTGGCTCGTTTACGTGGTCCCTGTAAGCCTCCGCGAGAAGATCCCCCGGAACCCCCTGTGACACCCCTGTGACACCCCTGTCATACGCTATCAAACCACCGCCGAAGGAGCCGGGCCCCTGTAAAAGTGGCGTTGTTTAGCGCCAGCTGGGAATCTCTTTTGCTCCGAGCCGGCTTTTGGCTGATTCTGTGGCTTGGGGGAGGTTCAATGTAGGGCTGTGTCCAGTCACGAGCAGTCCATCAGCTACAGTCTTACACGACCGGCCAGTTGCATCAGCACAAGTTCAGTATGGCTGTAGTTGCTGTCTTGTCAATCACCTGTCTCATCTTTACATATATATTCTGTATGGCGTTTCGCTCGAGATGTTGCTCAGAATGTGTGCCTAAAGTTGGGCAAAGTAGGTATCTACATAGTCGGAGAGAACACATATAAGTATGTACTCATGTGGCTCACTGCCGTTCAACACGTACATACCTACCTTACCTAGGTAAAATATATTGTAAGCTTTGCAGCACGAGCGGGGGAGATGGTCGCTCATCGCCAGAGTCAACCCTTGAGCCTTAATTCAAAGGCAGAGAGATGCGAGTGCTTCATACACCTTGTTGCCGGGATACTTCTGCACCTGAGCTTCACCAATGGAGCAAGCGCTGCCTCTTTACAAAAGTGTAGCTACAGTAGCCTTTGGAAATGAGCGGACTCTTTTAATTGCGTCAATCTGGAATTGTCGCTTTTGAGAAAACTTTGCCTGTATCATGTTCACTTCAAGTGGCTCCATGTTATAGTCTCCAGGCAGGTAGTAAACTTGCTTCAAGTGTAGTCTACGATCAAAGCAAATACTCATGGAGTCTGCTAAACTCATTGGGGCTATACTTCTCTCCAGAACCAACATCTCTCAACTCGTTCGTTGTACCCAGTATATTAGTGACAAGCACCTTACCCGGCGAGCCCTCAATATCACTTTGGGCCGTCACAAGGCCGCTTTGTCACAACCGGCGTAAAGTGACCTCATGGGTCTTATGACGGCAAGCGTTTGCTACGCAAGCATGTAGGCGAACACCAAAATAGACACCGTCCACAATCACGTCCAGTAGTCTTAGTGGACGCGCGATCATCGCATCGATGGGAGATATTTGATCTTGAATATCTGCTGCGCCTTGAGAAAAAGGTTTCAGAGTCACCGACAAATCCCCCAATAACCTCAGTTGCGTTCTTCTGCCGTGGGAACAGAAGGTTCTCCTCTCCATATCTGCATTAGCGGTCGAGATGTTCAACACGCTAGTTTTCAACACTTCATCACCATGTATCTTGTCAAATCGTGGAATCGAGTCCAGATTCGTGCGATTTCTCCTCGACGATGAACCAACTCGGCGATTTTTCATTACCTCGCGAGTCAGCATTGGGCAATGAGTCAACACGCGTACTATGAGGCCGAAACAACATTGCTCTCGGCGTGGTGGGATCGAATTGTGGGTTTGTGGAAGTCGGCCCAGACTCGGAAGATAAAGTGGCATGGCCGGGATTCTTACATAGCGCAAAACTGGTCCTGAGCACTTGTTGATCCGCGACAGAATGCCCGATACGGCCATTGGCGCCAGTCAGTATGTGAGCGGCCGTAGCCTCCCGAGTTGAGGTTTCATTCGGTCCAGCCTCCTTCCCTCTTGTTGGCTCCGTGGAGGCAGAGTAGCTCACGTTTCGTTGGAGTTCGGGGCTCGCGCCTTGGCTGTCATGCCTAACAGGCATGGAGGGCTCCGATAGCGTAGTAGATTGACGACCATGGATGGGACAATCCGGGCAACTGACCACCTCAACTCTCTCGAACTTGGGTTCATCTCGGGTCTTCTGGGTATGTGAACATTCAGCATGAGAGTGTCCATCGTCTGACGGGAAGCTCAAGCCCTTTTCGTAGGAGTGTCGCTTGCCAATTCGCGTGTGCAGGATGTTATTTCTGGTCGAGTCTGCTGAAGTAGCTCTCTCAGAGTCTGGTTCAAGTGTGACCGCGTCGGTATGTTTATTGCTGCGACTTGGCTGGCGTCCTCTGCTAACAGAGCGTGATGTTTTCGGCATTGCGTCTCGATTGCTCGGAGAAGACATACGGTCCTGCTTCGTATGTTCTACAGATGCGTGGTGACCACCAACAAAGTTGTTGTCGAGAAAGCCAAGCTGACGATTACCATCAAAGTGTTGGTAGTTGGTATGATGAGGAGTGCTTCGAGGAGTGGCATGACGGTAGTAATCGATCGCCACGGGCGTTGGTATGTTTGCCCGGCTGCCAGGCCCCAAGAGGCTAGGGCTTGCAGCAATGGGTATCAAATGCCCTGCCGCAGAATCAGATGTAAACTTCTGCCAGCCATCACTTCGCATCTGCTGTAATGGAGAATGGTCCACGGCTGAGCCGCGTCGCTGAGGATCCGAATTATGTCTATTTCTAGACTCCGCTCGTTGAGAAATCTGCTCGATATGCTGTGATACTGCGCTCGGTATATCTTGCGGGCTTAGTGAAGAGTCAGACCTGCCCCTGATTCCAGAGCGGCTCGCATTGCGCGATTTGGGCGAGGAAGGTCTCGAAGGATGCTTTTCATTCTTGGCGTTGGTACGCTGGGTTGTCTTTGCCGCCGCGGACGGAGTTGACTTGCCCGTCTTATTGGATGATGTGTTCGATCTTGGAGACTGGGAATTCTGGGATCCGGTGCTTTTCGGCCCTGGAGCACCACTCGGGCTTTTGTTCTCGCTTGCATCTTCGGGCAATGAGGAGATATCCCTGATCGCTGACCACAGGAAAGGCTCTGGCTTTCTTCCAATAGGAGTGCCTGTAGCCCATTCCACTCCACCAGAAGCTGAGGATCGAAATACACTGTCGTGCGGTCGCCAAAACCAACGAGGTGATGCTGTGGCTTCATCATATGGGGTGGTCGGGGACAAAGCATCAGCCTCGTGTTCAATGGTGACATCGCCGCCGTATATGCGCTTCTCAAAACCATGCTGGAACGAATTCGATGGATACCCACTGAGAGGAAGGCCGCTATGAGGATATGGTGTGCTATCTTCTGGTGGTCTAGGATTTGAGCGCAATGTTCGAGTTGAAACTTCCGACTCATCCGACTTGACGGACTGTAACGACTCCGCGGACCTTATGGACGTTGCACTTGGAATGTTGTTCTCCGAATGTTGATTCAAGACCGGTGATGATGACTGCGGTATAATCAGTCGCGGCCGAACAGCTTGTGGCGTTGGACTAGGCGCAGAAGGCGTCGGGACGTCGTTTCCTTCTCCATTACTGGTCGCGTGATTGTGATCGACGGATTCGAGCTGCGATGGAATGGATATAGATGGGGTTCGTCGCTTCGCAGTTTGCTTGGGAGGTTGCCTCGTCGGGACCTTTGGCTGTGAGTTACTGAATGATTGTTTGTGGGCAATCGGTTCGCTTCGGTTGGAAAGTGAAGGTGCCGATGGACTTGTGGGTTCAGTCGATGGAGAGTGATGAGCCATAGATGGCGGTTGCGAAGATGAGGGTACTTCATGGCTGGAATCTCGCCCATTAGCAACTGGCTGTTCATGGTCCATGAGGGATCCAACACCATGGTCTGACTTTGCGGATAACGAGCCATGATCCAAGGAGCTGTATGTTTTGTCGGAGAGAATTCGATCATTTGCCACAATTTCTTGCTCCAGTTCGCCAGTTTGCCTGTCCAATGCAGCAGCATCTGGCCGATAGACCATCTTAGCATAGGGCGGATTGGTGGTGTCGACGACCAACAACTCTTTCTCGCCCCTCCCCAGCAAACCATATACTTTCACTTCTCCCTCTTGGATGCCGATGACGGCACTGGTTCCAGCGTAGGTTGCTTCATCTTCAGTACCAGTGCGATTGCAGAAGACCACGATGATCTCGTCCTCGTTGTTAGAGCGAATCAGTGGCTCCAATCGTGTTACCCAGTATGTCAACGTATTCATATCTGGCTCGTTAGGCATTCGACTGAAGTGACGGCGATCTTCTCTCGTCATCCACGCCATGGAGACAATGACTAGATTCGACTCGACTTCGAGAACATGGAAGGCAAACTCAAAGGCGTGCCATGGTGCTTCGAACTTGTATGGACTAAGATTCTGCAATTAGAAATACGTTCGCAAAGTGATGGGAAAGCACGTCAAGATTCGACAGCCGCTCACTTACTTGATGTCCATACCTAATAATGCATCGTTAGGATAACTTCATTCAGATGGGAACAGTGTAGCTTTCTGCTGACTCACATATGCCAATGGAAGTGTTGCCGAGCCCGGGGATATAACCATCAAAGAATCCGCGATTGCCTTCCAGTGCCCATGACTCGTCCGTATAATAAAGGAAACACTTCCGATAATTCGCGATTGTTTCGCCATCTCCATTAACCACAATGGCTGAGTTGTAATATTCGGGACCCGTCGGCCAGTTGGGAGAGACGTCAACTTTCTCAGGATACCCAACAAGAACCGTGCAGTTATACTTCAAAGCCATCGTCCTGGCCCAGAGCGCGCTGATACCTGAGCCTGAAGGCTCAAGGAATGGCGAGATATCCTGTAATGACTTGAAATTGTACCCTAGGCGACAATTAGTCTGCTATACAACTTGGTCAATAGTTGGGGTGGGGGAACTGTGAGGAGCCCGCAGGGAAAAGGATCAGAGCAGTAACAAATGCAGAGTAGAATGCATACCGGAAAAGGCCAGTTCGGGTAGAACAAGAACATCCAGATCATCAGGGTTCGCTCTCGAGAGGACTGCATCAGCGCGATTCAAGTTATTGTCCACATCGCCCACTTGGGGTGCAAATTGCAAACACCCAATCCTCATGGTTGTCGAACCACGGAGTCGCGTGCACCTAGGTATTATCGCCCCTTCTTCTCCTGTGGTCCCTTATGAGATGCAGATGGTTAGGTAGTGCAGCCTGTGACTTTTGTTGGGTGCTTCAAAGTAGACAGAAGTTGTCGGTAAGAGCAAAAATGAGACTTAGCCAGAAGGATGTGAGGGGGAGGAAGTAGGTTAAGTGTTCTGAAGGGGAGACTCCCAATTATTTATCACTCCCTACACTAAAGCATGGGGAACCTTAGACGGAAACGGCTTCTGAGGTATATTTCATGTGCTCTTGACCCGAAGTACGAAAGGTAGGAGGTACCTGAACTTGATGTATTATTGCGCTTTCGAGTGGACTAAGAAGGCCAGGAATAGAGAATCCTCGAGCATGGTTGTATTCCATGGGTTCAATGTTTCAATATGTATGTTGGTTGGACATCTGTAGCACTGCACAGGTGGGTACGATCACAGCCAACCGTAGGCGTATATTAACCGCTCAAAGCCCCCCCCTGCCGCGTCCTTGGTCAGCTATTTTAGGCGTGGATTGGTTGAAGACAATAATGCGTTGGTTGCAAACAGAGGGTGGGTGGATTCTAGCCTTTTAGCGCAAAGAACATAACCATGAGGTACTGGCAGACACGGAGGGGAGGAAATGAGCGTGGGGGATAAGCCGAGGGAAATAAGCCCACATTCTGTCCATGCATCCTCCCCCAAACATACGCTCTCCTCCAAGTGGAAAACGTGATGGGACAGAGGGGGAGATAAGTGCAAAGAGAAAGAGAGAGAGGGAGCCAAAGAGAGAGAGGGAGCCAAAGAGAAAGGAGGGAGTTGTTGGGCTCTTGATAGTGGATTCATCATCACGAATGTTCGAAGCTTACCTACTACTAGGTATCCGCAGTACCTAGTTTTCGCCTGCAAAAAGCCATGCGTCGATATTCCAGTACCTAGGTACCTTGGGTTCCTAGCAGTCAGTAGCAATACCTGGGGCTTTTTGAAGTCCTCCCTTCGACTGGTCTTTACTTCCCGAAATGTCTCTGACTTGAACCGACAAGAGCTATGGGAGAATATGAATATACCTACTTTCCATCGTCTAGGTATCTCTTAGGACGAATATGATACCTAAGGTACCTCCCTAGCAGTAGGGTAGTGAGGTTCCTGTCATGTAAGGTGGACTACTCTATAGGTAGTGTTTTCAGGTCGATTACGGAGGACTTATTACCTACTACGTACCTACCTAGGTAGGTACGTTATGTTGATTCCGGCGAGCGTTCTTGGTCAAGCACCTACTAAGGTACCTCCCATTTTGCTTCGCTGTCGTCATCTCTAACCGCCGGCGACATTGGCGGCTACCTGCTATGCCTGCCGTGGCTAAGGAAGCTCGACATTTCAGCTTTATATCCGGTCTCTCGAAGATAGCCGCTTGAGTTCCGCATCACAATGCTACAAATTTGAAAGACGATTACAGTCCCTCCGGAGCTCTGGGGTAAACAACGAACATGGTATTTTCCAGCGGAGGCTACTTACTTTAAGTGGGATTTTACGCCCAAATATCAAGTAGAGGAGTTGGGGGGGGTACATGACGCAAAAGCGCATTCTCTTACCTGACTAAAGTGACCTGCGCTCGGCTCCGGCATCACATGACGTAGCCCAGCTTCAAGTCAATCATATCTGGCCAGCTTACCTCCAAGCTACATGTAAACGCTGCAGCAGCAGCTCGACTATCGCTCGACCAACCCACCCTGGCAGCTTTCTCTCGTGCAGCATAATGATTGTCTGCTTTTCCATCGCGTTGCTTTCGCCTTGATCGTCTATAGCTGGGCCGCCATTCTCGTGGCCGGCAAGTTCCTACAGCTGAGGCGCCCGTCCATTCTTTCCGTCTCTTGCTGTCCTCTCTCCCTCTCCCCCCCCCCCCCCTCTCTCTCGCCGCCCTTCACCATGGCTACCTGGACCACGATCTTGGTGGCCTATCTACTAGGCGGCGTGACTTTTATCCCTCTGTTGGTTGCGTTTGTCTTCCTCTACGGATACTATAACCTGCCGTACCGACGCACCCTCGGCTTTCAAGAGGATCATGACGATGGCAGCATCGTCCGTCCCGGCGACGACACGACTGCACTCGACGAGGCCAGGAGGGCCAGGAACAACAGCGATTCCAAGAGGACAAATGCCGATGTTGATGTCGCCGCTGGGTATTTTGCCGTCTGCCGCGAATATACCCCCATGGGCATCAACGCAAAGCCCGTGGAACGCTCAACCCCCATCGGCTCCGCCACAGTGACCCCTACAAGTCCGAGCGTCTATCAGACAATGTATAGGAGTATATTCGATCGCAAGGCTGCTGCCAGCTCGATGGATAGTAGCAGCAGTGTCAGCCAACGGCCCAAGAAGGCAGGCAATGTCTTTTACGTGGTGCTCAGGTACGCTTCTGCCCTCCCCATCTCGCCATTCGCATGTTGCCGCCTTGACCATGTGCTGATCAGCTCCGCAGACATGGGCATTTGATGTTGTTTGACGACGAAGAGCAGCTCGAAGTACGACATGTGATATCCCTAGCGCATCATAGGATAGGGCTGTATTCCGGAGGCGACGTGACCCCCGAGGGCGAGCTGTTCATCAAGCGAAACGCAATATCCCTGACGCGAAAACCCAACGAATCCGAACATACCCCCGACAACCAGGCGTCGAGGCCGTTTTATTTGTTCTCGGAAAATTGTTCAGCCAAGGAAGACTTCTACTTTGCTATGCTCAAGAACCAACAGCATACGTTCGGGTTCGAGCATATCGCGCCCAATCCCAAGCAGTTCGAGCTCAAGTCTATCATTTCACTTGTGCAGAAGCTGCATTCATCAGAGGATCAGGTGCACTCGCGCTGGATCAACGCGATGATCGGAAGGATCTTTCTTGGCGTGTATAAGACCAGGGACCTGGAAACGTTCATACGCGAAAAGATTACCAAGAAGATCTCGCGCGTCAAGCGGCCTTCGTTCCTCACCAATATCACGATTCAGCAGATTGATACGGGAGATGCTGCGCCCTACTTCGCCAACTTGAAACTCAAGGATCTCAATGTCGAGGGAGAGTGTGTCGTGGAGGCCGACTTGAGATACACCGGCAGTTTTCGTATTGAGGTTGCTGCTACCGCGAGGATCGATCTGGGCGCAAGGTTCAAGGTTCGAGAAGTCAACTTGATTCTTGCCGTCGTTTTGCGCAGGCTGGAAGGTCACGTTCTGTTCAAGATTAAGCCGCCTCCCAGCAACAGGATTTGGTTTTCCTTCCAGACAATGCCAAAGCTGGAGATGACCATCGAGCCCGTCGTCAGCTCGAGACAAATCACATATACCGTCATTACCCGTCAGATAGAAAATCGCATCAAGGAGGTCTTTGCCGAGACATTAGTTCAGCCATTTTGGGACGACGTTCCCTTCTTTAACACGGAACACAAACAGCTGAGAGGCGGCATCTTCGAAGGCGACGATGCAGTCAGGCCCTCCTCGCAGCCTGCCGAACCCTTGGCCCAGATTGGCGACGGTGAAATTCCTGATCTCCTTGACGCTGGCGTTACCCAGACGCTAGACGACGCTCAGTCCATAGACAAGAGCCAATCAATGCCAGTAATAGACGCTCTCGAGCCGGCGACAAGTCCGCTTAGAAAGACGTCGGACAAAGCAGCAAGTGCCTCACCGGCTGCGGCGTCGTCAACCAGCGTGGACCTAGCTCCTCCGGCTCCTGTTCATTCTCCTAGGATTGTGAAGCCCGCCACTGAGCCTATTGTCGGAACCGAAACAACGCATGCTGACCTGTTCAAACCATCAACGTCTCCGCCGGACCATGCCATGAACCACATGGCAGCACTGCGCTCCAGGTCCCAAGACGCCTCACCCATATCCATCACTAGGAAGCTGTCACAGTCCACCCTCGTCTCTCGGCGGTCGTCCTCCTCGTCAAAGGAGCTGCACGGCAACGCAGCCGGAGAAGACGAACAGCATGCAGAATCCAAGCCCATGCTACCAATACCGCAGCAATATGCCGCGTCTTCCTTCGGCGTAGCGGCGGCATCTGATTCTGATCTCTCTCGCACCCCTACTGCCGGCTCGATCAAGTCCCAGGCAGGCTCCATCAGCCGCAGCTTGTTCCAGAGGCGCGAACCCCCCGGTTCTGGGCCCGCAGCATCTCTTGAGGGCGAAGGTATGGTGCAAAAGAGGAATACCTTGGCAGCGGTCACCAATGCAGCTGTTCAGGCAAAGCAATGGGGTTGGAACGCTATCCAACGGCAAAGAGAGGCCTTGAGGAACAATGATAAGACCATCGCCGTTGATCTGAGCCAGCCTATGGGTCGAGGGCAACCCCTTCCGCCACCAGGGACACCACTTCCAATGCCAACAAATGGAGGCACCAAGATAGGGCCTGTCCCCACGTCCAAGCGGAGATCCCCAAACCTCATCCCAGAGGAAGAGGCTGCCCTTGCAGCCGAGGACAGTCAGGGCGTTGCGCCTTCGCCTGGGAGACACCATTCTCCGCCGCGGAGGAGGCGACAAGACAGCCAGCAGCAAGACGACTACAGCCCGAATATCCTCGTAGTCGCTGCGCCGGACGATTCACAGCCCACTACTCCCGCCATTGAGGACGAGGCACGTCAGACTGAGCTTTGGAATGGAGAGCTGCCGCCAACAGTGCAGCAGAGGAGTGGCAAGCAGGTCGCCGCGGATGACAACGACCAGGGCTCGGAGGCAGGCAATCCCGTCACCGCCAGCAGGCCCATTCCGATCAGCCCATCGACTTTTGCACAGCCGAACGACGACGATGACTATTCCGCATGGCTGGTAGACGACTAGACTTTTTAACCGCTCAGATCTTTCAGCTATGCGTCTCACATCACTAATTCGGGGCATGAGGGGTCTGCTTCACAATATTTTCATTTTACCTTCCTTTCTCCTGTCATAGAGTCACTTGTATAAGATGAATAGAGCGGAGAGGTTACTCTCTTAGCCAAGAGGGCACAGAGAATCTCTTAGGCTATGTAGGGACGGCACATCTTTGTATTTTAGCGTTGGCGTTCGCGCGGCGGCAAGGCCAGGTGCATCAATTACCATGGATCAGTTGTATATTGAGTGAGACGATATTCTCCTTTTCCTCCGCCTCCTCTCTCCAGCCCTTATTTTCAAAAGCTTTCAGTGTCTGACAGTAAGCCACATTCACTTGACTACCAGTCCAGTGAAAGGTCTTCCATGCTGGCGTGCAACTCATCGATTAGGGGCTCCGTCACTACTTGCTCGTGATGCATCTTGCTTCTCAGCCTTGTGCGAGTCCAGAACACGGGGCAGTCATGGCTGTCACACGCAACCTCTTCCAGTGGGCCGAGTCCTTCACAGCCTTGGCAGATGCGCTTCATTTCGTCGTACTTGCGCTCCACCGCCACCAGCTTCGATTGCAGCGTCAGCAACGAGTCTGGCGCCTTGGCGTAGCAGAAGCTGCACAACGACATCTCCGCAGAGCTGACAACCTTTCTGCCACAAACCAAGCAGTTAATCGAATGCATATACGCCTCCAGAGTCCGCTTCTTGTGGCCGTGCCCCTTGGTTCGCTGGATCCGCCGGATTTTGGGCATCGCCTCATACCACTGTCTCACGTTGGCGCCGACGAGGTTGAATATCCGCTCCAGGGGAGGTATCAGATTCTTGGTGATGTAATAGTCCGCATCCAGCTGCCAGTGAGGGTTGCGAAGAAGCTCCTCCGGCGAGACACACCGGTCGATGAGCCGAGCGCCCGGCGCTCCCGTAACCACCACATAGGGCACCCGTTCGCCGTACTGCGGCTCTGCCCTCGAGTCTTGTAGCATCTTTCTCGCGCTAATCATGGCCCCAGCAGGTGGTAGGCCATGCTCTGAATAGGATCCTAGGCGAACCTCCTTGGCAAAGCAAAAGTCCTGGATCGACACTCGACCACTCATCACCTTCCTGCACTGTTCCTGGAAGTAATCCTTGACTTGGCTCAGGTCCGCCGTTTCGAACAGTAGTCTCAGAGCCTTCTCCTCGATCTTCTGCTCTGCAGGAGTCCCGTCGCGGCGTACAGTTTCTATGCCTTTGGCATCGAACTCGGGCTTGGCCTGATCCTTGCTCTCGTACCTGTACCCGACGTAGCGTTTCTTGGCGAGGAGAACGCAAGGATGGTAGACTTTTTCAAACTTGAGCTTGACTGGCTTAGGGTTCCTTTCCGTGATGGCTTGAGCAATCTCCTGTCCTATGACAAAGGCCTCATCCCTGGATCGGCCCTTGAGGTAGACGAAAAGGCTATCAGTATCGCCGTAAACCACTTCAGCGCCCCATCGCTCCACCGAATGTATGTACGCAGTGGCCCTCTCCAGAGTCTCGCGACCAGTCTGCACAATGCTATCCGCAATCTCCGAGCACGGCATTCGACCCGAAAAGGAGGCCGACGTGTAACCATAGGTCACGTTGGCGAGCAGCTTCAGCGCAAGCTGTCGATTGTTCAGCAGCCGCTGCAGAGTCTTGTCATCCCGATCCTGCTTCATTCCGCTCTTGACCATGATTCTTGTCTCCAGAATTTCCGTCAACATCTTGGCGAGTAGGGACTTACGGACCTCGGCTTTCACATACATCATGCCATTGGGCGCGACGTTGATGTGCTTCGCCAGCAAGCTCAACAGCCCGTCCTGTCGTCTGTACTCGGCGAAGCCCATCTTGCTCTTACCTCGCCAGTCTGTGATGCGCCCCAAGAACGTTGAATAGCAGTAATTGTATGCGATCATGATGCTTGGATAGAGACTCTGGAAATCAAGAACAACCAGGGGGCTACTGTAAAAGGCGCTTTGGGGCTCCATCACCAATGGTAAGCACTCAAGAGCATTTTGCTGGCCGACTTGCTTCCGACTCGGGGAGACAAGCATGAAATTCTCCGGCTTTGCGATCCGGAACATGATGGACTCGACTTTGAACTGCGAGCCGCGAGAGAAGACGGAGAAGAAGTCGACGCCTAGAAGCCTTGCCTGCTCGCTCGTCCTCGATATGAGCTCGTTGGACTCCAGAATCTCCAGGTCCAGTCTGGTCCGTGTGCGGTAGTATCTCAGAAGCCTTACCACGTCCTGCGGCTTGCCGCTGCGGTGCCAAGATGTGAGACACCTCCATGGATAATGAGGTATGCGACGGTGCAAAAGATGCCAAACCACATTTTCCATCGTATATTGGAGGAGGTTGACTTCGCCACGCATTGCCCTCCAGATGTTGATCATATGCCTTCCTGTTACGCGAATACTCGAGGTCGTGTTGAAGCCCCATTGGTCGTTTTCCTTGCCAAAACGCCCGTTGGATTGCGTCTTCATCCTGGAGAATTCACTGCAAAGGTCATAGTCATACTTCAGCCTCGCTCGTTCAATGAGATAGCCCCATGAGCTTCCATGCACTTCATAGCCAGTCAGTATGTCCGGATCATAGAATCTGACAATCTCAACCATCCTATTGAGCAAATCCAGCTCTGACGACTCTTCAGCAACTTCGTCAGGCACCACACTTCTGATTTGCTCAGCTAGAATACTGTCGACCGACTGGACCAAGACTCCAGAACCGGAGGATCCCGACATTTCAGGAGTCGCGCTGCTCGTTGCTCCGTCGTCTTTCCAGTGCCAGAAGATGCATTGTATCTCGTCTTCCTCTGGATTGGGAACAAAATTCCCCCTTGTATTGACGTGGATTTCGAGACTCATTGTGCTCATGTATTGAGCCTCATGTGGGATAGCCGAGGAGGGCTGTCTCTGGCTGTACTTAAAGTTGTGTTTGGTCCTTGGCGTTGGGCCGTCTATCTGAGATAGCCATGAACGAATTAGCCTTGGTTTGGCCCTTTTCATGTCAGTCGCATTCTGAACCATCCACCTAGCAACCTCATCGTAGGAAGGAGGGAATCCGACAATCTCCCAGCCTCTCCATGAGCAGTGTTCCTTCAATCGCTGTTCATTTTGCCACATGTCGGCCTCGCGGGAGAGGCTTGTATCGCTATCGTGGCTCATCCAAGCCGGGGCAGAATTGCCCGTTGGATCGAAACTAGGTAGAAAGGGCAAAGTATTGCTAATCAAGTGAAACTCCCTGCCGGCATACTCGCGTCGTCGCAATGGAACATCGGCTTCATTGCTGTAGAAAGCGTCCTGGTATAAGACTTCCGGACAGCCGCGCTCGCTTTGACAAGTGACATCGGCTACAGAAGGAGGAGGAAGGGCATATGTCATGAAGCGACTGGAACCCTGAGTCTTTGGCTTTGTTGCACCGACTTGTGAGGCCTTGAAAAGTTCGATATGCTGAAGCGAATCAGATTGCGGTTTGAGACAAGAGCGTGGTTCATCCACGGCCGTTGAGGAAGGCAAAGATTTTCCCTGGTGCGTTACAAAGTGCTTGGCCCTCTTTGCAATGCTGTCATCTGGCAATGATGCTGTTCGTTTACTTACTGACCTGATCTCCAGACCAGTTACATTCTTTTGGCCATGTGTATAAGTGAGTCGATTGCGCTGAGCAGCTTCAACTAAAATGGACGAGAATGGTAGTCTAGGGATTTGGCCAGTCAAAAGACCGCTTTCGCCAATTCCAAGAAAACGGGCGTTGGATCTTCCAGATTCGGGATCCTTGGTGGACTGAGCCATTGTAGATTTGGGTGTTACGGCGTCAATATTCTCCAGTGATGGCACACTATGCTCCTTCCTGGACTCCTCCTCGAAATCCAAACCAACTGCATTTGTTGTAAGCCAGGCATCTTCGTCTGCTTGAGACATCTGCAGCTTCTGTTCATCAACCTCGATGTTGCTGCTCGGATCCTCGTTTGGCCGTGCCGAAGTCAAAGAAAGCCCAAGCGCAGCCGATAGGTTCGACGGGTGGAGGTCTTCGACAGATTGTAGGCTGGTTTTGATCGAGCTCTCATGAGGCAGGGGTTCCAGAAAGGTACCTAGGCTCAACCCAGACTCGTGGAACTGCTCCTGTTCTTCAGAGATCAGATTCTCCACCTTCCGCCGATAGTCTTCCTCGTGCATCCATGCCTGTGGCTCGGATGACCGAGAGTCCGCCGACATTGACACAAGAGCCTCTCTTGGAAAAGAGGAAACAAGAGGCTGAGCGGGTGTTTGGCCGGGTGGCAGTTGACGCTGACGCCTTCGAGCTTCGGCCTTCCATAGTCCAGCCAGACTTGAAACCAACCTTGTATCGTCTGACGGAGGCCTGATGAACTCAGAAAAATCCTGGTGGAGCAGTCGTTCCTTGATCTTCTCCCTATTGATGATATTTTGGGCGGAGATGTCGACTTCGATCGAGCAATAACTTTCCCGAGGCAGCGCGAGGTCATCCGTAATATAGTCCACCGGAACAGTGCCCTCATCCCAAAGCTGAGAAGACGCAGCGTTACCTTCATGTCGTGGAGGGACCGGGCATCTGAAAAACGTCTGCGACGATTCGACATAATCGCACCCATACAAGTTGTAGTCAACCATGAACTGGAGGAGATATTGGAGATGAGCCTCGTACGGCTGAAACTTCCGCTTCAGTATAACTCCCTGCTGAAGCAAGTCCGCCAGTCGCGTCATAACCATAGGATTAAACATGTAGATCTTGAGGAAAGGCTTATAGCCAACAGCGTAGCCGTAGAAGGGGACCCCTTTCACCAGGGTGATCCGCGCAACGAACTTGGCCTTGTCTCCATCCTGATCACGCCGGTAGCTTATGGCCAGCGCATGGTCGATAGAGAGGTGCAGGCGGTATATAAAAGCCCCAACTATCTCGTTCAGCAACATGCCAGGTACGATGAGTTTATGAGATGGAAGATCACCACGTCGTATGGCTCACCTGCGTCTTGGTTCAAGTCTCCGTCATACTCCACGTATAGATAAGGAAACACGCCATGCACATGGGCGCACACCTTCTGACCGAATTCCGTCGAGCCAAAGATCCGAATGACGGGGACTCTAGTCGCATTCACGAGGGGTGCCTGGAGGTCGTTGCGCAGCTGGGGGTCATGACGACTCGGTAAGGCTTGATAGTGATCAATACAGTTCAAGCGGACGCGGAACAAAACCATTCTTCTCAGCGAATTGATCCATCAGCATGCGCTTGACTCGGTGACAGCCAAAGGAAGTGAAGTTGAGGTGACTCTCCAGCAATGGAAGTTATCGAAGGCAAAGATCGCAAGTTCAAGAGGGACGTGTCAAGGTCGCGTCATTGCGGGGCGAGAGAATCGCGAGATCACGTGCAGATAAAGTCACCTATCAAGGCGCCATCCGCCGAAGTACATTGTACCTTGGCTGATTTGAGGTGAAGGCCCAGCCGAAGCAGTTTCGAAGTTTCGCGACCGCCTGTCTCGTACAAGTCCCAGGTACTACTACCTATCCAAACACCTGGAATCTGTCCTTCATCTGGGAGGACAACTCTCTCGACCTGCAGCCTGTTCTCAATAGGACCTTCTTCTGGTCTTTTGAGTGATCACCGCTCATATCCAGAGATAAATCGCCGCATCAATCATTATACGCATACGTGCCTCCTCGAGAATCATGCCTCCACCACGAAAACCCGCGACAGGAGCGGCCTCAAAGGAGGAAAACATTTACATCCCCTCTTTCATCAGCAAGCGGCCGTTCTATGCAGGCGAAGAAGGAGATGACAATGACTACCTGAAGCATCAGCGCCGGGAGGAGAAGAACGAGAAGTCGCAGTGGTACGACCGCGGGAAGAAGGCTGGGCCGGCCGCGACGAAATACCGCAAGGGCGCATGCGAGAACTGCGGCTCAATGACGCACAAGGTCAAAGACTGTCTAAGCCGACCTAGAGCCAAGGGGGCCAAGTGGACGGGCAAGGATATTCAGGCAGACGAAATCGTTCAAGATGTCAAGCTGGGTTGGGATGCAAAACGAGATCGCTGGAACGGATACGACGCCAGAGAGTATCGCAAAGTGATTGATGACTATAACCAGATGGAGGAGCTTCGAAAAAAGGCGAAGACCAATTCCAATGGCGAAGAGGATGAGGAAGAGAAAGATGACGGTGACAAGTACGCTGAAGAAAATGACATGAGCAAGCACCAGAGTACGGCAACGAGGCAGCTTAGGATACGAGAAGACACAGCCAAGTATCTTCTGAATCTCGACCTCGAGTCCGCAAAGTACGATCCTAAAACCAGAGCCCTGGTCAACTCCGGCGCAACAGCGGACAAGGCGGCCGACGTGTTTGCCGAGGAGGGTTTCATGCGATCCTCTGGCGACGCTGGCGAATTTGAAAAGGCGCAGCGCTATGCGTGGGAAGTTCAGGAGAAAAGCGGCGATACCTCGCAGCACCTGCAGGCTAACCCGACAGCCGGTGCCTTTTATCGAAAGAAGCAAGCAGAAGAAGCCGAGAGAAGGCGCCTGGAACGGGAACAGCAGCTGTTGGACAAATACGGCGGCGAGGGACAGAAAGTCATGCCTGCTGCGCTGCGCAATCTGGCCATGTCAGAGTCTGAAACGTTTGTCGAATACGATGAGGCTGGCCTGATCAAAGGTGCACCGCTGAGAGGTGCAAAGTCCAAATACGCAGAGGACGTTCTGATCAACAACCATACCTCGGTCTGGGGTAGCTGGTGGTCAAACTTCAAATGGGGCTACGCATGTTGTCATTCGTTCATCAAGAACAGCTATTGTACTGGCGAGGAGGGCAAGGTAGCTTGGGAGGCTGCCGAGCGTCAACGATACGCTGCCCCTGCCTTGGAACAGGGAGCTGAACCGATATCTGCGGGAACCGAAGAGGCCGAGTCAACAGCGGACCCCCAGACAGCAAGGTCCAAGAAGCGTACGCAAGCGGACATGAATGGGATGGGAGTTTCGGAGGCTGAGATGGATGAATATCGTCGAAAGAGAACCGTCGCTCAAGATCCAATGGCAAAGCTACTCGGCACAGATGAGCTCATGGGTCAAGAATAGGAGCTCGGAACCCGGTCGCATCTACATCCCTACCGCGTTCTGGATCCAGCATGCGCCTTGTCAGGGCTACCTAAGGACGCTTTGTTACGTTAAACATTACTGTTGATACGTATCGCGAGACACCGCTATCGATATGCCCAATGCAGGCATCGTTTAAACATATATCCACCTTTTAACAGACAATACTCTAGTCACGTAGGCATATGTGATAGTTCAGGTGGAATTACGTTTTCGTGTTTTTTTTGTGTGGCTTTTGAAATCATTCCATTTTGTCCTTTGGCCAACGCCGAAAGCTAGGAGGATAAACCCTTTTTTATTCCCTGCCAGTGATATCCCTCAGTGGTGCACCAGCTCCGTATGCAGGAGAGTCATTAGCACATATATACGGTGCGCATTTACTCGTCATCCTCCTCCTCCTCACCATCCTCGCCCTTCTCGGCGGCCTTGGCCTTCTTTCTGCGGACACGACCAGGACGGCCGTTGCCGAATGGTGAGGTCAGGGCGAAGTCAATGTGCTTCTGGGAGTCGAGTCGGACAATGAAGGAGGGGACATTGACGATCTGCTTGCCGACGCGGATGTGGCGCTGGCGGATCAGGACACGGGCGTGGTGGATAGACTTGGCCAGGCCGAGCTTGTAGACGCAGGTCTGCAGGCGGCGCTCCAAGAAATCCTCAATCTTCAACGCCAGCACGTAATCGAGCTTCATGCGAGACTCGTCGAGGACACCGACACGGACGAGACGGCGAATCAGGGCGTTGCCTTCGAAAAGTCGCTTGGGGTCCTTCTCGTCGAGGGTAAGAAGCTGACTGTAGGCAACCCGCCGTTAGCTGGGGATGACTTCTTCAAGCGGCTGGTTTCGACAATCGACTTACCGGGCAGCACGACGGATCTTGGACAGAGTCAAACCGACTCGCCAGACCTCACGCTTGTTGCGCAGGCCATATTCACCAACGAGCTTCAGCTCCGCGTCCCTGATCAAAGCATGTCAGTTTCCTTGTCACAATCGACATGAACAGAGCCATGCTCTAGTTCAGTGGCCGGTGATACTGACAGACGAGCAGACTCGAAGGGTCGGCGAGGGACACGCGAGGTCTTGGAATGCGCACGAGGGGCCATTCTGTAGAATTGTCAGAGGTTATGGCTCGGACGGGTAAGAATTGAGTATATGAGATACTCACTTGACTTGCTTCCTAAAGTGGTGGCTGCTGGTGAACTTTTGCGCGGGTGATCTCGAGGAATCGTCAAGGTTGTGTGGATAGGAAATTTGGCGTCTGGAAACCATGCACGTGACCTTCTAGCCACGAGCCCTAAGCCGGGCAACATGTGCCGTTCCCCCCAAAACCCACAATCCTGCCCTATCGTCGCGGCGGGAAAAAAAAATCCGTGGATTATCTAAGCACATTCGCTTCCACACGCCGTGCGTAATTTCACCCACGCCAAATTAGCAAAGCTTCACCTCCATCCTCGTCAATCCTCGAACGAATATCGACGGCAATTAATCGGTCGCGATGGGTCACTCTTACGGAAAGCGAGCGGGCACTCGAGTTGGTCTCATCACGTCTGTGAAGATGCGCTTGGATCGCTGCTAACAAGGTCGCAGTATGCCTTCAGCAGGGACTTCCGCCGCAAGGGCATGATCGCCCTGAACACCTACCTCAAGGTGTACCAGTGAGTACAGCCCTGGGGACGGAGAAAATGGATGATTTTTTGAACGTGACTGACAAACCTCCAGCGTCGGTGACATTGTCGACATCAAGGCCAACGGTGCCGTGCAGAAGGGGTAAGGAATACTATCTTTTGCAGCTGGGAGATGTGCCGGAGAGCATGGAGGAAGGAAGCTGACCCAATGCGCAGCATGCCCTACAAGGTCTACCACGGCAAGACGGGCGTTATCTACAACGTCACCAAGAGCGCCGTCGGCATCATCATCTACAAGAAGGTCAAGCACCGCTACATCGAGAAGCGCATCAACGTCCGAATCGAGCACATCCAGCCCTCTCGATCCCGTGAGGACTTCATCAAGCGAGTCAAGGCGAACGCGGCGGCAAAGAAGCAGGCCAGAGCCGATGGCGTGACTGTCCAGGTCAAGCGACAGCCCGCTCTCCCCCGAGACGCCTCCACGGTTTCCCTGACCGACAACCCTCCGGAGACCGTCACTCCTCTTGCATACGAAACTACAATCTAAGGGAATGGTCGGTGTGGTGCTTGCTTCGGTTTTTCTTACGGTGTTGTGTTCGGACAGGAAAGAACTCAGCATGTGACCAAGGTCTGCAATTTTTTTTTACTTTGATGTTCATAGCAAAAGAGACAATATGACATCGACGGAGTGTGCACATACCATCAGTGGGCGCTTCCCTGGAGAGTCGTGTGGCATACAAATAATTCGTGATTATGTATATTTCTTCTATCAGTTCAACTGGTAGCCCTTCTCTCTGCCTTAGGAGTACATCTCACTCTACCTACATAACGAAGGGTGGTGTTGGTGGATTGACTGCTCAAAGCACACACCCAGTCTCTTTCATATACAGCTTGTCATTATCCTCAGAAGAGAAGACAGCGTCTCATTTACCGACAAGAGATAATCACCACCTCAAGGACGATGGCCGAGCCACTGATACTGTGAAGGAAACATATATGTCACGCCTAAACCTACGCAAGACTGTAGCTTCATGCTCAAGAAATGATGAGAATCACTCCATCTACCAAGCAACGCTGCTCTCCTTCTGTATCTTCCAGGTAGATACTTCATATGAGTGTATAAGGGTGTTTGATAGCGATATGTATACTCGAAGGCGCATACAGGTGTCATACATAGGTAGGTACCAAAGGTTGGAGACGATTACTGTACAGGTCCCTTACCCTGGAAGAGCCGGATTCTTGGACGTTGTAAGCGGATTAAATTAACACCGCCTCGGTCCAGGTAATTAATGGCCCGCTGCGCCCCACATGGTGACGATGCTCGCCTTGTCCGCAGCTTCAATGGCATATCCTCTGCGTCTCTTCCTACCAATCCGAACTGCGACAGCTCTGCCACTCTGTGTGCTGCAGCCTGGGCGGATCAATATTGAGAATCAAGGGTAGCTCTGCTACTAAGAGGCTCTTGATACCCTCGTCTTGCCTGTCCCGATCGCTGTTCCTCCTTTGTTTCGAGTGTTCGCCTTGAGAGTCCACCTCCGTGTGCCTCCCTATCCAAGCTCCGCCGCCGAGCTCGTTGAGCTTCGTTCCGCCCACCATGGCCTCCATACGCACGACCGAACATACAAAGTTTGTTACGCGCCCTCCCTTGAAGATGTGAAGCTGCCTGCATGTTTGACGACGCCTGCTTACCCGCGTCCGCCAAACTAGGACCGACCAGGAGCTGGCGGTAAGCATCAAGAAGGCTACCAGTCCCGAAGAGATCTCCCCCAAGCGCAAGCATGTGCGAGCGTGCATCGTGTATACGTGGGATCACCGATCCTCGCAAGCCTTCTGGGCGGGCATGAAGGTGTAAGTTGACTTGGGACGCATCTTCTCTTCCCTATATCCCCCAGCCGGTCTGCGTCCATTCCGCTGTGCTTCGTGCTGACATCAGAATGTCCGCCCGAAGCCAACCTATTCTTGCCGACGAAGTCCAGACATTTAAGGCCCTGATTACCGTTCACAAAGTGCTGCAGGAAGGCCATCCTTCAGCCCTGAAAGAAGCAATGGCCAACCGTGGGTGGATTGATTCCCTGAACCGCGGAATGAGCGGGGAAGGAGTTCGCGGTTATGGGCCCCTGATACGGGAATACGTATACTATCTTCTGGCAAAGCTGTCTTTTCACCACCAGCACCCTGAGTTCAATGGAACCTTTGAGTACGAAGAGTACCTCAGCCTCAAGGCAATCAACGACCCGAACGAAGGATACGAGACCATTTCCGATTTGATGGTGCTGCAAGACAAGATAGAGCAGTTTCAGAAATTGATCTTCTCGCACTTCAGAAACGTTGGGAACAATGAATGCCGAATCGCAGCCCTTGTGCCATTGGTACAAGAGAGCTACGGCATCTACAAGTTCATCACCAGCATGCTGCGTGCCATGCACTCGAGTGAGAAGACCCTAAACCCCCTTATCTGCAGAGTCTCATTGCTGACTTCGGATGCACGCAACAGTCACTGGCGATGACGATGCACTGCAGCCTCTTCGTCAGCGGTACGATGCTCAGCATTATCGGCTCGTCAAATTCTACTACGAATGCTCCAATCTTCGGTACCTGACGAGCCTCATTACGATTCCCAAATTGCCTCAAGATCCGCCAAACCTCCTTGCTACTGACGATGACGCCCCGGCCTTGCCTGCAAGACCCAAGCAAGAAATCGAGCGCCAGCCGTCTCCTGCACCCGCTCCCAAATCGGACGAACCAGACGAAATTTCCGAGTTTTGGAAGGGCGAGCTAGACCGCCAAAACCGCGAATATGAGGAACAGCAGCGAGTCCTCGAAGAGCGCCAGCGCGCTGCTATCCTAGCCCAGCAGCAGGCGCAGCAGCAGGCTCAGCGCGAGTTCGAAGACCAGCAGCGCCGGTTGATGGAACAGCAACAGCGGGAACAGGAGGCGCTGATCGCACAGCAAGCGCAATGGCAGACTCAAGGTCGCCTGGCCGAACTCGAGCGAGAGAACCTCAACGCGCGAGCCCAATACGAGCGTGACCAGTTGATGCTGCAGCAGTACGATCAGCGCGTCAAGGCGCTTGAAGGCGAGCTGATGCAGATTCAGAACAGCTACGGCCACCAGATGAGTAGCAAGGATGACCAGATCAAAGCGTTGCAAGAGCAAGTCAATACCTGGAGATCCAAGTACGAGTCTCTCGCGAAGCTGTACTCTCAACTGCGGCACGAACACCTGGATCTACTGCAGAAGTTCAAGGCGGTGCAACTCAAGGCAGCAAGCGCTCAGGAAGCCATCGAGAAGCGCGAAAAGCTCGAGCGGGAGATCAAGACGAAAAATCTCGAGCTGGCCGATATGATCCGAGAGCGCGACCGAGCTCTGCACGACAAGGACCGAGCCACTGGGAGCAGCAAAGACGAGGTGGAGAAACTCAAGCGAGAGCTGCGCCTGGCACAAGAGAGAGCGGACAATCTTGAGCGCAGCAAGGGCAACGAGCTCTCCACGATGCTCTCCAAATACAACCGTGAGATGAGCGACTTGGAAGAGGCACTGCGAATCAAGTCGCGGGCGTTGGAGGAGGCACAGAGCAAGATCCGCAACGGCGATTCCGATCTGGAGCAGCTCCTGCGCGAAAAGGAAGAAGAGCTTGAGGTGTACAAGGCCGGGATGGACCAGACACTGATCGAGCTGAACGAGCTCAAACAGAACCAGGGAGAGACGGACCATGCGCTCGATGGTCAAATCGACGCCCTGATTCTGTCGAACCTGGACAAGATCAACGACATGATTGACTCGGTGCTGCAAGCTGGGGTCTCGCGGGTGGATGACGCTCTGTACGAACTGGACTCGTCTATGCAGGCGGGCAATCAGAATGCGTCGCCGTCGTATGTTCTCTCCCAGATTGAGAAGGCGTCTGGGAGCGCAATGGAGTTTGCCACCGCTTTCAACAACTTCATCGCCGACGGTCCGAATAGCACACACTCCGAACTGATCAAGGCGATCAACGTCTTTGCCGGAGCTGTTGCGGATGTATGTAGCAACACAAAGGGCGTGGTCCGCCTGGCGACGGACGACAAAAAGGCGGATGCCTTGATGCAGGGCGCGAGGCAATCGGCCCAATCCACGGTGCAGTTCTTCAGGGGCCTGCAGAGCTTCCGCCTGGAGGGGCTGGAGCCGCTCCAGAAGACGGACGTCGTCATCAACAGTAACAACGATGTGCAGATGAAGCTGCAGAAGCTCAACAAGCTCGTTGAGGGTCTCGCGCCGGGCTATGGAAAGCTGATGAACAACAAGGGAGACCTGGGAGACCTGGTAGACTCGGAGCTGAGCAAAGCGGCTGACGCGATTGCGGCAGCCGCAGCTCGTCTTGCCAAACTGAAGAACAAGCCCCGCGACGGCTACACCACGTACGAGGTCAGGGTGCACGACTCCATCTTGGATGCCGCGACAGCCATCACGACGGCCATTGCCGAGCTGATTCGCGCCGCTACGGCTACGCAGCAGGAGATTGTGCAGGCTGGGCGAGGCTCGTCATCGCGGACGGCCTTTTACAAGAAGAACAATAGGTGGACCGAAGGCCTCATCTCGGCGGCGAAGGCGGTAGCCTCGTCGACCAACACGCTCATCGAGACGGCCGACGGAGTGCTGTCGAACCGCAACAGCCCGGAACAGCTGATTGTCGCATCCAACGACGTGGCCGCGTCGACGGCGCAGCTGGTGGCGGCAAGCCGAGTCAAGGCGGGCTTCATGTCCAAGAGCCAGGATCATCTGGAGCAGGCAAGCAAAGCTGTCGGAGCAGCATGCCGATCGCTGGTGCGCCAGGTTCAGAACATGATTCGCGAGCGAGGCCAGGAAGAGGACCAGGTCGATTATTCCAAGCTTGGGGCACACGAGTTCAAGGTTCGCGAGATGGAGCAACAGGTAAGCCATCATTTGTTCCCACCGCATGGCGTTGTTGAGGATGGGCTAACGAGGTCGACTTCTTTCCGCCTTTTCCCCCGCAGGTCGAGATATTGCAATTGGAGAATGCGCTTGCTGCCGCAAGACACCGGCTTGGAGAAATGCGGAAGATCTCCTATCAGGAGGAATAAAGAGCGGCCAAATCGAACGCTACAACACGTTGGCCGATGTATGCTTGATATCCTGGCAGTTGAAATCGATGCTTGTCTGTTTCAGTGGCACCCTAATCGTGTATCTTGGGTTGCTTGTTTCTGTTCCATAGAGAGTACGACGTCTCGTGCTAAATGCTTTCTTCTTCACTATCACTTATCTCGGCCTGCCGCCTCTACTAAGCCAAGGTGCTATCTCGTTTCTCCTCGATCAAGCCCCCAAGACTCGGCCTTCTTTCTAAGCTCAACATATGCTGCGGCGTAGTCTGCTGCTAGAGCCATGTCCCCCATTACCTTCATGATGACGGCCTTCTTCGCCATCATCTCACACTGGCTCTTGACATCCTCAATACTGGAATACTCATCAAACGCTCTCTGGACCGCCGTGGCCGCCCTCTTTAGATATTCATCGCGCCGTTTGATAACCGCCTTGGCGGTCTCGACCACTCTAATCTCGTGCTCCCGTCCCAGGGCTGCTTCGCCGTCGCCAGTCTTGGTGTCACTCTGGGTCTGACCGGCCAAGCCCATGTTAGCGTCAGCAAGGTATGCATACAGTTTAGCCGTGAGAGCTGGAGATTCACACTCGAGACTCCGTGGCAATATGGCGGTGAGGAGCTGCGCCGCGGCTTTAAACTCGCCCATGGAGACCAAGATGTTGGATATTGCGCCGATTGCGGCCCAGAGCAGGGATATCAGACGCGCACGTAGAGATAGGTTCGCCGCTCGTAGGGCCAAGGAAAACGCACGCTGTGGCCGCCCGCATCGATCCAACAGGGAAACCTTGACAAGGAGTGCTCTGACGCGCAGACATATGTCCCTGTTCTCCTCTTGGAGGTCCGACATCATCTTGTCTACCTTGCTGAAAGCCAACGACAAGTCTCCACGTCGGGTCAAGTAGTCTATGTGAGCAGTATCAATCACGAGGGCCAGGTCTGGCTCGAAATCATCAGCTTTGGACTGGAGATACTGGTCCAAGAGCTGCTCTGCGCCGTCCAAGTTGTTGTGATGCAAGTCTCTCCTGAGCCGAACGAATCCCCTATACTTGTACCAATACTGGTTGGGCTTCCATGAACGTAAGGAGTTCTCGTCAGCCTTGTCGAGGATTTCCATGGCCTCGCGATATTTTCCTTGGTCAAGGAGTGCGAGAGAAAATCGGCTCAAAATCTTGAGCTCATCATCGAACATGGAGTGGTACGTGTGGCACCGCAGGAAAATCTCACACGACACGGCGGAGAGATAGCCCAATCCCAGCCTTCCCCAGAGCGACGAGTAGAGCCCCAGCTGTGCTCCAAACATGCCCTTCATATTTTTCTCTACAATGATCTGTGAGCTCCGCACCATGTGCTCGAGAGCGGTGGCTATGCTGTCGCCGTTAATCAGGCAGAGTTTTGCCTCGCTGAGCAGCACGGAGCTCCAAAGGGTCCACATCCCAGCCTCTCGTGCCTTGACTCGGAGGAATGCCATGGTTTCCTTGCCCGTGCCCAGCAAGTTGTCCGAACGGAGGTCACGGATGAGATCTGGGTGTGCCTGTCCAAAGTGAAACAGCCAATTGAGAGAGAAGTTGAGGCAAGTCATGTCTCGGTTTTCCCTCGCCGTGGCTACTGTCTCCAGCATCGCCGTCATGGCCTCCTTATAGCAGCCAAAGTCGGCTTGCAACACAGCCAAGTTCATCAAGGCATACTGGTAGAAGGATCGATCTCGGTGCTGCATTGTGTAGTCAAAGTACCTGTGCAAGAAGTCGAATGCCGTTGGGTAGTCCCCGGCTCTCCAGGCGTCAAGGAAGCTAAGGGCATATTCAGCATCGTCGCGAAACATAGCATAGAAAAGCAGAGCGGGGACTTACGTGATGTAGTGCGTAAGGCTTGGGACCAGGAAGCTGTCGTTGAGGAGGTCGTGAAACTGGTGCCGGATTTCCAAGGGTATTCTGTTGCCGTATTCTCCAGGTCTCAATGTTAGCTTTGCACGCATGACAGCGGCCCCCCATGGAAAGGCCTCCTCGTCGGCCAACTTACTCTGCATCTGCTCGATCTGAAAATCTAACAAGTTCTCGACGTCGTCTATGCTGACGGGAAGAGTCCCAGTGTGATCCCCGGCCAACATGTCGCCGTATGCCACCGACGCCAGGCTCGCCACTTTGTCGACATCCCAGTCCTCCAGTTCTCCGCGCAACAGCACATTGTCGAAGCTGTACCTGCTGAACTCTGGATTCTTTCGCTTCTGGTAGTGAGATGTCGGCTGTCGGTAGCGGACAAAGTCCTTCCATAGCTCAGTGCAGTCATGAAAGTGCAAACGTTGGTATTCAAGGCGGGCCCTGCGGACGAAAGCACCCAAAGGGGAGTTGGGGGCGAGTTTGACACCCGACTCAGGCTGGTCGGGATCCGAACCTTCTTTCCGGAGGTCGTCCTTTGTTTTGGGTAGTGCCGACGAAAGTTGGTCGAAAAATCCTTCGAGGGCATAGAGCGAGTCGATGCCCCAGAGCTTGTTGAGGAACTGGTCCCACAGCCGCTTCCCGGGTAGGCCCTTGAGAAACGGATAGCTGCTCAGCAGCTTCTCGAAGTCCTTGATCGAGATGACCAGGCTGACGGCACGCTCAGCCTTTGTCCACCTCGTCGTCTGGCTTGCAGAAGGCCCGTTCGGGTCGTAGCCCGTGATTTGAGATGCAATGAACGACAGCACAGGCACGACTGCATCACTGGGAATCGCCTCCTCGACATAGAGCTCGACCAGAACGAGAAGGCCAACCTTGGCTGGCGTAAGGTATCGCGCCATACTTGGCAAGCGTTGGGAAGCTTCTGGTCTTGACTAGAGCGACGGACGACGGGCGACGGATATCCAGCGCCGGATCTTGTACCAAGAGGAATAGAAGAGTGATAGGCCCGGGGACGTAAAGCTCAAAGCTTCTCCATATTGCAGACAACCCGGCAGTTCAGCGTGTGAAGCTTCGCGTTCATGTAGAATAAGGCAGGGGAACAGAGATGCAGAGGTCAAGCGACGTCTCTGATTAGATATTCTTTGACGCTGTCATGCTGGGGAAGGCAAGCATCGGTGTGTGGTTCTACCCAGACGCGTTCGAAGCCGCTTGAGCAGCTATCGTGAAAGTCCCAAATGGCTTATGTAACCTGACATCCCTCATGCCTCGGGGCAGGAGCACCTCGGGCAGTTGTAGCGACCTGTAGAATTGGGCGGAACGGAGACTTTCCTTTATCGCTGATTGGCAGCGGGATTTCTTCGGAGCATCTTCCACCAGCCAATTCTACCTTGCTGCTAATATGAATACCTACGTCGACATTAACTCGTGGGATTGAGATTCCGCGGGATTGTTTGTACGAGGTGTATGTAGGTATGTAGGTACCCAGGCAGGTGCGAAAGGATTGTTCAAAGGCCATCCTAATTCAACTCTCACAATCCAGCCACGGGATCGTCAATTCGAGCTCCAACAGAAATATACACAGTGGTTCCAAAAAAGAGAAGTCTACAGTTATCAGCAATTTGCCTCCAAGAACCGCCTATTCCAGCTTATTTGGTCTTGTCCTTGTTGTGGTAGTTGACCTTGTCGTTCCAGCTTTCGTGTTGCAATGTGGTTAGCGCACACCTCCCGTCTCATGATACAGAAAAGGTAAGCACATCGCAGGAGGGGAACACCCCTGCGTGACGAGCGCATAATGAACTTACAAAAGAGTCTGCTATCTGTTAGCATGCAGTTCAATAGCACAGTGGGGAGGACGACTCACCTTATCACCATCACCCCACTGGAAGTTCTTGGTGCGGATGTTCTGGTAGGGGTACTCAGTGCGCTCTGGCAGAGGGGGAAGATGGCTCCAGTGCTCCCAGTGTTCGTTCCACAGCCAGTACGCATTGGCAGCAGCGACAACAAGTGCAGGGACAACGCCGCTTCGGTCTTGTTAGCCCTCTCCTCATCGATCCGAACGAGCCCGACGCATTCCAGCTGTTTTCCCCTCATTGAAAGCTGGACAAGGCAAGGAGAAATTTCGCTCAGTCGAGGACGGATATAGCAGACGTACTAGATGGAGATCTTCTTCCAGAGCTCTAGACACACAGAGTTAGACAGCTGCTTTCAAGCGCAAACGGGGCGTCCGTGGCCATGGGCACTCACCAGTGGTGCTCTTGGCGTGTTCCTTGATGTGCTGGCGCTCAGCGATGAACTCGTTCTCAGCAGTGCTGGCAAAGCGGCGCTGCATGGGAGTGCGCAGCTGCGCAGCAAAGCGCGGGGCGGTGCGGGTGATCTGTCGGGCAGCAAACATCGTGGGCGGTTCGAATTCGACGGCGACGTTCAAGTCTCGGAAATGGGTGCAGAATGTGAGATCAGGTCATATTCGATGGAGCTCGGCTAGAGCTGCTCATGGATGCCTCAATCTCCAGGCGCCACTCTGTTTCGATCAGTCACGTGACCTCGTGACGTATTCGCGAGCACATCATGTGTGAGAGCTGCCTCGATACGTGGGGCGGCTCCATCATCTTCCCCAGACGACATCTCCTGCGCCTTGAGATGCAGTGCCTTGGCAGCGCGTATGAGCATGTGCAAGCTACCAACGCGCGCCAATTTCCCCAGTGCAACAGATTCCGAACGCCGTTCAGCGTCGGACATACACTTAAGCCTTCTCTCAGCAGCACTCGCTCTTGCCGCCAGCAAATTTCGATCACGTGTGGTGAATCTACTGGACCGGGATGTTCTGGTTGCGACACCTCGTGGTAGAGCTGTTAGACTGTTATAGATCTCGACAATCGACCACTCCTCCGAGATAAGATGGGATTTCGCATTACGACGTGGAATGGTTTGCCCCCCCCCCCCCCCCCTTTCGATTGACTTGATAGCCTTTGGCTATAGCAACTCGCTAACAGAGACTCAAGTTAACGGCATTAGGTTCGTCTCGCCTTATCTGAAGATCTTGAGTCAGCGGCAAGCGTTTCCAGCGGTTCTGGATGCTCACACAGGAACAGAAACCCATTTGGGTACCAGCCATGGAGAGAAAAGCGTACATTTCAGGTCTGTTATGGTCATGGAGGCGGACGCGCCCAAGAGTAGATTGGACGCTGCTGACAACTCTTCACCCAGGCTATGTTCGATCTTTTGGAAGCCGATATTGTCGTACTGCAAGAGACCAAGATACAGCGTAAGGACCTGACGGACGATATGGTTTTGGTTCCTGGATGGGACGTCTACTTTAGTCTGCCGAGACACAAAAAAGGTCTGTTGGTGCAGCTTTGGCACCCTACTACAGCACGAACAGCAGTTAACGCGATGTACCCAGGATACTCTGGCGTTGCCATCTACACGCGGAATGCCACTTGTGCACCCATTAGGGCCGAAGAAGGAATACTGGGTGTGCTCTGCCCTCCCAAATCAACTACCCAGTTTCGAAACCTACCCGATGACCAGCGGATCGGGGGTTACCCCAGGCCGGAGCAACTCTCAGGAAACATCGACGAACTGCTGCTGGATTCCGAGGGTAGATGCGTTATTCTCGAATTCCCCGCCTTTGTGCTGCTGGGCGTTTACAGTCCAGCTAACCGCGATGAGTCAAGGGTGGAGTTTCGCATGGAGTTCCTCCAGGCCCTGGACGCTAGAGTGCGAAACTTGGTCGCTGAAGGCAAGGAGGTGATATTGGCGGGGGACCTGAACGTCAGTCGCGCTGAGGCCGACTCCACCAACATTGTCGAGAACCTTCGAAAAGAAGGTCTGAGCATGGAGGAGTGGATGAACCTGCCCTCGCGCCGACTCTTCAACCATCTGGTCTTTGGAGGCACGGTGCAAGGAGAACGCGACGTAGGGCGGGAGCAGCCTGTGCTGTGGGATCTGTGCAGAGAATTTCACCCCGCACGAGAGGGCATGAACACATGTTGGGATACGAAGCGAAACACACGACCGGCCAACAACGGCAGCCGCATCGACTATGTGCTCTGCAGCCACGGGTTGAGAGACTGGTTCACAGAGGCCAACATTCAAGAAGGCTTGATGGGATCTGATCACTGTCCAGTCTTTGCCACGCTAGCCGACGTCGTGACGACTGGAAATGAAAAGGTGTCGCTTTTGCACCTTGTCAACCCAGTCGGCATGTTTGACAGAGACGGGCGACGCCTCCGGGAATGGCACCCGAAGGACGTTCTGCCCTTGTCAGCCAAGCTGATTCCTGAATTCGACCGGCGACAGAGCATCCGGGACATGTTTACGAAGAAGGCTGGCGTTAGACCGTCGAGCTATTCTTCGTCACTGGGCGCCGGCGAACCTACCCCGGAAGGAGAGCCAGCGGGCGACTCGGCGCGCTCAGAGCAGCTCGAGAGCAAGACGAAGACGAGCCACGCTGCTGATCATGGGCTCGGATTGAGCGACGCTAGGCACTCCGCAAGATCAAATCCGCTACTAGCTCAGTTGGGGTCACAGGCGCCATCGACCCCATCGTCCACAAAACGTGCTGCGGGGTGTGTCGATCGTGCTCGTCCACCATCTCCGAAGCGAAACAAGGCGATCGACGGCGGTGCTGCTATTACGAGCACCACTCCCACCATTCGTGCCACCACTCTCAGCAGGAGTAGCAGCAGCAGCGCTAGTCTGAGCGCTACGGAAAGGAAGAATGCCAGAAGCTCTCGCGCTGGCACAAGAGGACAGACGACTCTGCAGGGCTTTTTTCAGCCCTCATCCGCTAAGCGGGTGACGAAGGGAAGAGACGGCGACGCCACCACGACTGCCAGCGCCAACACCAGCGCCCCGTTTTCTTGCGAGCAAACAACAGCGGCGGCAGCAGCGCTGCCCTCTGATCGCCTGTCGTCACACCAGGCCGGGCCAACCTCTGCGACTGGCAAATTGCCGCTAGAGAGAAGCGGCGATGATTGGCCCGAGGACCCCCCAGATGGACTGAACCCAGCCGTGGAAGCCTCCACCCTTCCGATGGAAGTTGACAGGGTATTTGACCCAATTCTAGCAAAAGAATCCTGGTCAAAACTGCTCGGAAAACGGAAGCTTCCCCGATGCGAGCACAATGAACCCTGCATCAGCCTCGTCACGAAGAGGCCTGGAGTCAATTGTGGTATGTTGAGGTCTTTCCTCCCCTTGCTATTCCCTTGTTCTGTTTTTTGTCTGTTTCTTCTCGTTCAATCGGCTGCTCCAAAGCTGGCTGCAGCAATTCCCGAGTTATTTTTATGCTTTCTGCTTTGACTCCCTTTACTCGTACTCGTTAGGCCTGTCTCCTGCCCACACCCCTCTTCTTTTTAGTAGAAGGTGTTGGCTGCTAGTACCAATGATGGAGGCACGCCCTTCACTACACACTACCTACCTCTTCTCGCCGGTGAACTGCGAGTACGATACTCGAGCATGTACAATTACCACATGCGCAGACCAGCTGGTGGCTGACACTTGCTAACAGGAAGGTCGTTCTATATCTGCGCCCGGCCGCTAGGTCCCTCCGGCGAGAAAGAACGAGGCTCTGAGTGGCGGTGCGGTACTTTCATTTGGAGCAGCGATTGGAACGGATCACCTTCTTGACATAGCGCCTGTTGCAGTTGAATCAGCTTGTTGTTAGACCTCAAATGGCTGTAGTGAACGCGGCATTTCTTTCTCTTTAGACTGTCGTGCTTACTGCCCTCAGCACCTCACAAAGTTTGGCCTTTTCCTTATCGTGTCCAATTCAAGTTGTCGCCGCAATGTAGTCCGAACGAGATCAGTTGATCTCCACAACTCAAGTTTGAGGGTAGCTAAACCTTTCACGATATACGAGATGCTAGTGTTCATCATTGGCAGAGTGACGGGAGGCGAGAGGTCTAGTGTGAAAGAGAAGCAAAGTTGCAGATTGGAGGTTGTAGATGGTAGCATTTGACTTTAATTTATCATCTCGAAGAATATGGAACTGTGATCTAGAAGGACCTGTGTCCGGCTTGGTTGCCACGGTTATGAGTGCCTACTAGGCAATCGGCATAGTATGCTGATGGAACCCTATTACAACCAAAGCTCTCGCTATCTTGAAAAACACAGCCTGATTCCAATGCTTGACCCGGTGTAGAGGCAGCCACAGCTTGCTCTCTGATATTAGGTAGTCTCCGCCCAAGGCTCCATGGCCCTGAACTTGTAGTCTGGGTAACTCGGTGTGTAGTTGCACATCTCTGCAGGTCGTTCCAAAAAGATTTCCTATGAAGTGGTCTGTTTCCTCGTCCACCAAGGCAAGAACTACTGTTCATGTAACAATGATCAGTTACTGTGCCGTCCAGAGAAATAGATAGCAAGGTGCACTTACAAACCTCTGAAAGCTGTCGAGGAAACTGAGCGGTGAAAGTTCCGCCTGTTTTAGGGACGTGGTACTCTGTTTGTACCATGCCCGAAACTGCCCGAGGCATTCAGCCTAGCTATGAAATCATCTGTGGCCTGTTAGATGAGCTGTTCCATTAAAAGCATCATTTCGGCCTTACCATTGGCACAAGCGACAATATCTCACAGAATCTATAAGGACCGAAGCGAGATTTCCGTAGTGTCTAGCCTTTGCCAATTATGCCGCAGCCACAGATTGATCATCTGCAGCTGTGCCATTGCCAAGGGAGGCCTCTGGAAGATTGGCCTCGCTCATGATAGCATGACCTTGCTGACGGCGAGCGCGGCGTCGTTTCTCGGAGGATTTGCGCGGCTTGTATTGGTAGTCGGGATGCTTCTCAAGCAAGGCAAGTTTGATTTCCTCCGACATCTCCTTGTACCTTTGTCGGACTTCTCTTGACTCCTGGTTCCAAGCTCGTCCTAATATTTGAGCTGCGTCAAGGCATACGTCAGCACATGGAGCTCGTTTCGTTTTGGGCAAGCTTACAGATCTCGTTATTCGTGATACCAGGATTGGCAGCCTTGACCAGATTGTGACGATCTTTGCGGTACAAAATGTACGCATTGGGAGGTCGTGGAATCTTGGTTGGCTTCGCCGGAATCGAGCAGACTGCGGTGGTTTCGAGCCGAATGGAGCCATCGTCCATTGTCCAGAATGGCTCCAAGCCATCAGGAGAATGCACAACACCACCATTGGCAATGAAATACCGTGGTGCGCCAAGATAGTGTCGGTCTTCTCCATTGCCATCACGACAAAACATGACAGCTTCCTTTACATGCTCCCTAATATCATATCAGAATCGAGCCCGAGATCAAAATGGCCAACACTGAACTCACATGAATTTCCTGGCCACATATTGTCTGCCATAATCATCTAACATACGGTAGATGTTGCCATTGATGCAGAGAATCTGGAGGAAAGGATTTATTTGTTCTTTCAGGCCATCCCAGATTCCGGCCAGATAGACCGCAGTCTGCACATCTTGGGAAGATGTCGGCTGTGCGAGATCCATGACTGCGTTGACTGATGGTGCGGGCTTGCTCTGGTAATATATCGCGAGAAGATGGGATATGAACGTTGATGCAGGAGTTGGAAGATAGGAGGAACTTGAGAGGTAGGAAGTTTTCGGTCGCCTAGGTAATGCTTTGAAGAATTGAAAAGGCTGTGGGTGGAGGGTGAGCTACAAGTGAGCCGGAACGTGCCGTGGTGATTCAACTTACTGGCCTTTATTGATGAGAGCTGCCAACCCAAAGCGAGTGAATCTGAATAGTGCCCCCCCAGCCCCTCCGTTATTTAGCGCCAGGTCAGTGCGCGCTCCCCACCTATCTCTCTTTTCTCACCCTCCCTCCTTGGGGAAAAATGACTAGGTACTACTGATATGTAAGAAGGTAAGGTAGAAACCTAGGTACTACTAGGTAATATGTATTTCTGCTTGCCAACGACAAGCTACCTCCTAAGGAACCTTGCAAGCGTACCTAGGTACCTTCTAAAGGAAGTGTTGGGGCTAGAATCTAGCAGTCCCACCCGCCCATCGCCAGAGGGTGTGCATCTTCGTAACAATACGCCCACCGTGGAGATATCCTCATTTCGCACACCAGCAAAATGCTCTCCAGGTGTGCATGACGTTCGAGGCAGTACTTCACCCAAGATGCGCGTGAAGTTTAGCTTTGGGAACAACCTGAAAGTTCGTGAAGGACATTTATGTACATACCATTTGCATCAAATCAGAATATATACGATCTCCATGGAAAGGATAAGATCAAGCAACATGTCTTCGTCCGTTCCGCCAGAGAGCGCAATCACTTATGCCAATGGTTTCACACAAATGCAGTTGCAGTTTATCACTTTCCAGGGGCGCAATGTTGCTGGGACATCTAGTTGCGAAAGCTCGATTCTGTTATTTCATACGATTCAGATCTGAGATTCCAAACGGACAGTGTACGATCCATGAAGAATTTCAACATGGAGGTAGTTCATGACAACGTTTGACTTGAAATACTGGCAGAAGCTGAAATTGATCTTGGCAAGAGCCAACACAAACAGCAGGCGTATTTAGCGGATATCCACATACGTAAACATTTAAATGGTGCCGTGGGTCTTTTCCCACTGACAAGCTTTCGCCTTACTTCTGCAGGGTCTCAGATGCAGCAGAGTGAGTTAAAAGTGAGGTGAACTCATGGGCACAAGCGTCCATTCACCTCGATCCTTCACTTTTATTTCACTTGCAGAGAGTAGAACCTTAGCAACCTGAAGAAGACCCCACACGGACTCGGCGGCCCCTTCGCAGACCTGTTATTCTCACCTTCAACATCCCACTGATCCCATACCCTCATACTCTGGGGATTTCTTCATCACCACTCGAAGCAAACTGATTCAATAATCAACCTTGACCAACTTCTGAAGGACACCAATTTTCGCAGCCATGTCAACTACCAAACTCCCACCAATTACTGCTCTCAAAGCCCTGGAGCCACGCCCCGGTGGCCACTGGACAGTCCAGGGTCAGGAAGGGGATGCCATCTCTCTTTCATACGTGTTGAATGGCGCAGAGGCCATGACATTCGATCTCCGCCAGTGTAAAACCGAGGAAGATGTTCGAAAGTTTTGTTCTTCATTTGTCTACGAGTACACTGACAACGGTATGATTACTTCTCTGAAGCTTATCATCTCCCCTCTAACAGTTCTCATCTCTAGCTTCTGGAAGTGAATGGCACCATCAACCTACCTCTGAAGTCCCTACCGATAATGTCCAACCTCAAGAAGCTGCATCACTGTTATATCACTCGCAGTCACAGAGCACCATGGGGCAATACTCAACAGTTCAAATTCAGCAACCGCCGCCACAACAGCTTCTCTTTGGCGCTCAGGCAGCTATGGTGCCGCCATCCGAATCGCAACCTCAGGGAAATTTGACATTTGGAGAGACGGCTATACCTTCGAACTCTCAGTTCTACCAACAAGACCAAAATTATTCGTTACCTAATGGCCAAGGCCTTTCACATGACAGTTTCGCTCCTGGAACTGGCGAGTGGCCACTAGGCAATGAGATTTTCCCCGTAGGCGTAGGAGAAATTCCTATTTCTATCCCGAACCCGGAACTCGGAATAACTCAAGACGATACTATGTTCTTGGGTGCGTGGCAGCAGGGCTGGGCTCACAACAGTTCGAATGGCACTCAAGCTTCTGATGGAGACTGGGACCTTTTCTTCTCACAACCCTAGACTCGTCTTCCTGCTTCCTAACGCGCTGTATTATTATTGTAACAGCTGAGGAAAGACAACAAAGGGCTAAAAAAGGGATGAGAAGAAGAGAGAGAAAAAGAGGAAAATATCAAAGAAAAAGGCAACAAAAACAGAGAGAAGAAAAGAAATGGGGAGGAAAAAAAAGTTGAACTAAAGACCTCCGAATGGAGGAGGGAGAAGAGGAAGAGGTTGAGTGAGCCAGAGAGAAGATTAGGGGGCATCGAGAAAGTTGTCGAAGCAGATCCATTCCAAGCAGCGAAGGAGCTTCTAGGCGGCCATTACGAAGAGAAAAGGGTTGCGGCTCTTGGAGTCAAGTCTCATCTGGTCGAGGACCTCAACGCAGTGAGCCACCTGCCTCTGCAGTTTGCCTATCCGGACCCACGACAGATTTACAACTACGCCTCTTCGACGGCCGCACAGCCATACCAGCCCGAGATGCCTCAGCTGGACTACTTTGCCACCATGACTGAGAGCGATACGTTCGACCTCGACAATCCTTGGGACTTTGACAAGATGCTGGGCTACAAGGAGAACGAGGGCGATAGAGGTTTGTCTCCCCCACAAGTTCTCGACAGCTACCTACTTTATTACCTTGAGTTACCAGTGTCACTAATGCTCCAGTGCCTTACCTAGTAGTAATACCTGCTGCCGGCCTGCCACAGCCCAACAACCAGTACAATCCTCACAATGAGTTCTTCTACACCTTTTAAACCGAGCGACCTGATGATACGATCTTCGATGCTCACACGTCGGTGCACTACCCAAGGGAGCGGGCAGGGGGGACACGGCTCTTTTTTCTTTCTCATTCGGCATTGCGTTCACATACAGGCTTGTACTATATCGGCATGGGGGAACGGAAATTTGAAATGGTTTGGCAATTGTCTTTAGGTAGCATAGGAGAGCCATGGTAGCAGGCCCAAGCCTGGTTTCGACACGAGGTTAATGATACCCATCAGAATTCGAATATCTAGACATTACGCAGAGAGTGTGCCGCATCCAATGCATAGGTAGTGCTCTTCACTCGCTGCTTGCTACCTGCTTGATCTTCCTGATACTCACTAGGTACCTTATTCAACTCCTCACGAGACAGGTAACATGAAGCCATGACAGAGCGCAGCGTACATGGGGTAATTGGAAGGTAAGTTTGAGATATTTCGCCTAGATACATGAGTAATACAAGGTAGTGTCACCTCATCTAAGCGACATTCCCTACGAAATTGCCCACGTCGTAACGCAGGTGGATCAGAATCAGCTTCAGTTGACGGCATCGGAAGTAAAGACTGGTCAAGCCAGTGTTCGATGACCAGCAAGCCAGACCGAGGCAAAAATCTGAGCAGCTCACCGCCGGACACCGCCACCCCTATACACAACGCAGAAGTCGAAGAGAACCAGGAGAGCACCAATCAACAGTCACTTCCTTGCTGGCCAAACGATGGTCACCGATGTGTTCTGGATCAAGAGACCCCTTTGGTCATTCCTCTCAGAGCACTATCCACAAAGGTGCCGCTATTGCTCACCACTGAATTTTCTCACCTTTCCTGTTCTTTAATTCCCCATCCTGCGTTCCCTGCGCCGCAGCCTTCTCCTCCGCCCCGTTTGTCGCCCAAACCCGCTCAATGCAAAGCTCAAAGGGCCCCTCCACGCGATCCGTCAGCCCAATGCCTACGGTGTGGACTCTTTGTCTCAGCAGCTCCGTCTGAGGCTCGACAACGAAGCCGTGATTTGTGCGTACAAAGTCGTTCCATCGAATGAGGACCGTCTCCCATTGCCCAGGACGTTTTGCGAACAGCCGGTGCTGGTGCAGATCGGTCGGCTCAACGCTCTCTGTCTGGACATTGACATAGTATGCCCTTCCATCGGACTTGACTCGCAATGCAAGATATGTATACGGATCAATATCCCAGACGGAGCGACCAAAGGCGGTAGGCGGCTGATCCGGCGTCCGAAACGCAGCATAGCCCGTTCGCTGGATTGCCAGGCGATCTGAAGGCAGTGAAGTTGAGATGTGGCCGTAGAAGCGCGCGTAAGAGGAGGGTGCCGGCGTCGATGCCGAAATTTGCGCCGAGGACGAAGACGTAGGAGTAATAAAGTCGAGGTGGCTGGTAGAGGAGCCGCCAATTAGAGTGTCGGACATGACGATGCAGTTGCTGACCGAATCAGCGCTGTGGAAGTCGTAGAGTTCGCGGGGGCCTGAAGGGCCTTTGACAGCGTCGAGGTTCCATGCTGGCGACGCAAACGTTAGCTGAGCCGGGTCAATATAATGCACATCGTCTCTCCAGCCCCCCGCGGGCGGCGAGATAAGTGTACATGCTCCTGGGTAAGGCACTGTACCTATGCTGGATCGCCTCTTGAGCTCGTCAAAGCTCCGCGCCAGGAAGCCCTTGGCGAGCATCGGCTGCGTGGCTCTCATCATCACGGGCAGAGCGAGAGCAGGAGAGTAAGAAGCCCTGACGGGGTATATCGAGGCTGGCAGGATTTCAGCGGACGAGCCAATCGGCTCACCTAAAGTGTAGTGACATGAGAGAATCTGAGCTATATGGATCACGCAGCAGGAAAGCTTCGGGTCAATCCTGCTTTGCCCAATGCGCAAGAAGAAGCGATGCTCGGCCCTCTTCGGGAGGTGAGGGACGTTCAAACGGTTGTCCGGACCCGGCCGTGAGAGAGAGAGAGAGAGAAGTGCGCCGGCATTCGGGTTATCGTTAACCCGTCCTCTTTCTACGCCGTCATCGACAAAAGTTCAACGCCATGCCGGCATTTTAGAGACGTCGAATTCCGTAGGATGATGCTGGCGATGGCGATGTGAAAGCCTGTTGCCGTTCTCTTCCGTCGCTCGAAAATAGCACAGCCTGTCAAAGGGAGACAGTCAGTTGCGCTCGTATCGCCCCAGATTCCACTGCTCAGCTCGCCGCCATGTCTCACGCTCCCACGATGCGGTCCCTCACGGCGCCGGCTCTCCGTTACGGCACAGCAAACTCTGTCTCAAGATGCGCCGCAAGGCCATTGGCTGCGCAGATGGTCCGGCAATATGCAACACAGCCCTCCCGGAGCAGGACAATGAGAGAGATGGATCGCGCGGCTCGCGCAGGCTCCAGCAAGATGACGAAGGAGCAGAGCATCTCGCAGCTGCAGAAGATGGCAAACGCGGAATACTTCAAGGATGGAGGGGGGCCGCTGTTTCCAGGTTCGTACACGCTCTTTGCGCTCAATCCTGCCAGGAGGCACAGGCTAGGCTGCCTCTGCCGTGTTCTGCTGGCTCTTGCTGGCTCTCGCTGACATCGAATCCCTAACCTTTAGGCACGTTCGTATCCCTTCCGCTGTCTCGCCTGCCGCTGAACCCTGCGGACTTTGCGCAATACCAATGGCACCGGTTGAGGCACTGGGTGATTGAGACCGTTTCTTTGCTCAACTTCAAGCTGAAATCCATGCCCAACTGGACGACTCGACCCCAGTGGAAAGCTCGGCGCGGCAAGATTGCGCCCACAGCCAAGGCTCTGTACCAGGAAGTTCTGGAAGCGTTTGCCGCGGGAGATAAGGCGACTCTGGAGAGGATCTGCGTCAACGATTTCGCAAAGAAGCTCATTGCGGCTATCGATCGCCGTAACCCCAGAGAGCGAGTCCACTTCGAGGTGACCAAGTACAACAACCCGCTCTTCTACCCTAAAAGAACGGCACACCAGATTCACCAGATCAACATGTACGACAAGAACCTCATGACTGAGCAGGCGGTCGTTGCCATCTCCTCTACGCAGCAGGTGTCCCGATATGACGCATCTACCGGAGAAACCATCCCCGGAAGCGTCAAGATCCAGGACAAGGTGGAATATGTGGTGCTCTCAAGGCAGGTCAACGCAGTTACGTTCGAGGCGGGTCCGTGGAGAGTTTGGGGAACAACGGCGCCCACGACGTTGGAGACGTATCTGGAAGAGAAGGAGGCCATTGACAAAGAGCAGGCCAGGCGAGCCGGATGGAAGCCAGCGTCCAAGTAGGTAGATGCTTCGATGCATGGCGTGCGATGGAAAAATGTAAATGTAATCTCGAGAGCGGGGAGAGCCAGCAGGACAAGGCCATGTACAATATCATCAAGGTAGGGTCAGCAATTGCGTTTATAGAGAGATGGCGAATAGATCCTGAGCCTGCTGGAGTGTTGACGAAAGCTTGACATTGAAGGTTAGCAGCATCAAGCCGTCCAAAGGCTATGACAAGGAGCGCCATATATCGACGTCTCCATGTACCTAGGTGCCAGTGCTTTGATACTGGCCTTTCGGTCTCCTTTGCATTCACTCTCTGAGGCGGGCATGGCGGCTATCTAGCATCTTACCCATCCGCAACCATGCGAATCCCATGAAAGCAAGCATTTAACAATTGCTCTACGTGGTCATCTCTTCTTTCAGGGACCATGCATAAGTAGCTCTCCTAGCCAGGGCAAGCTCCTGTCTCAGCGAGAATCTCATCATTCACCGTGATGCTTGACCCAGCACACCGAACCTGGTTGCCAGCTGCAAGCCTCTCGGAAGTTGATTTTCTGCCATCTGCCAGCACTGCCAGCGCTGCTAGCACCGCCATCAGTCGAGGTTCAAGGGCCACTGTTCAAAGAGAAGACTCCTTCTATTTTTTCGACTATTTGTTTTTGTCCTCTTCTCCCCATTTTCTCAACCTTTCGAATCTACCACTATCCAAACTACATCCTCAACAGCCATATATCCATCAGAAACCGCAGCACCTCACGCCTTTGCCATCGCCAATCTGCTTGTCAAAGGCAATTTGAGGGCATTACTAGCCGAGCTCTTTGAAGCCCTGAGTTTTCCAGGCTCTCTGCGTCGTCCACCTTGACTTCTGCTGAGGAGGTATCTGCAGCTCAGTTTCTGTCGGCTACAAACCATCACATTCGAATCTACCTCACAGGCAAGTATCATCTGATAGGTGCCTATCTCACTATTCCCGCATCCATCATCCATCCTTCTATGCCCTGGCCTCTCTTCTTCTTCCCACACATGTGCTGCGCGTATCTCCTCACTGTTCATATCCTTCCTTTCTACTCTCCACCGCTCTCACCAATCTTCTCATCTTCCTTTGGCTTTCTCTACTCTCAAGCTAAACCTGTTGACACTTCGCAGAGCCTACAATGCCAGCCCACTCTTCCCTTCGTCATCCAAAGAAGACGCTCTTGAAGGCCTCCTCCTTCGACGTCCTGCGTCAACTTAACTTCGATACCGAGGATATGTTCAGCCCTGGTATGAAGCAGCTCGTATCTTCTCTACCTCAATCTGAGTTACTGAACCGATACAGGCACGAGCAGTTCGCTGAACCAGGATACTGCGTGAGTACCTTGAACACCTTAACCTTTCCTCTCAAGATTCGCTCATCACTTTCTAACGAGAATAAACAGCCCCAGACGGCCTGCTTCGTCCGGCAATCTGGTTAACCAAATCGCAAAGTGTGGTGAGAAAGAAAGGTATGCGATCATCCCTAGCCCTTGATGGCCTTAACCGTGTACTATTTACAAAATCTTCTTCCTTTCTAGCTCACTCGCCTTTCAAATTGGAAATGCCAGCAAGTACGACGTTTTCATTGATCGATCAGCATCCGGAATGATTCATGATGGTTCACCCTCGAAGGGGACGGAGAATAGTACTGAAGAGGCTTCACATGAGGGCGAATCGCAACCCTCGCACAGGAATACCAGCTGGGCTCTGGCCACCCGCGAGCCTCCTCAAATCGACGCTCAGAATATATATCCATCATCGGCCTGCGTGTTCGTCGCCAAGTGAGTATATGCTATATTGTTTGAACTTGGCCCTTAGCATCAGCTAATAGTTAACCTTAGTCTAAGCCAAGCAGTTGACGACCGGAGACTGGAAATTGAAGTCACCAAATACTTCTCCCAGTATGGCACTGTATTTGTCAAGATTCGTCGAGATGGCCGCCAGATGCCGTTTGCTTTCTGCCAATTTACCGTAAGCCCCGAGGACAGTACCTGAGAAGACGCCGAGGAAGAAGAGACAAAGAGTGTAGAATCAAGCTAACGGGAACTGCAGTGCGATGCCGACGCAGAGAACGCCGCCCAGCACGGAAATGGAGCAGTGATACTCGGACGCCCATGTCGCGTCGAAAAGGCCACTGCTCACTGTAAGCACATCTCCCACTCCCGGTCTCACGGACATGTTTGACTGACCGCTTCGTCTCGTAGCGTGTTATGTTGTGTACAAGCTCTCCGGCGCCGAAACAACTAGACAAGAAGCCATCGACCTGCTTGGTTCGTTGGGCGCAATAGCCAAGGTTCATCCCTTGAGTCTCAATAGCCAGAAGATGGACAAGTTCCCGTCCGCCATGGTAGTTCACTATAAGCGCTACGACTCTTCGCGAGCTGTGGTCAAGGTAAGAATGGGAATCTGAATGCCCGCTGCTTTCCCTTCCTCGGTCTCTAGGCTAACCACTCGGCTTCCCCGTCCCGATAGACCTTCGAAGAACACCCCATCTTCCGCGTGGAGGCATACGATCCCAAGGCCGAACTGCGTCAACAGCACAAGAGAAGCGACCAGCAGAGCTACGCGCAATATGAAAAGGACCGTCGATCGGCATACTTCGGCAACTTGCCCCTCAATATGACTGCGGATGTGTTGAAGACGCTGGCAAGCCAGTGCGGCAACGTCCTCTACGCTGAGGTTGCCACCAAGGAAGTGCCTCAAACTGGCGGCAGGAGTAGGTTTCATGGTCTCGTTTGCATGTTTCGTTTCACCCACACGTGGCTAATCTTTCCGTTCAGCAGTTACGACGTGCTTTGGCTTCGTCGAGTTTGCGCGTCCTGATGCGGTCGAGAATGCCATCATGGATTATGTGAGTTGGTTTTGCAGTCTACATGTAACCTTTGTCTCGTCACATCGAGTGTTCACTGACGTTCCTTCACAGCATCGCAAGCCGATCGACGGCCACATCATCAAGGTGGAGAGGAAGCGTACGCGAACATTCAATGGCTTGTCATATGGAACCATTGGCTCTCAGCGAGGATCACTTGCTGGCGTCCAACCGTCTACTTGGCATGGGGGTAAAGGCGGTAATGGACACGGCAATCGAATCATGGACGCCAACACCTTTGTTCCTCCCGCTACAGGGCTCTCGACGCCTTTCCTTTCGTCGGGGCCCACTGGTCGAGACCAAGACGGTGGTATTACTACCCGTACACAGGCAGGTGAATCTCCTCGCCTTGCTCGGATCAACACCAGCCTATATGACCACTCCATCACGACCGGATCCGCCACCGGTGAGGAAAAGTTTGGTGCCTCAACCACTTGCGCAATTGCTTCCAACCACGGTCACGATGCCCGACGACCGGGATCCGATGACGAAAACAAGTTCAAGCCTCGAGCCGCATCAGAGGACAACAGCGCCGACAGGCGCAACGAGGCACTGCGAGATGGTGCGCCGAATCCTAACACCGGAGCCCGAGATGGAGCAATGGGATTGCAGCTCTCTCCCACCGTCGCTGAAAATGCAGTCAAGTCCGAAATCATCGCACATGCGGGCCTCAAAAGCGAGCCACACGAGCATTCTAGGGAGTTCGAGGGCAACGAGATAGCTCAGCACGAGGCTAGAGATGCCAGCAAGACCGTTGAGACTCCCACAAAGCCCCCGATGAAGCAAGGTGCCAAGACTCCTCAATCCTACGGTGCCGATTCCGCCACATCCTGCTTCTATCCACTCATTCATCCATATCCGTACTCCCCTTATGGTCTTCCTCCGATTCAGCCGCTCATGGCCAATTCCATGACACCGCAAGGTGGACCTATCATGTACAACACGTTCGGCCAGGCTTATTATAGCCCCACGCCATACTCCGACATATTTACTATGTACCCGATGATGCAACAGTATCCAACTGCTATTGTGGAAACCCCAACTCGCCCATCTATGTCTTCCAATAGCATCGAAGAACGACAAGAGACCAGGAATGAGGCATACAGCATGTTCCCAGAGGCTGGCAAGGGCATCAATGGAAACGGCCAAAAAGACAGTTTCTGAAAGAAGGTCGATGAATTTGAGCCTCGGTCATTTGATGTTGTTAGAATCTTGTTATCTCTCTCTTCTTCTTCTTCTTCTTTCGAACTATCGCCCCTCTGTCTTACAACAGCCCAGCAGCACCTCCCCAGAATCGACCAAGAAATGAGAAAAGAGTGTCTGGGAAGAAGGAGAAACCAAAAGTACCTATGTCGGTATATGGCTATCACCAGAAGAAATAAGGTTCTCGGGACTATCCGGCCGTTTCACGATTTCACGTCAATCCTTCGACTTTCGCCACTGGCGTTGTATCATGTCATATCCAGTGATATGACTACATTGAAACTTGGGACATTACGGAACGTCATATTGATATGAATGGCCTATATGAGAGATACAATATCCTGTTTCGTTGTCTCATTGTTCATTGAGCCAAGTTCAAGAAAAAGGAAAGACGATGAGAAATGTGTCCTAGTAATACAGAGTCATAGCTGTACACATGTAGATACTGAAGGTAGAAGAGAATCCGATAATCGCCAGTTCTAACCTGCCTACAAGGCAGGCCAAGGAGGCTTTTGGTCACGATGACGGCTCTATAATCGTTGGTACCATTGATGATACAGAGCTTAAAGCTCTGAAAAAAAGGAAAAATGTTCTGACGTGACCGCTTACAGAGCCTGGAGCGTTGATCGGAAAATGGCCTTCGCGGCTAGGACTAGTACCACCCTAGTACCTACCTAAGTCAGGTAGTGCCACGTGAGGGTCCTGTCCTTATCGCTTGTTCGTCCCCACTGTAAGTGTCACGGTACCTAGTATCTCCAAGGGCCTAATTTTCATCTGACTTGACCTACCTGGGGCCAGAGAACCTTGGAAGGAAACGCAGATTTTTTTCCCCCTTCAAGCACTCTTTACCCTGCTACCTAAGTAGGTACTCAAGGTGATTCACCTTTCGACACCCAAATCGAAGCACACTCGGAGCTCCTGTGCGCAAATCAACTAGACGATCCCACAGTACTGTATCTGTTGAGATTGTTTGCTCAACATGGGCCAGCCGTCTTTCGCCGCGTCCAACGCCATCATTTATGTCACCTATGGCTTCTTCCTGTGCGTATAAAACGATGTCACCTGTTCAGTGCTTCTCTCCCCACCTCGGAAGAAGTGAGAGTGAGATGGGATCTTGGGAATCGAAGAGAAGTATCTTCTGAGGCTAACGTGGACATGTACTCTAGCATCTTGGGCACGAGCATTGCTTGGAAGATGAGAAAGCAACCAAACACGGACTTTCTCTCCGGCAACAGGACACAGACCGGTCAGACATTGCGCATACGGCGTCCTCTTTTCAGCACTTCCGTGTGAATCTGCTAACATGTGTGCCTGAATCACAGCTTTGCCTCTGGCCTTCAACTTTATCGCCTCTGGTGAGTCGTGAATGAGAGCAATCAATGTGCTCGGTGCACTCTGTCTCGAACAGACAAATGTTCCACGGAGCGGTAGCAGAAACGTCGACTACAGCACCTTGATCTCATATGGCTGGCTGGAGCAACCGCCCAAGCACGCCATATCACGCACGATTGTACGTGAAGAGCTCGCACGACTTCGTCTCGCTTGCGTGAGTACGCCATACGAAAGGAACAGCAATTTACGGAAGAAAATGACTACCTGGAATGGGCATTTTCCAAGAAGCTGAACAGGTTCGTAAACCACAAACGCAATCTTCGTCTTCTTCCCCCCCCCTTCGATTCCCCGCCGCGATACGTCTCTCTCATTTGACTACTAATCGAAGGGGTTCTACGGTGTGAGTATTATACTCACACCACTGTGAGCCTGGGAAAAGAAAGGCACAATGACGAGGAAGAGAAGGACAAAGAGTGGAATGGGAATGAGAATCAAGATGTCCATCGCCGGGGACAAGATGGGGGGGAAGAGGATGCGGCTCACTACGGGCGCCGAGTTGAAGCAGCGTTGCAAGATCCAACCCTCAGGCAGATGTGGTTCGGGCGTCCTATGCCTAGGTCACCGTAACACGGCTCAGTTCTGCCTGAGGGAGATGTTGCGGCTGCGGCAACGAAGCTGAGATTGTACCGTGAATACTCGATCAAGTTAATGCTTGCGTGGGAAACGTGCTGCCGCTCCAAATCCCCTTCCCCTGTCACCCCTTTACCCCGTTTGAGTTTGTGTCGTGCTGACTGCCGCAGCCCTGGGATCCGGCATCCTGTTTTCGTACCCGGAGCTCGCAACGATAGCTGGTGTTCAGGGCGTCGTAGTCTACGCATTGGCTTCGGCGCTTCCCTTGCTTGTGTTCGCCGCCCTCGGCCCCATGATTCGCCGCAAGTGTCCCGATGGATTTGTCTTGACGGAGTGGACGCGCAACCGGTACGGTACGGTTGCTATGCTGTACCTGAGCTTCATGACGCTCGTCACCTTGTTCCTCTACATGGTAGCAGAGCTGTCGGCCGTTGGACAGGTTGTCAACGCTCTGACAGGCCTTGACGGGCTTCCGGTGATTATCGTCGAGTGTGCGGTCACCACGATCTATACCTGTAAGTCTGACACGGGGCTTTCGTTCTTGCCTATCCATAGGCATCTGGCTAACATGCGCGTCTCTGCGTGTGCGGTTTCTTAGCTCTGGGCGGTTTCAGAATCTCGTTCTTGACGGACGTGATTCAGGGAGCCATGGTGGTTGGGCTCATCATCATTGCCACCATCACGATTGGTGTCAAGGCGGAGATTGACCGCGACCTCATCGACTCGTCGGGGCTCACCAAGGCCAGCCTTGTGGGGTGGCAGCTGGTGTACATTCTCCCAGTGGCCGTGCTGACCAACGACTTCTTCCTATCCAACTTTTGGCTGCGCACCTTTTCGTCCAAGACGGACAAGGACCTGTGGGTGGGTGTTTCCATTGCGACGGTGGCCGTCCTGTGCATCCTCACCCTGGTCGGTGCCACGGGCCTCATCGCTGCCTGGACCGGCGCCTGGCCGGGAGAGTCGGACATTGACGGGTCCCTTGCCTTCTTTGCCCTGCTGGAGCAGCTGCCGAGCTGGGTCGTGGGCATCGTGCTGGTCATGGTCGTCAGCCTGAGCGTTTCTGCCTTTGACAGCTTGCAGTCGGCCATGATCTCCTCCGCGTCCAACGACCTGTTCCGCAACCGCCTCAATATCTGGATCATCCGGGTGATTGTTGTCCTGGTCATCATCCCTACAGTGGTGATTGCTCTCAAGGCGCCGTCCATCCTGCAAATCTTCCTCATCAGCGACCTCGCGTCGGCGGCCACGATTCCCGCGCTGTGTCTCGGGCTGTTTGACACCTTCTACTGGTGGCGCGGATTCGAGGTTGTCGTGGGAGGGCTGGGGGGCATCCTGACCGTCTTCATCTACGGTGCCATCTACTACGGCGACGCAAAGAGCGGTGGCGAGCTCATCTTGCTCGAGCAGGGCCTGTACGCGGGCGACTGGGGCGCCTTTGGGGCCTTTGTGGCTGCGCCGGTTGGGGGCATCATCTGGGGCTTCATTGCCCTGGCGCTCAGGCTCTCTGTGCAGTTCACTCTGGCCAAGATGCGAGGCGAGCGATTCGACGCTCTCGATCGCCCATTGGCGGAGGCTGGAGAGGAGGATGACGCTCAGCTTGTGACTGAGATTTCCACTTCGGTCCCCGGCAAGTTCTTCTGAGCTGGCCAATGGCAGATGCTCAGTTGGACTCGTTGTTTCGAACCCTCCAATCCTGTTCGGCATATACTGTTGAAGAAGACGCTTGGCTGGACCGGCCCCTTGTCGAAAAGCAGTGGGAAGCAAAGGGCATGCTGTGGACGTTGTAATATAGGTGGCTCATGCGGAGCAATCTGCGTGTCCTCCGTGGTGGTTGCAGGTACTGCTTCATAAGATACCTCATTGAAGGATACCAGCTTAGGTAGAAAGAGAGAAATAATAATACTTGATGTGGCGGTCATCAGGATCAGTGTGATATGTGTGCATTGAATTGTTCCATTTCTAGTTGACGCATCAGCTTCGATTGGCCGCACCAGGTTCTTCATGTTGTCCGACTGCGACTCAATTGCAGCTGCAAGAGCTACCTTAGGTACTACCTACCTAGTAGGTCAACATACAGCTGCAAGTGACCAAGAAGCCGCTAATGGGGCTCAGGTTCCCGAGATCTGCCCGTCATGTTACAGGCAATGGACCCCCTGAGAGATGCGCTGACGGCGCTTCCAATGGTGCTCCAGCTGCCTGTGCTGTGCTGTAAGGTACTGGACCGTTTTACCAGCTCGGCGCAACTCTCTTAGCGAGCCCCTTGTACCGCTCGATATCGGACCTCAGCCATAAGCGCCACCACTCCATAACGCCAGCTACCTGAGTATGTACCTTAGCTGGGTCGGCAAGACAAACCAGAGCCAATTCGACGCACGTCCTGTGGTAGCAACCCGTTATTATTTGCAGCCGCACTTGCATCATCAAGCCTCGTCCAAGCACAACCCACCGACTCTTCGAACTGACGTCTTTTATTTTCTCTTCTTTTGCTTTGCCCTATTCTTCACCTGCAATTGTTCCTCCTTGTGCCCAGCTACGAATCAGGCTCCAACCTTTCAGAACCCCAAGCTCTGTCTTGCTCAGCCTAACCCTTCAACCAAATCCCAGCAAGCCTCAGCCTCGCCCCTCGAACCTGGCGTCACAGAAGTCTCTCAGCTCGACAGATCCTCGTCGCCTCCCCGTCCCCGCCCGCCTCATGGCATAAACCACGGCTCTCTGCGATTGGCGATGGCGAAGGAGACAACTCCTCCTCCAAGCTACGAGGCCGTGTCCGCAGCCGCCGCCCCTCCCGCCCCCCTATCCATCACGCCGCCGAGGGTCACGAAGCGCCCCGTCTCGTCTCCGTCATCGCCATCCTCCTCCAAGTCCTGGCCCTCGTCCAGGTCGTGGTCGTCGCCCTCGCACCCGTGGCCGTCATGGGACGACTCTCCGGCTTCCCACACGCCTCCCCCGCGGAGGAGGCCCGCGTCCTCCAGCCTCTCCGCCCCGAGACCCCCCGACCTGACTGCATTGACGACCTTGACGCCGGCAGCCCCTGCTGCTGATGCTGATCGCTCTGGGCCTGGCTCCAGCTCCGGCTCTGGCTCAATCTCTGGCTCCGGCCCCGGTGCGCAGAACCCTCCGGTACCGTCCATGCTGCAGCCCCGCGTCGCCGTTGTACTCAACGTGCCTCAGCCGTGGCATCCCTGGCTCTTCGCCCTGCGCCTCTGCTCCATCCTGCCGGCCCTGTGGTGGGGGTTGCCCTCGTTGCTTCGCTTGCTCCTATACTTCCTGCCGGGGCCGCCGGATCAATTCATGCTTGTCAAGCAAATCGCCGTCCCGGGCAGCAATACCGACGTGCTGCAGTCGACTTCCGTATCCTCGTGCTCGCGCAGTGACGGCGAGGCGGCATCAGCAGCAGCAGCCGCCGCCGCCGTCTTGGCGGCCCCGTACGCCATTACCGAGACAGCTCTGGCTACCATATGGGTGCGTAAGAAACATTTGAGCTTGTCAGAGGGAGAGAGGGACAAACCCAGCAGGGATTGATACGGCATCATGGGATTGGGTTGGAGCTAATTGAAACTCTGGTTCTCATTCTAGTGCTTTGCTTGCGGCTACCTCGCCTTTTTCTTCACCGACTGCCTCATGTCACGATGGTACGTTCTTCCTTCTGGCTCTATACCAAGCCTCACTTCGAAAGGCACTCGACAGGCAAGCGAACTAACAATCAACTTGTTTGGTACAGGCTCATCAACTACACCCCCCAAGCCACCGTTGTGCGCCTCCTCTCGATCAACGCCGTAAACGCGTACCTCACTCTCAATGTGCTATCCATCACCGGCGGCTTCCAAGACCCTCGATTGCTCCTCCCCGGCTGGGTCAGCATAGCAACTGTATGAACGAGCCTCAGGCTCTTTACTTTTCCACGCAAAATAAGCGAGTCCTTCGTGAACCGCACAGCTAACAATCGCTGTCCACAGTCCCTAACCATCTGCTACCACGTCACTCACCAAAAGATCAACATTCGAAAGGAGACAATCACATCGGTCAACGTCTTTTCGATAGCGAGTTACCTGACGATGATTGTGCTGCTGGCTCACATGCAAATGTACCAGCCCGACTACCCGACAATGCCCATTGTGACGACGACCAACCGCCTGTGGCAGAGTGGAAAGCGACTTGTGGCCAGTATACAAGGCGCCGCCCGTTGACGACCACACCGAGCGCCATGTACGAAGAAACGAAACAGCAACATACTACTTTATAACAAAGGAGAAGAAAAACGGGCGAGAAAGGGTCGAGAAAGCCCCAAGAAAGCTCTTGAGGGTTGAGAACCCACAAGAAAGAAGAAGGAGGGGAATAGAAAAAGGGGTGAATAGCAACGGCAAGCCGAGGAAGAATGAAAAAGGGCGAAACAACAAGGAAGCCCTTGAATATCCTATGGCTTTCATCAAGTCGACCATACCAGCAGCGTCTTTCAAAGAGTCTCTTGCTCCTTCTTTATTTTTTTTCCCCCTTGCGGCGACTGTTTGTATCTTGTTTGGAAGTTGGTTCTTGTTTGGAAGTTGGTTTGGATTTGATGTTTGGCAGTACAGGCGTTGGGTTTGTCAGGAAAGGCTGTACATTGGGTTTTCCATGCCTCTTCGTCTGTTGCGCTTGATAGAGATGATGTTTTTCTTGTTTGGGTCATTCTCCATTTCGATGTAATGTGTACTGGCGTTGGTCTAGAATGGCGGGCAGGGCTATGATGTTTGTTTCTGATACTTGTTGGTTTCCTCCGTTCACCCTGAATTTATCACATCTAGGTATATGTGCAGAGTACCTTCCTTCAGACAGAATGCAATGACATCAAAGGGAAAGAGAAGCAACAACGTGCATCTTTCTTCCTCTGGGGAATTGTTCATTGATAATACAGGCCAATCTATCCTATGAGTCAGAAGAGGTTGCGTCAGTAGGTAAACGGGGAGGCATAAATGCATTCACACGACGATCCATGTCAAGTGCACCACTTTGCTTTAGCATTATAATCTCTATTTGCCCTAGACTACGGCAAAGCCCATCCGAATGCAAGCCCCGAATGTTGTAATAAATAAACAGCCAGTTTGAAGATACATCATCCATCGACTGACAGGTTGAACCCATAGCCCAGACGATTGCGTCGACAAGTCAAGAACAAGAGAAGCGTTGCTAATTCAAACTGCTGCGCCGCAGCGCGGCAGAAGTAGGTGGCGCAAACAAGGCCAATAAGACTATTACTCTCCCTGTCGCATCCTCTTTATGGCGTCCGGCCGGCCAGACCCTTCAGGCAACGTTGCTACACGCACACCGATGAATTATACCGGGGAGAGGGCCGATACTGGGTGAAAGCGCTCCGGGTGCCTCCCGATAAGATCGGGCGCGCACAGCGATTTCGGTAAGGTGGAGTGTGCGGTAGGCATCAGTATGAAGTCCACAGGCTGTCCAAACAGCCCCGTTCCGATACGCTCATCACCAGCATGCTGTGAAGCCAAGTCGCTGGAGGGGCGGCGGGGGCGGCGGCGCGAAGAGGACAACTTAGGCACCGTGAACGGTGATGTTATCGGGGTTGAGACCGAGACCGGCCTTCTTGTCAACGAGGAAATCCAGGACCTTCTTGCGTTGGTCGCCCTGGAGCTGGATCACCTCGCCGGCCTTTTCATCATTGACCTTGTTGCCATTGCAAGCTACAGATGACGATTGTTAGTCTTTGGTGGCGCCAAACAAGAGGAATGATCGCCAAACGCAGGTCACGGAAAATTGACATACCAAATTCCTTCCTGAAGAAGGTGAGAATCTTGCCGGGGTCGAATTTAGCAGGAAGACCAGTGACCGTGGTCAAAGACTTGCGACCATTTCGCTCTGAAACACGGTGTTAGCAACTGTGTAACGGCAAAAAAAGGTGAACTTGTCGCCAGTTGACCATCCGCATCGCCTGGGGAGTAGAAACGATGCGGATCAGGTCGAATAGTCAAAGGCGATAGATGGAACCTACGTTGGATGCGAATATGGATATGGTTCTCGACCTTCTTGATATCACCGGTGTCGTCGTCGGCTTCGGCGAAGGGGTCTATTGAAAGGAAGCGACGGTTAGCAATGTGAGTCAACACAGGGAGGCGAATCAAAGACACCCGATGGGATCGTGTGTCATGCTGTCGCAATATGCGCATGCGCATTGCGACCCATCACCGGCATCTCTCACGACCAAGCAGCAGCCCCAACCCATGTGAAATGGCAGGGAAAGCAAGCAGGCGGAAAGACGACCGAGAAATGAGGATGGAGGCGAACTCGGGGGCCATCAACGTACCGAAGGTCTTGAGATTTTCGATGGACATAAACTCGGATGTTCCGGGGTGTCTCGTGGGAAAAAAGGAAGAGGAGTTGACGAGAGGCTGACCGGCGGCTGCGAAAGGCGACTGACGGTCTCTTCTTGAGGTGTTTTGCTTTTGCTGTCTTGGTGGGGGACGCGAAAAGTCGTTGGCGGGGGGGTTGTTGAGGAGAGAATGAAAGAAGAGAGAAAGAAGAGGGGCTGCGATGCCTTTTGGGTGCTTGGGAGTGTTTTGCCTGGGGCTCGACGGCTTTAAACGCGCTTGGGGTCTGTTGACGGTGACAAGAGGCTTTGTGTCAGGTGAGCAGAAGGCGACAGAAGTCTGGCGGAAGGTTGAAGAGGCAAAAGGGGGGGGAGAAATCAATGGGAAAAGATTGGCTCGGGTTTGACGCACAGAGAAGGTGGGCGCAAAAAGGGTGGGGGAGAGCGAAGGAAGGAGAAGCCCAAGGGAGAAGCCAAAAGAAAAACTTGTGTGCGAGGGAGGGGAGCGGTACCTGCTCGGCTGCGGGTGGCCACGGCACAGGCGCAGGTACAGCACAAGTACCCGATACTAGCGGACGCTTCCCAGGGCAGGTGGCCAAGAGCGCAGGAGAGGCCGAGCCAGAGAGAGAGAGGCCAAGGGAAGAGAGGCTGACCCCGTGGCCCCACTCAGGCGGTGGGCGCACCGCCTCGCCTTGATACAGTACGAGTACTATTTACGAGTCCATAGGTACATAGCTGTACAGACCAGGCGCAGATTTATGAGCAAAAAAGATTCTTCCAATTTGATCAGTGCAGAGAGTCGAGGATAACGAGCAAAGGTTTAATTTACGGCTGAAAATTTGCTCGAATATCAGCGTTGTTACCTGAATGTACAAAGTGCCATCAGAGCGAGGCCAGAGGGTGAATTCAACACTGGCTGATTGCTTATCAGCTCGAGGACACGACCCGATTCTGGCCCGGTTTTCGTGCATCATCCGTACTGTGCATATCCGCATGCTGGTTCCCGAATTGGAGGGTAGGGAGAGAAAAGGCCGTCATCGGGCACAATAACCCAGTCAAGTTCTACGGTTGACACTGTACTGCAGCCACACTGTACGAGTTACAGGGCGCCACGAAACTGCTACCCGACAGCAATTGAAACAACTCACTGGCACAACTCCTGCTGACGAGGTTGTGAACTACTACAGGTACTGGACGCTGCTCGCACACCGCCATTGTCGCACTGTCTGTCCGTCTGTCTCAGCCATGCATCATCAGCGCTGGCCAACTGGTATGAAGCTGGCATGCAACGGTGTCGCCACCATTGAAAAGAACCAAGAGCGATCTGGGCTGAGCTGGGCTTTGTCGGGCCTCCCGTGAGGATGTCACCCGTCCGCTTGCTGTGGCCCCCCTTAATAACGCAGGGCTGCGAGGTAATAGAGAAGTGCTCAAGGCCTGGTGGCATGCAGTAAGAGGTCTTTGCATGTATCCAAGGTACCTATTTTACTGTTGAATCCATTCGCAAGCATTCATCACGTCAGCTTAGATACAAGATAGTAATTCGAAGTAATAGGACTGGTAGCCGCCGAATCAGAAAGGCATTTCATCATCTCGTCGTAACCGTGCAGCACCGCTTTACCTTACAGGGCCGTACGAGATCAAGGGGATCGCAGTCGCATTTCGATCGCATTCGCCCACAGTCGCTGCCAGGGCAGCTTTGACAAGCCATACCCCGTATGCATGACCGGCACCGCCCCAACAAGCTGCCTCGCTATTATTGGATGATTGCCCGACACAGGATGGGAGAGACAAAAGGGGGTAGGGGATGCCCTTCTCTTGCTGGGTACAGGGTAGGTAGCCCTTCCGCAAACGGGAGTGATGTTCTGTTGTTGCACGGCAAGCACGGGAACAAGGCCACACGTGCTCTTTATCAGTGATAACAGACAGAGCAACGAGGGCAGTCCCAGCTCAAAAGCATCCCGTCAACGACTTGCGTGGTTTGTCGATGAAGTTCTGTACTTGTAAAGACGAATGCATCGCCTGTCTTCTCTCTCATCTCTCCTCTGGCATGAGAAGATCGACTTGGCGAGCCCAGAGACCGCTGGAAGGAGGCCGTTAGAGGATGGTAGCCGACGTCGTAGGCATTGGAGACTGAGCAATTTCGTGAGCAACATGTGACAATCTTCCAGACCATCACACAACAGTCCAACATTCACATATCCGGATCATGACGCGTAAGGGGAAAAGAACAAAGCCATGGCTCGTTGGTGAACCGAGACAGAACAGACAAGATCGAAAACTCGCAGATTTCTTCCAGAACACCAGATGTTGAAAGCGATACGGCCAGATTATATAGCGAGGTGCAAGTTCCCGGCCGGGCCGGACGCAGATTCTCAACTCCATGCGCCTGCCACCTTTCTTTGCGTCATCTCCGTTGCATCTGTCTCGACCAGCCCTAGCCTCCTGAGACCATATCCATATATCTTGCATTTTCGTCCTGGCGGAAGCTCTTCCGACTGGCAGAAATCCCGACTTGTTTCGTTCACATTCCATGGAAAGAGCATGGGCAAGCCAAACGACTCCCACCGGAAGCCGATCCGACTGGTAGCAAAAGCGTTGGCTGCATGATTCAACCCCCAGGTTGGTCCTCTTCGCAACGAGACATGCGTCAACTGGCATTCCTCTGGACCAGGAAGCCCATAAATCGCATCACGGAAGCAGATCCGGTTGGCAGAGTTTTTTTTCGAACACAGACCCGGGGATGCTGTGACAGGCATGAGATGCTCGAATCCCTGAATTTCTCATGCACCGGGATCGGATCCGATAGGCAATGCTTGGGGAGGTTTCATGTCGGATGCAGATGTCTCTGCGCCGGAAGCACGATCCCTTCATTCCGCGTATTTCGTTTTTTCTCATGCACCGGAAGGACTTCCGATTGGCAACAGTGGGTTGAGGATGGAGCTTTGGACCTCGAGGGATGTGATGCGGGAGATGCTCCGGGGCGGCGGCATCCTTGTATCCCGAGGCGAGGCCTGTCTGCTTCTGATGGATGAAGAAGAAACATTGAACCACTTACCTTGCCAGCTTGACGAGGAGTCAGGTGTCCGGGGGTAGACTGAAGGGCGTGCTGGCAATGTACAGTGCTGGGTAACCGCGAAGGATCCATTTTGAAAAGTTTCCGATGATTGATCCAGGATTCCCATGGCGGGCTTGATAATACAGTAGCTATAGCTGTGAGGTCTGGAATAGCTGAAATTATGGAAATTTGCAGTAGAGCCTAGAGAAGGGTTCTGCTACGTCATTTGTTTAAGCGTTGCGACTTGAAGGTCTTATCAGACACGCCACAGGTTGCCGAAAATGGAACAGCACGTTGCATGTGGTTATCGATAGGAGGAAAATCGTCGCTCGATAAGGGTGACGCTCAAGAGAAGCCGTAGAACTCAATTCGATATTAACAAACGCGATTCTGGGATGCTAGTGAATCTCTTCTCAAGGAGAAGAAGACATCAACACAGGTCTAGTCCGACCCGACCTTGTCCCAACGGGGTGCGGTGCAGATTGAGGGGATTCTCAAACCCTTGGAGGGGTCGAGAGAGGGCGGGAAGAAAAAAAAACAAAAAGAAAAAAGAAAAAAATTGGTTCGTCTCATGCAGACAAGCGAGCGTACACTAGGCAATAACTTGAAGGTAGCCATCGTCACGGTCACACTGGCGATTACACGAGGATTATCACCTATTTGCAATTAAGACTCAGACGACAATCAACTTCACGGTGGGACTGGGCTTTTCCGGAACCGTCACCTGGAGACTGTTGGACACATGAAGTTCCAACCATTGGAGATCCCGCCTGGGACGCCCAGCTTCTTCCACGATGCCGCCGGCCGCACTTGGGTGCCCCTATACAGCCATGCCTGCTCCTTTGGGCCGGACATTTTTGCCGACAAGATGATGAATCTCGTCAGGAACCCGAATCTCAACTCGAGCTGGCTGTTTCGCGCCGACATTCTGTACGACGAGGCCAAGGTGACTGGTAACAGCAGCAGCAGCAGTGCTACGTCTACTGGTGATACTACCACCATCACCCCCAGCAGTAGTAGTATCACTACCGATGACGCTGGCCCGGATACTACTACTACCTCTCGTCCCGATGCCAACGCTCACGCTGACGCGGATGTCTCTTCATCTCGGACCGACGCCGACATCCGCCCCGTCGCCGTCGAGATCCGCGGCATGACCCTTGAGCGCACCCTCGTCCGCAGGCTCATCCCCAGGAACGAGCGGAGAGACAAGCCCCTGGACCAGACCTGCCTCTTCTACACGAGCTCGACTCCCTCAGAACCTGCCGTCGACTCGGCCGCAGCTGCGTCTAAAGGATCTGCGTCTTCGGCACCATCTCTTTCCACGCTCGTCATATATATGCCCCATTCGCCCTCGGCAGACGCTCTCCCCTTTTACCACCCCAAAGTCCAAGGCATCGCGCACCTCCACCAGTGGGAGCCGTCGGGCAAGGGCACTATATCCGTCCACTTCCTCCCGTACCCAGAGCACCCCGTGACCGACGCCAAGATCCAGCGAACGGCGTACCATCTCCTCGAGATCATCGACAAGCACGGCCACGGCGCGGCAGGGGGCTATGTCAAGAGAGTCAATCACGACCTGGTCATCCCGCAGGACAGGTTCCAGAACAGATACGCACTCCTCAAGAGCAAGTACGCCCGGCGGCTGGTCGACTCGTGGGCCGAGAAGACGGACCCGACCAAGCACGTCTTTGAGGACCTGGGCATCGCCGCCTTTCTCATCGAGCTCTGGAGCGACATGTATCCCGAGGGCAAGGGGACCGCGACGTTCCCGGGCTTCGTCGACATTGGGTGCGGCAACGGACTTCTGGTTTACTTGCTGACGCAGGAGGGCTACGCCGGCTGGGGCTTCGACGCGAGAGAGCGCAAGTCGTGGGCGCAGTACAGGACGGGGGGCCAGCCCTCCCCGTCCGGCTCGTCGCTGGAGGAGCGGCTGCTGCTGCCCGCCATGGTTTCGAGAGAGAAGGGCGGTCAGGGCCAGGCCGACGCCAAGCTCGTTGATGTCGTTGATGACGACGATGACGACGAGATCCTCAAGCACCCAGCTGGGAGTGATGCATCCGACGACATCAGCCGCAGCAGCAGCGGCCGCGGCGATGATGATGGCGTCGTACACGATGGAGCATTTCCCCCGGGCACCTTCATCGTCTCCAACCACGCCGACGAGTTGACCCCCTGGACGCCGATCCTGGCCGCCCTCTCGCGGTGTCCCTTTATCATGATCCCCTGCTGCAGCCACAGTCTCGTCGGCGACAAGTTCCGCGCACCCCCTCCCCGGGACAAGGCAAAGGCCAGGTCCACCTACGCCTCGCTCGTCGACTGGGTGTCCTGCATCGCCGAGGACTGCGGCTGGAAGGTCGAGACCGAGATGCTGCGGATCCCCAGCACGAGGAACACTTGTCTGCTGGGGAGGACCCGCACCAGAGAGGTGCAGCTGGCGGATGTCGAGGCTCTCGTTGCAAAGTACGGCGGGACGGGGGGTTACTACGACAATGTTGCAAAGCTCATCAAGTCAGGCCCGAGGGGCCACTGATGGCTGATGGCCGATGGCTCATGGCTCATGGTCGATGCCGATCTGGTCTGCCCATGTCTTGCTTTATGGATCGATCCAGTCACGTCACGGAGATGCTTGCTGTTCATGACATCTTTGCCAGCCAACTTTCTAGGAAAAACAGAGCGGGACTTTTACTACCTTACGGAGTACCTTGCACAGGGGTAAACTACGTACGTACACAACCAAAGGCCCGAGCAACAGACCAACCGGCGTCCATGTCCCTCAATCCAGATCAGGCACAGGCAAGTGGTCCATGAGCTTCGTCTTGAGGCCCAGCCTCCCCATCGCCTCCATGGCGTTCCTGTCTCGCAACTCCTCCGTCTCCCGTGCGCTCGCCAGGATAAACTTGTGCCTGAGCAGCAAGGTCCCCTCGAGCACGCCATACTCGGCGGCAGTCTTCTCGTCGACCCTCTCTAGGTCGACGACGAGGTTCGACTTGACGCCAAAGACGACGTCAGATGTCTCATATTGGTCGCCGCGGATGAAGAGCGTCCTATCACAAGACGGCATGATATCAGTTCAGCTGCCGGCTCCATCTTCAGCCACAGTCACATGCACTCCTCAGCTTTCTCGCAAACATTGATGGGGCTCGTTTCAACGCTCAGACCGGGGGAGGAAGGGAAACCGGGCATTTGGCAGAGACATGACCAGAGACACGGGCGGAGACACGGGCCGACACTAGGACAGGCACGACAAGTGAACCCGGGGCGTGAAAGCGGCGTTGCAAGGGCAGCTTTCCATCCGTACGCAACAGCACACGTATGTACAGAGTGGTACGAGCCGACCTTCACTACAAATGCACAAAAGACACCACAAAAGTACGAGAAAGGGAGGGGGGGAGTACCTACGTGACCAGGCGATCCAGGCCTTGCTTCTCAAAGATGAAGTGCATGTGGGCTGGCCGATGGCTGTGCCGCTTGAGCAGCTCCAGCAGCCTGCCAACCGGACCGTCATCCGGGACCGGGTAGCTGACGGGCCTGATGGCCTTGAACCAGAAGCCGCCGTCCACGTCGCTCGTCATGACGCACCGCTCGCTCGGCGCCTGTCGGCCTGCGTACTGCACGTCGTAGTGGCCTGAGGAGTCGGCTTCCCATATGTCGACCTTGACGCCCGAAAGTGGCCGGCCGGACGAATCGCAGACGGTGCACAATGCAAGCATGGGCTCGCCCGCAGCATCAGTGGTCATGGACGAGCCTATGGGGAGATGGGGCGCATCGTTGGTGTGGAAGGGCCCCAGGACGGAGCCTTGCGTGCAGTCTGGTGGTTTCGGATGATCGATGGAGTCGACCAGCATCGAGAGGCCAAAGACGTCGGAGAGGAGAATGAACTCCTGCGTGGAACTGTCAGCTCAGCAATCCCAAAAACCTGAGAAGATAATAGAAAGACAAATCAAGAAGACTTTATTAGAGAATGAATTACGTATAATGGAGGATGATAACGCTAAACATCATGATTTGTTTACCTGGTACATGGTATCCTGGAGGGGCGAGGAGGGAATAGAGAGGGGAGGGTGAGAATGGGTGCAGGAGGGAAGACGCCCCCCCTAAGGAAGGGGGAGGGGGAAAAGAGGCAAACAAAATGAATTGATGAAAGACACAATCAGGCCATTCAAAACAGGCTACGCAAGCAGGCCAGCACAAGAAAAATGATAAGACTACTCAAGTTTATGACACAAGAGGAGATTAAAAAAAAAAAAAAAAAAACAGGCGCGAGAAGCGAGAGGCGAGAGACAAGAGACAAGAGACAAGAGACAAGAGGGGAGCAGAAATGCACATACCTGGCGGACGGGACTGCACATCTGGCCAGTCTGAGTGAGGAAATGGATGGCAGCCATCCACTCGCGGGTGCTGAGGCGTGTTTCACGCGCAAAGTCATGGACATGGGTCACCAGGCGCTCCATGAGATAGTCGAGCCGCGCATCGCCGCTCTGCGAGCTGGCCTGCACCACCTTGCGGGTGATGTTGTCGATGGTCAGGTCCACCACGGGAGGTTGAGTTGGAGGAGAGAGGAGAGGGGTGGTGACGCTGGGTGTGGATGCCATGGTTGAACTCGTCAATGCAAAGCTACCGTGGCATTTGCGGCGTCGTATTCTTGTCTCTCTGTGTCTGCAGAACAGTGGTGGTATCCTGTTGGCATCGCTTCGCGGTGACCCTTGAGAAGGAGAAATACCACGGCAATGTACCGGCAATGAGGTGGTGCCCAAAGGGTGACGGCAGCTCGTCAACACATACCTCTCTTGATTGCTACCCGCCCTATGGTATCATTACCCGTCCGTTTCCTCCCCCGTTCATACTGTATGTCAAGTCGTGAAAGCAGTGGTGTTAATTGCTGACCTTTTCGAGATGTCTGCCAACCGCCATCTCGGATATTCGTAAGCATCAGCTTATAGCCAATCGCCACCACGAGCCAGTCTGTACATAACTCGCTCACCCGTGAGCGAACAGACGACGGGCTTGTCGGTTGTCGGCTCGGCGTCAGCAGCCCGGCAGCCCACCCACCCGATCTGACCTCGCTCTCCTCCCAGTTTCTGTTGCCTCTGATCTCGCGCAGAGACTTTCAAGCTCAGCATCGGGCCATCTGGGGTCAATCGACAACTAGTGAGGAGATCGGGTTGCGGCATCAAGGGAAGGAGGAGAAATGGAAAAGATCTCTCAGGGGGTGTGTGTGTGGAGGAGCAGGATGGCGCTATGACTGATGGAGACGAAAAGCGTACGGCTTGCAGATGCCAATGGCTTGCTGCACTGCACTCCTGCACACTGCAACTTGCTTCCACTTGCTGGGCTTTCTCTTCTTTCCTTTCCCCACCCCTTCTTCTATCTCGGTGTGCTTGCTCAGGATTGCCTTTGCTGAATGCATCCCTCCTTGCATCGGCCACTTTAAGTACATGGACTTTTGGGGGCCAACCCAGCTGGACAACTGGCGTCGAGAGACGAGGACCTGGCCCCAAGAGTCGAGTCGAATCAGCAAAAGAGCCTCGGGGACGGCCTCACTTTGCTGGGAGCTGAGCTGATATGGACCGTCGGCCAGCATCGATATCGACTATCCGGATGCCTTAGTTCTACCATGGTCGCCTTTTCACCGGGTGGGTTCTGAGCGGTAGCTCCCGGCCGATCATCAAGTACCTTGTACGTACATCCCGAGTTGCCGCCTTGCCCTGGGGCCATGGTTCACCCCCTGGTCGTTGTGGCTGCAACACCCACGCAGGCGCCTGAGAAAAAGGCTCCCCGGTTTCAATCCATGTCCGGATGGAGCCCTTTCAGAGTCAGAGGTGGGAGGGCTCGCAAATCGGCGAATTAGACGCATGCTCTGGCTGCTTGGGCATGCCGGCCGAGGCCTGTTCCGTGTCTGGGGTGGGGAACCAGTGTTGACTTCCACGCACCTTTGCAGGTCATCGAGACGAGGACGGGGATGAAGCTCTTGTGCCAAGTGCGAGCGAGTGAGCCTGGCCTTGGAAAAAAAAGAGGCGTCTTTTAGGCTTGCAACGCCTATCGTGGATGAGTGATTAGTGGAGTCTCGAGATAGACAGGGAGTGATGGCCAGAGAAAGGGAACCCCAAGTGGGAATCAGAGACTCTAGTTGGTGGCACCAGCAAGAGGAACACCACCCACGGCAAGTGGGCGGTGAGTTGATGGGAGAAGATGGCCAGAGGCATAGACAAACGGACGGACACTTACCAGCTGTGTCACTCTGATATCCTAACTGTGGACTCTCTTTGCGTGCCTCTTTGCGGCCCCCCTCCTCCTTCTCCTTCAGGGACAGACGGGTATAAAGGTCGGGCTTTCTCCCAGGATTTTCTTTCTGGTTGTGACCCTCCATCTGTGAACATCATCATACGTCTCCGCCGTTTTTGAGGGCTTGCTTTGAATCCAGCTGCCATTTGTCTCGAGGTCTCCGTCCGTGGATCTGTTATTGTCCACAGCTGCCATCTTATTCAACCTGCTGCTTCAACGCTTTGTCCTCAGACTTGATCTCTGCCAACAGCCGGGCACTTGGCTCGAACCTGCTTTGCCTTGTTCATATCCTTTCATCCTTCGTGTTTCTCCTTTCCCACACATTGTTCTTTTTCACCCCTTTTCTTTTCTTCTTCTTCTTCTTCCGCTCATCTCTCTCTTGCCCTACTCCTACTCCCTTTCGTCCTCGCCTTCGAATCCTCGCCCAGCCCCCCCCCCCCGCTGTCTCTTCATCCTCGCCGCATCATCATATTGCCGTCATATCTGGACCTCTTCTCACCATGTATGCCTCGCCCCCTCGAGATCGACTCACGGGTCGTGTGATCAGAAAGAAGCAGCCAGCACTGCCTCCGGACGTGTGCCGTATTTGCAACCGCTTTCAGTACCATGAGGACTTTGAAGCAGTACACGCCAGTGACGGCTTCCACGAGCCACGAACTGAGATTCTGGGTGAGCCCGACTCGTACGTGATCAGGATCCACACGAAGGATCTCCTCCGAGATGGCAAGGATGTCGAGGATGCCAGCCGTCTCCGCAACTGCCCCTACTGTCGCTTGTTATACGATGCCCTCAACCTCTTCTTCAAGGACGCGTCCCTCAACTGGGTGCTTGACGCAAGAAATGAGACGGCACGGATCAAGGTCAGAGTTAACCAGGGCGCACCCCTCATCTTGGCTTGCGAAGACGCCATCAATCATTATTACCAGTTCACGCATATTCGGGGGGACGTGGAAATCTACTCTGCGGACTGGGGCAACTTGGCCAAGTCTGACTTCCCTATCGCCGGGCTGGCACCGCCGACGCCGACGCCACCGACAACGTGGACTAGAGACAAACAAGGCGCCGAGGGCTTCCTCCAGTACTGGTTCCGAGATTGCGCGTGCCGGGCTGATGCCATGGATCAGTGCTACAACACCCCGAACCGACTGCTATATATCGACTGGGCCAACGACACCATCACGCTGCAGGAGTTCCAGTCGAGAACGCCAGGGATGCTGGACCTAGATAGGCCCGTGGAATATGCGACTCTGAGCCATTGCTGGCTCGATGAGGACCCGACACTCCCCAAGCTCTTGTTGTCCAACATCCACCTGTGGAGGCGGGGCTGCAAGATTTCCTGCCTACCAGCGGGCCTGAGGGACGCCATCAGAGTGGCCAACCTCAACGAGATCCCCTACATCTTCATCGACTCCCTCTGCATCGTGCAAGACTGGCAACAAGATCGCGATACGCAGCAGCCTATGGTGGGCTTCTACTTTCGAGATTCGATCCTGACCATTGTTGCGGCGTCTTCTGCCCGACCGGATGACGGGTTCTTGTTCCCCCCCGAAAGGGATTGGCTCACCGCGACGGTGGATTTCAAGGCACCTTCTGGTGCCAGCGGGACCCTGACGATGCGCAAGAAATACTCGCGTCCCGCGTCTCCGTTCGACGCAGTCGACGAGGCGTCCACTCTCTCGCACGTCGCGCGCGGATCGTACCGACGAGTCGGGCCGCTGTACGCACGACACTGGTGCCTTCAAGAAGCTCTCCTGGGCACGCGAGTGATGCATTTCACCTCGGCCGGCATCATGTGCGACTGCAAGCGCCACAACTGCAGTCGCGAGTACGTGACGTCTTACAGGCGGGCTGAAGTGTTTAGGGGGTTGCCGGCTCGACAATATCTTCGCGACGGCCTGGAGATGTGGCTCGCGGCGGTCCAGTTCCACACGTCGTGCTATCGACTGGCCGGGAAAGACAGACTATCAGCAATCTCTGCTCTGGCCGCCATGTCGGAAATGGGCATCTCAGATCGGTACGTCGCAGGCCTCTGGTGGGGGGGCATGACCATGGGTCTGCTGTGGGAAGTCAAGTTGCGGCCGGGGCAAACTAACACGACCAAGATAACGATGCCGTACAGCGTGCAAAAGGCGCCATCATTCTCCTGGGCCTCTGTCGATGCACCGGTCATATTCAAGGACAACCGCGGCTGGTGCTTCGAGTCCGAAGTCGTGGTGCTTGAAGCTGGTTCTCTCCCCAAGAATGCAAATGACCCCTGCGGCAACGTGGACGGGGCCTTCATCCGGCTGGAGGCTTATATCAAGAAGTGCGAAGTCAGCCAGATACTCCGGGGTGCGACGGGAGGCCACTGGCAGTTTGTATACTTTCGCAACAAAGACGGGACCACGACCAAGATGCACCCGTTTGTCGGAGACGGCCCGCTAGTCGAGGTCAAGGGGAAGCAGGCGGCCTTGAAGCAGCTGCGTAAAAAGCGTGCACAGCGTCGTTTGCGCAAGAAGCGGCAGTCGGGATCAAAGTCAGGGGCAGAGGGCGAGGATGACAATCCGAACCGGTCGCATACATACTTGACGCGAAACCATTATGAGTATCGGCGGGAAAAGGTAGGGCGTGGGAAGATCACGGGAGTAGCGTGGGTGATGTGCGTCAGGCGGAGAGGGCAGGATGTCGAGGAGCATAAAGGCATCAAGATGAACAGATTCGATGGGCTGGTGCTGACTCCGTCAATGAGGTATCCGGGATCCTATGAGCGGATTGGCTGCATCCGAAACATTCCCGATTCGCTGTTCGACCCGAAGGTGCGTCGTCAGGAGATTACGCTTGTGTAATGGAAGAAGGAGAAGCAGAAGCAGAAGAAGGAGAAGCAGAAGCAGAAGAAGGAGATAAAGATGATGATGATGACGATGATGATGACGACGTTGGAATTCATGGTCTTGTCTTGGGTTTCCTTGAGTCAAGTTTGTGGTTTGTTTCTGCATACCTACCTACCTAGGTAAAGGTAGATTGTGGCTTGGGGAGGCTTGGTTCCGTACCGCCGCTGGATTGCTTGGCTGGCCCTTTCGCTCCTTATTGTTTCCTTGGTGCTCGCTCTCGTTTTGTTCAGACCCAGAATAGGTAAATTGATATGAAGGATTGCCCGTGCAGTGCAAAATTGACTTGTAGGGCGAGTGTGACTGCAGTTGAGTGAGTCAGCTGAAGCAATGGTCAGAGGCAGCGCGATGCTTGCTAGGAGGAGGGGTGCTGATTAGACTCTGGGACTGATGGATGCATCACCAAAAGGAAGAGTTGGAGCGTTGATGCGGAAACAGGGAGTGGAAGACGAAGAGATTGACTTGGGGAGAAGCGTGGAGGATGAAGGGGATAGGAAGAGGAGAAGGAGAAAGAAAAAAGAGAATAAAGAAGTCTTTGTAAAGTATGGTTTGATGAGGTAAGAAACGTAAGAGAAGGAAATGTGCGATCCTGAACGCTCCTTCCGAACCAGATGTTGCACGGCAGGTTGCGGGACGACGTGACGTGAGTTGCAAGTTCCTGCCTCACTTGACTACTACTATGTACCTTAAGTAAGGTATCGCCTAACGTGTATTGTGGTGAGGCAACTTCACGATAAGATGCTGGCAAATGGATGCACAACTGCAATTGTACACGGCATGAACGATTTCTCCTGCCCTTGACTGCATATAAGGTATAGAAGCTGTATCTCTATCTACCTACCTAGTACTAGACAAGAGTATCAGAGCTGACTCGCTCTCAAGGTATCCAAGTATATACACTACAGACACAGATTGTCCTACCGTATCCATCTCGTTCATACCTACTTTACTCTTATTCACACTCCTTCTCCTCACATCTATCAGCATCCTACCCAGACGTGGGAATCACTCCCGTCAGGCCGAAGCCGAGATACAGCGAGCCAATGTCCGTCAACCTGCCCGCATTGTTCAGAAACGTCGCGTTGGGCCCGACATTGGAGACGTTGGACCGGAACGCCCCAAAGTAGCTGTACCGCTCCAGGCTGGCGAGGCCGTCCATGTAGTCGGCGCTGGCGTTGAAGAACTGCTGCGTCGTCGGGAGGTCCTGGTTGGCGTATGCGTACTCGGTCACCCACAGCTTCTTGCCGGGGAATCTGCAAGTTCAAGTCAGTCGTCAGTTGTGAAGCCACACACAGAGGTCAGATGCTGGTGTGCCCCTGATATGATATCAAGAGAGGCAAACACAGGCAAAGGGAGGGGGTTGTTGTTGTTGTTGTTGTTGTTGTTGTTGTTGTTGTTGGCAGAAGAAGGGACTCACGCTACAGCGTAATCATTGATATGGCTCTTGAGCCCATCAAAGTTGTCGTACCAATGCAACGACACAAAGTCATACGGACAGTCCCTCCCAAGCTGCTGCGTGCAGTTGCCCAGGAACTGATGCAGCCAGTCCAGCCCCGACGGAGCCCCCGTGCACGCCGGCAGCCCAATCTTGACGCCCCTCTGCTGCAGAGGCACAAAGTTGGCAATGTACGCCAGCGCCGCGTTGGCCGGCATCACGTCGCTGCCCCCCCACGCGGCCGGCGCGTCGGGCTCGTTGAAGCTCATGGCGTGGCTGATGGGCGTGCCGCCGTTGATGAGGCCCAGCACGCTGTCGCGGAAGGCAAAGTCCTGCGAAGGGTTCGGCCCAACCCCCCACATCATCGGCACGAACTCGAACTTGGACTGCGGGATCGAGACATAGTCTGCGCTGGGGAGGTTGCCGTAGTTGTAGTACCAGGTCAGGTCCGAGTTTGTCTGCACCCAGATGGAGTTGTCCTGCAGCGTCGTCGAGTTGGGGATAAAGATGAGGCCGCGCTTTGCGGACCGGGACGCCTCGGCCAGCAGAGGCGACAGGAGGAGCACGCCGGCACTGACGAGAAAGCGGAGAGCCATTGTCACAGGAGGGACAGGACTATGGACAGAGACTCAGGAGCAGGAGAGTCAGGATGTAAGTCAAAGTCAGGGGGGGGAGGGAACAGCTCTGCTGACTTAAAAAACCACGATGCCTTCTGCTGATCCTGCGCTCCTGGCCATGTCTCCAAGCTGACTATATATACTTGTACTATCAAATCTCAAGAACACCGGCTATACAAATCTATCCTAGACTCATCATCAATCAGACCAAGAATAGCTCCCGCCGTGTCTATCGGATCGTGGTTCCCTGTCCTGTCATCTTACTTGCGCACGATGACTGCCATGACCAGGCCTTGGATTGTGACTGTGGGAAGAAATCTCGAAACAACGCGGGCAACCCCCCGTGTCCATCCAGGCACTCACTAACAACTTACACGGGACCCCCGTCCTTGAGCACGGCACGTAATGGCACTTATTCGGACCGAGCATTCGGAGGACGGCCTCGTCCTGCGCAGGCATGCTAGTGCTTCTTCTAATTGCCCCTTGAAGCTCAGTCCCCTCCCACTTCTTCCCTTTTAACCATATTGCTTAAAGTTGCGCTCCCGAGACTCCCCGGACCTGTCATAGGCCTCATCTATCCTAAATCACGACGATCCTCCAGACGCGCCCCTCTCGAAAGAAGATACATTTAGGGCCGAAGACTGAGAGAATACTAGTATCCCTAAAAGCCGGGTTGAAAAGACTTGCATGCGGACTGTGGATTCGGCCCTTAAAGTGCGGATCAAGTCGTTGCAAGCTTCCTGCTCGAGGCTAGTAGCATGACCACTTTCAACCGACTTGTACGGACAGGGGTGCGCACGGATTCTCGCTGGGATGTGATGGGGGGTGATGGTCTCTTGCTCTGCGACCAACTGGTGACATACAGAAACGTGCTCAGCAGATGTTGTGGCTCAAGTCTTGTACAGTATGCCTGGGCATCAAGTCAGTCATATATCTCCCGATACTACATGCTTCTGGGCTTTATTGAGGTGTTGGGGGGCTCGAAAGCGGTCGATTCAAAGTACAAGTCTTACAGACCAGACAAAACATGCCCCCAACACTTGCAAGCATTACTCCTCTGTCCTCCTGCTCTCTACTCGATCCACGACTTACAATAAATATCTACTCACCATTAAATCCCACAGTCCGAGAGGCCTAGCAACAACGGTCAAATATAATCGGTCCAGATGATCGGTCCAGATTATCCATATTGCAACTACTATGTAACTCCTTGCCACTGCCGGGCTGTCTCCCCCGCATTATCCGGCACATGCTTTCTTCCTCTGTTCAATCCCTTTACCAGTCTTGCCAAGCCGCATTGCAGTTGCAGCCTGGGGTGCATCCAACATACCAGTACTACAAGCGAGATGGTAATATAGGTATGGAAGAGAGAACCAACGCGCAAAATCCCGCCATACCATGTGTGCTGTGTGCTGTGTGCTGCGTGCTGGATGTGCCCCCCTTTCTTGAAACGAAATGCACTAGGCAACTAACATCGACATGCAGCTCGTCGAAGTGCGTATCGGTGCGTATCTGATCCTTGCTTCTTCTTTTTTTTTTCCTCTTGCTTCCTTTTTTTCCCCTCTTGCTTCCGTTCTTTCTTTCGTTTTTGGCCCCCTCGGGGAGATGCGCGGATACAAAATAGTCCAAAATCGCCGGCCCGATGGCGGACGAGAAGAAAAGCAGCAAATGGATCCATCACGTCATCATGTCTACCTACCTAGATACCTACCTACCTCCCTACTATATGGAATGTGTGTGGGAGCTGCGGCTTGTGTACTCTTGTTTGGCTAGGTAGGTAGACAAGGTCAGCAAGCAGCCAAGTTACCGCTTGAAGCATGAAGCTGTTCTGAGAAGGGTCTACGGGTTCGCCTTGGCTAATAATACATGGCTGGCATACGGTGGCGTTGAGTCTTCATCCTTCTAGGATGAATATGGATGGATAGAGGGAGAGATAGGGGAGAGATAGAGAGAGAAAGAGGGAGGAAGAGAGGTTGTAAGGCAATTTCGTCTAGAAACTCATAAGCAAACCACTTCCACAAAGATAATACAAGTAGCCAAGGAGAAGAAGATGAATGGCGGCAAGAAGTAATACAGGACTGCAAGAGCAGCCGAAGAGAAACAGAAAATAATACAGAATAAAGAATCAAAAAGGCATAAGAATACAAAAAGATAAAGGAAAGCAAAAGGCACAAGGCAAAAGGAAAAGAAAGCGAGAGAATGGAGAGAAGAAAAAAAAAAAAAAAAAAAAAAAAAGAGAAGCCCATACAAGAGCCATGGCGCCGTAAGATGAACATTGTACAAGTCTCTCTCAAGGCCGCATGCTCTACATCCAGAACCCCAGCCCCGAGTCAAAGTAAAGCAAAGGCATAGGGCAAGACAAGGTGGTAGGTAGGTAGTAGTAGGTAGTTAGTAGTCATAACTATCGGCCTCTACTGGCCGACTCGATCCCTCCAGCGAGATCCTATGTACATCCGTGAGAAAAAAATAAGCCGAGCAGCATTAATGATGAATGCCCCTTTATATGTATGCTCGCTCCTTCAAACAAGTTTGTTCCCTCTAAGCAGCCAAGACAAGGATCAAAGGTCAGCCTTTCTTATAACAAACGCCTTTACAAGCATCGCATCGCATCGCATCGCCGTAACAGAGCTAGCCAGCCGCTCTCCTTCTGTTGCACTTGATCTAGTGCCCAATATACATCGACGAACAGCCCGGCATACACAAGGAATATATATACACGCGTGGCTGCTGCGATAAGGTATATTTGCGCATCGGGTTGACCATTGTTCTCCCATGTGAGATTCCGCGCGACCAATGGTGGATGAGTTGGAAAACAAAGCAAAGCGACAAAAAGAAAAAAGAACAAAAAATTTGGAAAAGAAATGTGCGTCACTGTAGGCAAACGAGTCGGGTCGAGATGGAGCTTTTTCTTTTAGTCGTAACCAGCACCACGCTGCCAGGGGCTACACGGACATGCGTTAACCACGATTGAATTTCCTGTCGGCGAAAGGGGGGGGGGGGGGGAGGGGCTGGAACATACCTTGCGTTGTTTTGTGATCGATAGCCGCCTGGGCTTGTGTTGCTGTTGCTACCAAACGATGGACTGTGTCGCATCGCCGACGGTGATGGCGACGCGTGACCATATGACGAGTGAGACTGCTGGTCATTGGCCGGGAAGAGCGGCACAGACGGGTTGACTGGCGATACTGAGCGCGCCGGTTGATAGAACGGCGCCTGAGCAGACATGGACTGAGGAGCATACGTCATGCTGCTTGTCGCGTCTGCGGGATGGCGCTGCTCGTTGGACGTGATGGAGGCTTCCTCGTCGTCGCCGAGCTTGTAGCCGGCCTTGTCGCCTCGGGCGGTAACCGCCAATGCATCCAGCTCGGTTGCGGCGTTGTTGTTCAGCTGGGTTTGCGACTTCATGAAGGATGCTCGGTCATCTGCCATGAACTGGTATCGGGCGTCGGGGTTCTTGCGGTAGATGGAATAGGCGGTTGAGGCGATCACCATGAGCAAGAGGACCAGGGAGAAGATGGCGTTGAGAACAAACAAGATAACGCCCACAACACCAATGGCCAGGAGGGGTGCGCCAAAGACGTTGGTGAAGATGAGCAGGAAGATTGAGTTCAAGAAGTTGATGACGTAGATGGCAATGTTGAACGAGTTCGTCTTCTTGTCCATCCACGGGCGCAGCACCGACGTGGCGATGAGCATGCCGACCTCGAGGATGATGAAGCCAATGGCCTGGGCGACGCTGGTCTTTTGCGCAAAGGCCACAAACATGGCCTTGATGAGCGTGTAGACCAAGATGGGCCCGATAAAGTAGTACGCAGAGGCACGGAATTGCACATAGAGGAAGCCCCATTTGTTCAGAGCCTGGGGGTCGGAGAAGAGGATGTAGGCTGGGTTTCCATGCATGTCAATGGACCGGCGGGCGATCTGGATCACCTTGCTAGCACCCCAGCAGAGCGCGATCAATGGACAAAAGAAATAGAAGACGGCAAGCACAATCTCGGCGGCGGAATCGGCCTGCGTAAACTCCCAGAAACACAGGATGGAGAGCTGGGGCAGACCGATGAGCGCAATACGGTAGAGAATGCCCTTGAGAACGGTGCGCCATCCGTTACGAAACTCGAGGAACCGGTCCGACTTCATCACGCCCTGCTTGACAAGGGCTTCGCACAGAGCCTTGAACAGGGTGACGCCGAGCATGGTGAAGATGGCAAACAGCCAGAAAAAGGTCAAGCCCGTGATGAAGAGGTTGGTGGTTTCGATTTTGGCCGAAAATGCCACACGCTGAATTCCGTACACGACGTAACCACCAGATGGAGACAAAATGTTACCGCTTCGTCGGACAATGTTGGCGGCTGCCTTGGGCATCAGGGCAAGACTGCGCTTGACGATAGCCCTGCCCATCGCAAGGCCGGCATCCAGACCGGCGTCCAGGCCGCGCTTTTCCACAGTAACCGACACAGAGCCCAGGGAGCTGAAGAGGGAGGCGGGCGTGCCACCGGTGGCTCGCTGATACCAGGTGAAGATGGTCTGCATGAAGCCCACGTGGATAATACCCATCGACCACTGGAAGTTCTGGGTCCAGGCCTGGACAATGGGGGGCAGACCGACGCCGGTCAAGCCAATCATGGCCTGGGCTTGGAAGTAGCCAAACAGAGACAGTGACAGGGCCGCGACGTGAGCAGCCGTGTTGGAGTGACCGAGACCGTTGAAGACGGCGGAGGAAACTAAAGCGATACCAGCGATAATGGCCGTGGCCCATTTGACACCCACCAAGTTGACCGTTTTGCCGTTGGAAATGTCGGCCTGGACGCAGGCAATGCTCTCTCCGGTGCTGGTCAGATTGATACGCACGCGGACGCTGGCATCCAGGTCGGGAACGGAGTAGGCGATGGAGGGGATCTGAGAGGCTGCAGAGGCGCTGACGGGGATGTTGAAGGGGATGTTGAACTTGGCGGCAGCCGTCATGGGACACATGCCGGCGAGCTTAATCTTGCACGGGTCGAGCTGGGTCTTGAGGAATGTGTATCCATAGGCTGAGGCCTCGATATCGAACATGACGTAGCCCTGAACGGAAGACGTGGCGACCAGCTGGATGGCGGCGGAGTTGTTGTTCGGGGTGAAGACAACGTTGAAGAAACTGGCCTGGAGACCCGAGTTCTCTTGACAGGTGTTGAGGGATGTGGACACGAGCATGTTCTCAGCAGACACCGGCGACAGTAGTGCCGCCATCGCGGCAAAGAGGAGCGAAGCGCTCCTCGAGGAAAACCACATTTTGTCGGCTGAGTTGTTCGATGGTGTTTATGTCGTGGTTTGTGACTTTGTTCGTCCGGCTGGTTCTCTCGGCGGAGACGAGAAGCGATGGGTTGGCCTAGAATGGAGTCGAGGAGTTGTCGGGAGGTGAAACAAGAAGAGTTGCGCAATTAAAGAGCCGTTTTCGTCCCGCGGAACGTCTCGAGTGGTTGAGAAAGGCCACGGAAGATGAAGGAAGAAGGTGGAGGGTTGTTGCGCGACGAGATCTGTAAAGACGATGGTCCGGCCAAAGCAAGTCTTTTTTGTTTTGGGAGATCGAATCGGGGATTGGAGAGTGACTGGCGACGGCTCCTTGTGAGGTATTCGGGTCGAAAAGACGCTGACTGGTTCGCGAATCGAAGTCGTCGTTGTCGATGTCGTCGGCGCGGGAGTGGTTTGGGTAGAGCGATCGGAAGCGCCGTGCTTGCGAATAGAAGCCAGCGACAATAAAAAGGAGAAACGAAGGGCGAAAAGGAAGAATCAAGATTGTATTCAAAACGAGAGTAGGAAGCGAGCGACCATGTTTATCGTGGAGGTGAAAGCGATCGATGGGTCTGTCGCCAAATAATCCATCCACACACGAGGGAGAATCTGGGGAGGGCAGAAGAAAGAACAAAAAAAGCGACAGAAGGCGGCCGAGTTCCAGCAGAGGTGAGAAAAGAGTGAATTGGACGACGGATGGAGCCAGGCGAGAGAAGGGAAAACGAGCGAGTGAGCGTGAGGGTGCGTGAGTGTGGTTGCAGCAGCGGGCTGGCTGTTACGAACACGCGTCCATGGGTGGTGGCTGAGTCCCCCCGACAGCGCCGTTTCAGGGCCGTATGAAGGCGGGATCCGCTCGCAGATCGTGCAAAGCACGCAGGCAGGACAGGCAAGACAGGGCCCCAGCAGCAGCACCAGCAGCCCTTTTGGTTCGTATGGCAGCGGGCGACTCGGCTGGCGAGGATGCGATACGAGGCGGTAGTGCTAAGATTACTGGCACTCCGTGCTCCGTACTAGCACTGCTAGCAGATTAGAATGAAATACGGGGCCCTGGGCCTCTCCTGAAGAGGGCAGCGAATTGCACGCTCATTCGACGAGGCGAAACGAGAAGCTGGGGGGGACCCCTGGCCGGGCCATTTTTTCCCCTCTGCTGGTTCTCGATGTCAGCAAGCGCCGTTCATCTTTTCCCGGGCTTGTGGCCTCAGGGGTGGGCAGCGATCCATACCGTGCGTCTTTGTTTGCGCGCGTGGTTTGTGTGATGTGATGTGGTGCAGCAAAGCAGCCGGCTCGCGTTTAAAAACCGACGGATCGCCCACCAAAAGTTTGTCGACCCTGGAGTTTGCGAGAAGGCGTTTCACCGATTCGATTGTCGCGAATAGGTAGGTAGTCAGTCATGAGGACAGCCGCGGCTGACAGGAGACACGAGGCTGGAGATGGGAGGAGGAGAGGAGACGAGAGGAGGCGAGAGAGGGAAGAATGAGGTTTCAGTCCTTCTCCTCTGTTGTCTTGGCTTTTGCGCGCAGACATGGGAAAGGCGCGGCTTGGCCTGCTCCTGCCTCTTTGCATTCTGCCTTTGCCGGCCCTGGTCAGTCTGTAGAGGTAGGAGGTACGAGGTCTGCTTCCAAGATACCCATGGAATAGGTACATTATACCAGCCACCAGATGACCTTGCTGCCTTTGATGAGCAGCCAAGATCTGCTGCTATTACCGGCAGTTGGTCCAACTCACTACTAAATTCCATGACTTCATCAGGGTCCTTGCCCGTCCGCAGAGGTTCTGCTCGAGCTGGACTCAACCTTTGTCAACCTTCATTCAGTGGATTTCCAAGTTGTTCATACTGTACCGCTCAGGTACCCGGAACCGCCAACCGCCCCGTCCCGACAGGCTTTGACGCTTCTGGCCCAATCAGAGAGCCGGGCTCTTGGACTGATGCTCCACTGCCCGCACCACCACCATTCAATTCATGCATCGCCTCAACGGGGCGACACTGAAAAGGTGACAGTGACATGCATTGCCTCTCAAATACGGACACAAACTTCGTATCTGCACGTATTTGCACGTATCTGCACGTCGTCACGATGGGCTCACAGGGCATCGAAGCTTACAGTATTTTTTGCAGTCCTCAGCAGGTAGAATATGACTGGAGAGCCCTGCTTGGTGCAATACCTGAGCTCCATGCCACCCCGCGTGAGGTAAATACCTTACCGACATACCTACCTAGGTTGGTTGGAGAGACTCACAGAGCACGAGGTTGTATCGACGGCTGCTCTTCTCCAGTCTTGCTGACTATTGACATCATGGATGGTCATCCTACATCTCCGACAAGACATATTGATTGTCGTCCAGTCAATAACCAGGCAGTCCGCCTCTCCATGTTGATTGAGCCTTGTGTACGAGAATTTTCGGGAATCTCAAGGCAATACTGAGGTGAGATGAGCAGTAATTTCATCGTCACTTGGCAGCAGCTCAAATCACTGCACAGCCTTCCGGATCGCTCTCCTCTCTGCTGCGTCAGGACAAGCGTCTGGCATCCTTTTTGTGCCTCAGAGAAAGAGCACAAGGGACAATTATATGATCATATACTTGCGCTCCGAAACTGAGCTCCCGAAAATCTTCGGCGTCGCACAGACATGTTTGTGCGACTACCTAGTATGTACCTGATCTCTTGCTGGGATTTGCGCTCAGGGAAACAAGATGAGCCCAGATGATTCGATGTCTCACAATAATGCATGTGCCAATACTATGACTTCTCAGTTGAGGCTGACAAGGCACATACTCTCTCAGAGGAGTAAGATGAGATGCCGAAAATTATCGGTGCTCACTGAGATGCCTCAATGTTGAACGACACGTAAGTCAACTATATCGTTGAGGCTGTACTTTCCACAGAATCCATATCAATTTCCGGGAATCTTCGGTGTCTCATAAGATGCTTGTACAATGAATTCACTTTCAGTTGAGGCTGTACACTTGGAAGGAAGATGAGCTCCCGAAGATTTTCGGTGTCTCACAATATATCTACTATATGCCTCAAACCTCTCATTGAGGCTTTGCTATTCGTCAATCCCGAGAATTTTCGGCCTTACAAGATGCTCATAGGAGCTCACTCGACAACCTCGTTGTGGCTGTGATCTCAAGGGAGTAGACCAATTTCCGAAAGTTTTCGGTCTCTCACAATGAGATGGTGATGATACCTGGTTGAGGCTGTACTGCCAAGCAAGCCAAGGCAGAGCCGAATATTTGCGGTGTTTCACAAGGAAACATGACCACTCGGGCCTCTTATTTGCCTTGGCTCTTGGACGAAGCAAGATGAACGTCCGGAAGTTTTTGTTGTTTCGCAAATATGCTTAAACAGTAGTCTAGAGGCGTTTCTTCTTGCCGAGATTGTACGTCAACTTGACAAGCAAGGTGGCCTCCCGGCTCTCGTCGAGATGCTCTCATAGACAGCGTGATCAACATCCGAGTACAGTACAATAATGACTCTCTCACTGAGAATATCTTATACAGCGAGGTCGATATCTGAAAGTTATTAGCATGCCTTAAAGATGGCTGATAGTACAATGATAGCCTGGCTTGTTGTATATCCAGAGACGGTGACGACCCCTCGGTATAGTCAATACCATTGGTATAAAGATCAGCGTTGCACAATAATTTGGGTCCTGTAATACTAATTACAATACCTGTGATAAATCGGATCTTCTCGAGTGCCCGAACGTCATCGGCATCTCAGAAGGCAACAACCTGACTCTATCACGGGTACTTTCTTCATAAGTGTAAGAAGCATATCCCGAACCTATTCGGTGTCTTAGAGAGCTACGATAACCTGGTTCTTGGACGGACCTTTGCTCCCGTATGAGACAAGATCACTTTGGTGTCTCAGAGACATTATTAGATCAGTCGACACGTTGTGAAACCTTGACTCTTGGGAAAAGCAAGGCCAGCAGCCAAAGATCTTCGGAATCTCCAAGCTTCACCAATAATTGAGAGGGACGACGCTTCCAGTAGTCCACATCGTGCTGTTACCACCGAGCGAGTGAGACATTGCGGCCGAGAATCTTTGGGATTCCTCTGCTGGCCAGCGCCTTTTCTCTGTACTCATTGACAAAGTCGAGACATTAGGAACCCGATGATGGCAGAGTGAGACGTCCGAAATATTTCGGGCCCGAAAAGGTCGGTGATACTCGTCGATATCAGTTCCTCTCACACTCTATCGCCGGCTCCATGAGACATCTGCGGCCGAAATATTTCGGGACTCGTCTTTGAGCCAGTATCGCTACATATTTCATCTCATCATTGTTCTTGTTGAGGCTGAGACATGGCAATGGTGAGAGCCTGTTGAGAGGTCCGAGATATTTCGGGCCCGACAGCATGAGATGCCTCACCCCGATATCGAACTGCTTATCACCGAATTTATGAGACATTGCGGCCAAGATTCTTCGGGATTCTCCTTCAACCGTGTGGTAACTTGGATTCATTGAGCAGCATCATCGTTCTTGGAGGCCGGGACATTGTATTTGATGCGCTGTATGTGTTTCCGCCCGATATCTCTCGTACTCGACAAGAGCGTAGAGGTCAAGCTCTTGTCACTGCTGATGGCCGACTTCACAAGACATATGCGGCCGGAAATCTTCGGGGTTCTACTATTCTCTCCTACCTTATTCCTGTGATCCATAGTTCTTTACCGAACATCATTATTCTACTAGAGATTAAGACCCTAGCATAAATCGTCCCAGAGTAAGACAGCCCGAAATCTTTCGGCCCCGACAAAGAGCGTCACCATCAACCTGCCAAAACTGCTTACCGCCGACCTCCTAAGACATGGGCGTCCGAAAGATTTCGGGATTTCTGTCAAAGCCAATAGCATCACTTCTAATTCGATCTCTTTCCAGTGAGACATGCGTCCGAAATATTTCGGGGTGGAGACAGGTAGAGGATCAATGTCATCATGTTTGCTTGATGCCGTGCCCTGGTGACGCTTAGACTCTGTGATTTTGCTGCCCGCGCAAGGCAGTTCTGTGCACAAATCTGAGACATTTGTACGCCCCGAAATCTTTCGGACTGCTCAAGATATGTACCATACATAGTGGTATCGTGTAGTAAGATCGAGAGAGTCCGAAAAGCTTCGGGCACTACTATCTTCGCAATGTCTCGGGTCCGGCTGCTGCCGCGCCACGTATGACTTGCGACTAACACACAACTCGCAGCCAGAATCCGGGCTCTCGGGCGTTTTGCCCCGTGCGCTCTGCCATTGTCATTGTTGCACAGCATCTACATACACACGATGGTGTTCATCACAGACTGCGGAGGATCTATTTTTTTCTCTTTCAGTTTCGGCTCGGTTCCCATCCGGTGTCTTGAAGCGGGGAGGAGCACAAACAGTCGTTGTTTTACCTTGTTTTTGTGCATGCTCTGAAACAGGGGGGCGCTTCCGTACGGGAATCCCCCGCTGCTGCAGAGATGGTACCGTTTATTTACCTTATGTTGTGCTACCGAGCATTGTTTTATGGATAGTATTTCCGATGCATTGACATGGGACCAGGTCTTCAAGCAACAAAAGCAGGGTTGATATTATTACGGTATATTCTGTGTTGATGCTGCTGGCAGATTGTTGAGGTGGCGTCTCGACCTGTAGCTGCTCGTTGACGACATTGGTGCCCAATCCATTGAGGAGACCTATCGTCTCTACCTGAGATATGCAAGGTAAGGTAGGATAGGATAGGATACCAGACCTGTCTGTCATCCACCTCTCAGAGAATGCATCAATTGCGAATACTACTATATCCAGAGCGACTCCTCTCGTGTAATCCCCAATATCCTCTCTCATCCAAAGGACTTCACCTCATCACTCCCAACCCAACACATCCATCAGGCCTCAGATGTTACCCTACATCCGTTAAGGTGGTTTCTCAACGTGTGCTCACTTGATTCGCATAAACAGTCACATCCAAGCATCGCATAAATGCACATGCAACTGTGCAGCATCTCGTCTCCTCCTTATCACACTCGAAGCCGCAATAAAACACCGGCCCCCCCCCCCCCCCCCCCCCCTCCTCCAACCCCCCCGGATGCAGCTCGATTCGCCCCCCCCCTCAACAAAGTGATCCATCACCATCACCACCTCAGCTGCAATGAACAAGAAAAGGCAACAAAACAAGACATGTACTCGTACATCATGTCTCACACCCACAAGCCTCACCGCAACAGGCAGCAGCGACAGCAACGGCAGCAGCAGCAGCAGCAGCAGCACCTCGTAAAGCCACCAAATGATCATCTCCCCCCTCCTCCCAGATGCACATGCAGTCCCCAAGCAGACACGGCTCACATCTCAACTCTCCTGCGCCTCTCAGGCCTCAATGCAAATTGCCATCCCTTACATGTACTAATAGCCAACACCGTCCACCCCCCCCTTCTACTCCCCACATGCCCAATGTCTCTCCGTGCCGCTATCTCTGTCTTTGTCTCTCTCTCTCTCTGTCTCTCTCTTTTCTTTTTTTGCCCCCCTCTCATATCCCCTCCCCCGAAGCCTGATTTTCACCCTTCGGACGCGCCATGCAGCGACAACGAGCCCCGATACGCTCTTCTCGAGGGCCACGATACTGTACATGTCTCCCGGCTGCAACTCCCAATGGTGGCCCGGCACGGCATATGGGTCTCTTTTCTCCCGCTCAATAGTCTACGCAGCTGCGTCTCATATCCCCCCCCCCCCCCTCCAATCGCGTACGTGATCAGATCGGCTTGTTTCTCGGGTTTCCCCAGGCCTGCCTCCCGCGGTCGATGGGGATGGGGATGAGACTCGAAGGGCGATCGAGCTCTCCGATCTTAGTAGCTGGCAGTATGTACTAGTCATTCTCGCGTACCGGGGGCCTTGTCCGATCGTCCTCAGCTGCCTGGGCTATGCTCGCCCAAGCAGCGCTGGACCCGTGAGGAAACCCTTGCCGGCAGCTGAAGCTGTCATGTAAGTGAGCCTGCAAGTGTGCCCTTGGGCGAGCATGTAAGTAAGCCGGCAGGCTCAGGCAGTAAGTAATAGTAGCTGTAGTAACAGAGAGGCGAGAATCTGAACCGATGAATGGGCGTGCCGTCCCGAGCGCCAGAGGAGGAATATTTGCCTATATAAGTGCATCTTCCTCTCGTTAGCATTCCGGATTCTCTTTTCCCAACATCATTATTATCGCAAAGCAATCCAACTATAGTCACTCCTTCTGCTTTGTCCCCGCCCTCAGGGGCACCCTCCTCCCCCACTTCTTGGGCGTCGTCAACCATCTTCTTGCTCGCATCGATTCATCTGCTTTTCCACCAGAAGACCGTCAATCCCGAATCCGTTGCGAAGATCCAAGACGCCCAGGATGACACCCGGAGATGCCTCTATCTCTAGAGAACATCCCCGGCCGAGGCTTAGGGTGCCCCGAGGTGCTGCCGCTCGTTACACATGGGAATATCGATCATTCTGAGAATGCATCGGTGAGTCTCCTTCAAGTCCTCCTGTCCATGCATCAGATAGGCTAACAAAGGGTTCGCCCGCCTTAGTCCCCGCTCCTCATACAGATACATGCCCATTGCTGTACTCACCCATATTCACTCGCTTCGGGTGATGGGCATGTTGGAAACTTCAAAACAAACAAAAAAAAATTGAAAAGGCTTCAACCATGGGCAGCAACCCACTAGAAAGAAAGCATCAGGAGAGGAACGAACGGCATGCCGATCGTTAGCTGTCAAACCAGCATATTGCAATATCCATCCTAGACTTTGTCATGGATGGATCGCTTTCCAGAATACAACGCGCTCGCTCCAACGGCGCGTTGTCCTGCTGGAGGGCGTTTGAGTATGGTCAAAGACTCGCCTCGAGGGGCGTTAGAATGACTTGACCATGTGCTCAATTTGCAATGTGTGCCTCTTTTTGGGGGCTTTCACGGGTGTATCAGTCTTGTTGCTCCGGAATACTGCTGCTCCTCACCGTGGCTTCTGCTCGGTGTTGTGAAGCGCAACTCTGTCGAGCCAAGATCGATGCAGGAGGACGGGCCTGCCGTCTTGATGAGGGCCGCGTCTTCTGCTGCCCACCTTTTGTGCCTGGACGAAGGAGGCCAGCAGCACATAGAGCGGAGGGAAGAACTCAGAGTGGACACCTATAGAGCGGAGGAATCTGGAAATTGGGCCAGGGTGGGAGGAAACAGGAACCGGCTGGCAAGATGGCCAGGGCGGAGGATGCATGGAGTGGGAAGGGATTGGAGAAATCGGGTTGGAAAACCGGTGGAGGAGTTTCAATGACCCGTCGTGGGTTGAGTGTTCTTTTGGGCCGCACGTCATGAGATATGGCCCAAGCCCTAGCAGGCTTGTCTGTCTGATGACGTGCGGCGCAAAAGAAGGCTCTGGCCTCGCAGGGGGGCCCCTTTGGCATACATTAATCCTATGCCAAAGGCACGGAGGGCTTGATGGGGAATCTGGGATCGCATTGGGATGGATGGGATGGACGGCATTGGACGGGATGGGCCAGCACAAGGCTGGGTAATAGAGCGGAGGATTGAGCATTGGGACCAGGGAGGATATGGAATAGAGATGGATGGATGGAAGGATGGAAACGGAAAGGAATGGGAAGGAAATGGGAAAGTAATGGGGTAATGGGTCAACGAGACGGAAGGCTGGAAACGGAAGGGTTCTGGATGGAAACTGGGATGGTTGGATTTGGGATGGAGTCGGAAGGGCTGGAGCGGTGGAATTGGACGGATATCGGGCGGTGTCAAGAGGAGGAACTTAATGGATTGAGATAGTAGTTGGAATTGGGACAAGGAAGGAGATGGACATTGGAGGAGATGGATGGATTATGGGAAGGACATGGATGGGATGGGAGGGGGAGGATGGAGGGCGGGATGGATATTGGGGCAGGGGGGCCCCAAGTATAACTCTGAAATGGAAATTTCCATTTCTACATTTTGCGGCCCATGGCACAAGTGATGAAGATGATGTGGACTATTCGTGATCGATTGCAACATATATCTGGTAGACGCGTGGCATTGCTTTGCTGTCTTGCATCCATGCCTTCAATCATTCTGTCCCCTTGTGACATGAGCATACAAACTACATCACCGTGCCTGTTGTCAACGGAAACGTCAGGGGGGGAAATCGCTGGTGCAGAATAACAAAGGCTCGAGTCAGGAGACCATAAGGAATACGAGACTCTAAGCACAAGGTAAATGGAAAAGGCATAGCCGTCTCATATACTCGTGATACACAAACATCAGCATAAAAACCTGCAATGTTGACGGACTCTCATCGAAATTCTCCCGGACCGGGCCCAAAAGACTCTCCAGGAGCCATTGGGTTCAGCCTGCAGAGGCCAAAGAGGTCGCAGCCCTTGGTGATTACAGTGTTCCCCCACCAGTTGAGGTGGATGCCATGGTACGTCAGGGCAAAGAACTGAATGAGGGCAGAAATGGCAAGGCCGGTAGAGAAACCAGCGGACAGAATATAGTTGTACTAGAGGTAGGCCATGGGAATCAGCTGTTACATGTAGCAGAGCTCGAAATTGCAGGTAAAGACGTACCTTGGCCCAAAATGCCAGATAACGGACCTTGATCCAGAGCCAAGAGACACAGGCAATGGGCACAGCGGGCCATATGTAGGTGAGGTTGAGCGGGTTCCAGAGACAGCCTCCATACAGCATGACGACGGGATGGACGTTTCGCAATATGGAGTTCCTGGGAAACTTCTTACCGAGCAGCCAAAAGACAAGGACAACGGCAATACCAATGGGGAAGCCGGCAAGAGTGGCAGTATAGGTGCCGTTGGCCCCCCACAGCCGTCTGGGGCCAACAGTGCCCCAGAGAACGGCGGCGGTGAAGAAGGAATTTGCATTCGGGCAAGTAAAGGCGTAGGGGGCGCCGGTCGGGGCGCAGACGTTGTCGAGATTTATCTGAAACTGCAAGACGGCAACGCATATGACGGTGGAGAAGAGTGTGGGAATCATCTGGGCGCAGAAGATGATGCGCGGCGGAATCTTGAGATAGTGGGCAATCTTGAGGTCGGCACTGAAGTGCAGGGCGTGCGAGCAGGTGATGTAGCCAAACGTCTTGAAGTAGCACATGGCCAAGGCGTTTCCCTCGACCCAGGAACCGCCTATGAACTCGGCCAGAACGTTGAGAGACACCTCTATGCCGGTCATGGAGAGGATAATGCCCGTGGGCACAACAAAGATGAGGGCCAATGCGATCCCGAAGAAGACGACGCCAGGCGAGGTGTACGTTGGGTAGTGAGCCAAGGCGACACATCCGAGTACTATGCTCACGGCCAGGACTGATAGATACCACCACTCAGGAACTTCCTTATAAGCTTTCATCAAGCGGTTATGAACATCTAGAGCCTCAGCCTCGGCCATCTCCTTCTTCTTGGACGGATGGAAGCTGTTAAAGAGCGAGGTGAAGCCGTGGATCACGTCATGGCGGTGGTAGAGCAGGCCGTAGGTGAGGGCACCGGTGTAAATCGTGAAGAAGCTAAAGTTGGTGATTGTGTTGCCGGCAGAGACGTAGGGAGGCGAATAGGCATGGTATGCATCGGGGTCAAGGATACCGCGACTGTCGATAATGGAGGAGACGTTGTAAGCCTTGCCGAAGCGGTCAAAGAGCGTATTAGAGACGATGGGAAAGTGGGAACTGTGAAAGCTGTCGGTGTAGTAGATGGCCAAGATGACGAGGCCAAAGAAAAAGGTACCGCAGAAGAGGTTGATGGTGCTGAAGATGGGGGTGATGAGTGGCTCGATGTCGGTGGTGAGAACGGCCCAGTCAAATGTTGGAAAAGGGTTAAAGCCCAGGCCCGACGTCGACCCGGTGAGGATACCAACGGTCTTACTCTGGGGCGCAATCCAAGTCATCCAGCTGAAGACGGAGAGTCCTGTGAAGAGATATCCAGGCACCCAGAACCAGCAAAACATGGCGAGAAAAGCAAACGCAAAGAATTTGAAGCGAGACATGGTCCACACCTTGTTGAAGGGGCCGGGAACGGCAGGATTTTCATCCGCATGAAATGCCGAATTGAGGGCGATAGTGACGAGGGTCAACGGCCAGGCGCAGAAGGAAGGGTAGACAAGGAAGCGGCGGCAAAGGCCAGCCAAGCCATAGCCGATGAAGTTGGTGGACAGAGCGACGAGAAGCTGGTAACCCATGCTCTTGGCCCAGGCCTGATTGAAGAACCTGGGGAGGTACTGAATCCATATGATGTTGTTTGTGTAGGGCTGACTGACGGAGATGGCGGACATGAGAGACACGAGCATGTGCTCTTTCTTGTTAAAGGGGCCTGGGTTAAGGCTATGTCGAACGCCAAAGAGAGTAAAACCGCAATCAGGGAGGGTCTTTTCCAGGAACTTGCCAACTGGATAGGCTAGCAGCTGGACAACATTGCTGCCCACGGCAATTGCTGGCAGTCGAATGGCGAAGAAGGCGTTGATAAAGGAGACGCCGGAGGCGAAGACGATGCCCATGCACCAGGCACGGACCGTGGATACGGGGAGAGACGGGTCATCATGGTTGTCGACGATGGCCCGGACGGGGGCATATGGACTGTTGTTGACAATGAGGGCGGTTTCAATCTTCATCTCCTCGATGAGGCGATGGTGCTTTTCAGGATTGTCAAAGATGAAGTCATTGTCTTTTTGGCTGGTCAGTGAGTGAGAGCACACTGAGTTCCGGATATGGACATACCGAGGAAGTCTCCAATTCTGAGAAGCACGGCGGAAGGGAAATTGAGATCATGTTTGTGACGATTGTGTACAATGGTCAATATCTGTTCCGTGAGCGCGGATTTCCATCAGCGAGAAGGGGAGGATAACTGACCCTGCGCACATCCTCGAGAGAGTAAGAAGCTGCCGTATCTCTAGCCTCGAGCAAGTCATCTTCGGTAACGACGAGATCACGGCCCACGGCGGCAATGTTTGTGTCTTCAATTTCCGTGTGGCTGGTCTGGGCATCTTCAACAGTGGCATCAAAGGGCTGTTGCTTGGCATGGGAGTTAGCAGACTGATGACGATGATCGATCCTCTGAGGTGCTCATCTTGAACGGAGTCTCTCTTTTAAAAATAAAGCAACGTACTGATTTCTCATCAAAGACGCCCCCAGATGGTGGGCTTTTGCTGTCCGACATGGCGGGTGAGAGGCAGAAGCTGGCAGAGGGAGGTTGTCGATATATCCAACTTGGACTCCCAACTAGATCTCCAGCTAGAGGAACGAACAAAACAAGCAAACTGACATACAAGCGCAGCAGAAAAGCAAAGGAAGAGAAGCTTCAAAACAGAAAATAGATGGCTGCGACAAGAAGCAAAGAAGAGTGAATCAAGAGATGAGAGAAGGCCGAAAAAAAAAAGGAAAAAAAGGGAATCAATTGCTTGTGGCGACGAGATGGATGATATCTTTGCCTTGTGCAACATGACGGAAGGTGCGTTCCTTCCTCCAATGCTTATCGCATCAATTGCCGACTGGATGATGGATGATAAGGCATCCTGTGCTACGGAAGGAGCAAGTTGCAGGATGAGATTAATTTACAAGCGGCATCTTTCTTGTCTTGTCCTCCTCCATCTTCAATAATTACCTAGGTAGTATGGACTGACTGAGATATTACAATAATGAACCTATCGAAAGATAAGCAAACCAGGTGAGGTGTGATTTGTTTTACCTAGTTCACGATAATAGTCGCCTCTGCATAGATGAGTACTAGTAGCTTAGTAGATTAGTAGAGACACACACACACACCTGCAGATGCAGATGCAAAACTGCTAAAAGAGGAAAAACGACACTGATCAGCTCAAGGCGACTGTGAGTGGCCGGCAGCAGGATGGTGGTGCTGGCTAGTGCTCTCGCTCGACTTTTACTCTGAGGTGCTCTCTAAGGTACAGTTAGTGGAAGCACAACAACGTCCTGTTGACGATTGACGGCTAGAGAGCGTTCGGCAAGCCCTCAGTAATCTGTCTCTTGAAGATGGCGGCTACCGACAAGCTTTTGGAGTCGCATTTCCGTTGCAGTATGTAAAGTACCTTTAAGTAAAGAACTGGATGTGACAACTGGTCGAGAGTGCCAACATCCGCCGTACTCATCATCATCAGCAGCTCTGGCCCCCTGTACAGCTCATGCCACACGAGTATATGCAAGAAGCCGTAATAAGCTTCCAGTGTTCTCCTCTGCAGCCTTCCTTACTTACCTACCTATGACAAGGTATTTCTCACGTCTCATCACCCCGGACGGACTCGCGTAATACAGCATAGTAGTACTAATACTAATAATACCAAGCCATCCGCCTATGCTTCTTAGCCTGTCAACTCCAAACTTTGACGCCAACTTGTCAATTGATGTGATGAATCTCTGCTCAAAGTGCCGTTGTGGCTCAGGAGAGCGGCAAGACTTCAGTTTTGGCGCGGTCGGCAGTCGCTGATAAATCGAATCGTTCAAGATCGCTTCAATCGAGAGCTTCAGCGCCAGTCTCAGTTCTCAGCGCAGCCACAAGGAGCCAAGGCTAAGACGGGCTGATCGCCAACCGTCCTCGCGGCTGTCGAGACTCATAGCAACAGCCGTTAGCCCTGTCATGATCTATGTAGCAAGGTGCTGACGAGTTCGAGCCGTTCGACAGCCTTTCGAGAGCTACCAAGTCTAACTTCAAGCCAACTCCAACTTCCCCGCATCAGAAAACTTGGAAGAGCCAGCTGCCGATTACCGTCAACTGTCCTCCAGCTTGACAATCGTTAACAAGCCAAATCGTCGTCTTCTCGAGCCAGTCTCTCGTGTGCACTCTATGCACTTCTGTGCCGCCCGGGTCATTTCGTCCGTCGGGCGATGATGATACGTATCAAAGACGCATGTCCAGAACCATTCCGAGGAGAAATCTGTCCGCCCGACACGTCACTACGAACACCACCACTTTGATACCAGCAGCTGTCTTCCCAAGACAATCGCTTGCTCATTCGCATATGCAGAGAGCCCCTCAGCCTCTCAGCCTCTGTCACAGATTGCCGTTTCTGGATAATGAATCCTGCAGCGGTCCGGACTGCCGTCTCTTGGCTGCGTATCACTGCAGCTTCATATCCGCATTGTAGGCATATCAGAAGCAGTATCGAGGGACCGAAAGAACCTGTGGTGCATGCACAGCAGCACACCAGTCACATACATAGATAGCGATTGAGCACCCACAAGGTTATCTTGTAACTGCAAAGTCTCAGGCAACCTCCAACCCCCACGCACAATCTTTCAGCAGCTAGGTCTGCCAGCAAGATGCCACTGCAAGCTTCCCACCTTGGTCGTCATTGGCATCGCAATACTATGGGCAGGATGAGCCATCCATCAATCCCCGCACTCAATGGAGCAGTTCGGGACAGAATCTGTCGTCACGTCCCCTCTCTCTGATCCGTTGTGAGTGCAGTCGAAGCTCCGAACCCCTAGTCGTTTCTTGTTCTCTGTGCTTCTCCAGTCAAGGGGGGGGGGGGGGGTCTCTTCTGTGGCGTCGATCTGCTCGATCCCTCTTGTCTCTGGAGATCGGATTAGGTAACTCAAAAGCCTCCCTTCAGCTCGACGAAAAGAGGCTGAAGAGGCTGAACTACAGCACGTGGCGTTGACGGCCCTCCCGAGTTACTCTCCCGCGACGGTCTCTCGATGTGCACCAACGGCGTAGGCCGGCCTGCGAAGTGGCGAGTCCCGTGGTCATAGCTCGTCTCCCCCGACATCTGTAGCAGTGCTAGGTGCGCACAAAAGGGGAAAGCGTCGAGCTGGAAACGTGGTGGCTTGGGACGATGAGAAGGTCCATGTCTCTTTGAGCTTAGAGCTACGAAGGAGAGGCAGCATCGAAGCCCGCCATTCTCAGATCAACCAACAACACACCATCACCTGGACATATCTGGGAGAACCAGCCTCATCGTGAACTTTTGTAACGACACTCCCCGTTGGTTGGAGTGGCGGCGAGGCTACTGCTAGCTAGACGCCAGCCACAAGAGGCCGTTCATGAGGCTACTTTAGAGCCAAGGCGGTCCGTCGTAGCTTCAAAGATTGAAGCCTGCCTCGCACATCTTGCCCAATCAGACGGACCTGGAGCAAGGCAAATCAGTCTCTCGCCCAATCATGAACCTGATGCAGCAGCACCACCCTCGCCGTGTTCGTAACGAGCTATTAGTCCCCAGAGGATACAGACACCTCCCCCGAGTATGCCAGCTTCTGGCAGCCACCATTCCTCGAACCCCGCCATCTCCGGGTTATGTACCCGTTGCAACTTGCAAGGCATGAGGGGGTGTCGCGAGGTTGCTTCAAAGCTGTCTGTGCCAGCGGTAGAGCACACCTTGACCATCGCAATCAGGGCTAATTAGGGGCCTTGAAGGAGCTCGAAACGTGAAATCTGGTGTGGCAACAGCAACATAGCAGCCAACTGGCCAAAGAGCCTGTGCAGCAAGCCAACTCTGATGCAAAAATAGTATCAGCCAGTTATCGAGTCTTTCTAAGAGGTGTTCTAGAACGCGTTGGTGGGCATGCCTCCTTCCTTGGAGCTATATGCGAGACAGTCAGGGGAGATATGGGGAGACTCTATCAACATCACATAGCTGATGCCAAAGATAGCGACATGTGGAGCGGCTGTTGTGCCAAGTTCAAACGCCGAGAAGCACAGGCTCTTCTGGCCAAAGAGAGCACTCGCATGTGGATAGATGGACATGGAAATAGCATGATGGGCTGGTAGGTGGGATAGGTGGGATTTCTTGAGGTTCAAGGGGTAGTTCCGTGGCTCTCTTGTCCAATCTCCCTCGTACCGGTGATATCGCAACGGCAGCTTGGTATTCCTCCTCTGACTCCAGCTCTCAAGTTCCATCAGCCTTGTTGTTAGAATCTGGCAAACGTCAGCGCCGAGTTCCTGAACGGTATCAACGCGCCAATCACCGCCGGCACGTAATAGGCCGACCGGTTGATCAGATCGCCAGTCAGCAGGCCTATTGATCCGGAATGCTGTCTCGAGTTCTCGCTTCCAAACACTTGATCGCCTGCCGGGCCCAACTCCATGCCGCCGCGCACCAGCCTGGCTACCTCCTCTGGTTGGAAGAAGGCCGCGGTTCGAGCTCTTCCCATGCGTTCGACACCCTTTGATCTTCCTGCAGCATCACTCGTTGCAGTTGGTTCGGTCAAGTCATTTGCAGCAGACTCCGTCTGGGATCCTGATGGTTCTGATCCCGACCTTGACCCTGCCGTCTTTGCCCTGCCCAGCACAACGACCCAGGCAAACGTCTCCATGGAGTCTCCGCTGTCGTCCACGCCGCCCTCAATGCCAACCCAGTAGTCTGCCTGCGGCTCTGCATCGCGGGCGTTCTGGGCTCGATTTCTGGCGCCTTGCAGGGTTTCTGCATCCGTCATGGGCTGGTCAGCAACGCCGGACGGGACGCTGAGGCCGGTGAAGGAGAACTCTGTAGACGGAAACATGCCCCGAAAGGCCTCCCTTGCGGCTGAGATTTTGACGGGGTTGCGCGAGGCGACGATGACTCGGCTGGCGTGGGCTGTCATCTCGCTCTTCTGTCCTGTTCTTCTTTGACCAAAACGAAGTTGGGAATATGTCGTAGTCTTTGCAGTAAGTTCTGCAGTAAGTCCTGGAAGGCGTATAAATCTCTGTATAAGCGCGTAGGTCTAGGTTTCGTAATATTTTCCTTCAGAGGAAGTCAGATTGTCGATGGATTTATACGGCAGAATGAACCGAAGGTAGACGAGTGCTTCGCGTTTCGTAGCGCCGCATGGAACCGAATGAGTCTTACGCCGACTGACTACCCCTGCTAGCCCGAGTATCGGGCGCGAGATCATGGGCTGCCCCTTATCATCATCTATCAGATGCCGTCTCGGTCTCCTCTACCCCGGGGCAAAATAAGAAATAAGACGGCTTGACGCCATAGTGAAAGCGCAAATTTGGAGATGACCGTGAAATACGCGGATGGAAAATGTGAGAAAAAAGCAAGAAGCTTCACGACGGCGGTAGAGCATCACCTGGCTCGGTCGCTAGCGACAGATAATCGACACCTATGACACCCTCGTCGATACAGGCGTTGTTATCCAGGTTGTCTTCCTCCAGTAGGGGAATTTGTTGTTCCCAGACCAGCCCGTCCAAGTCCAGGTCCCACGGCCAGTCTTGATCCAGCATGTTTACAATGTCGCCGGTGCTGTATCCCGTCGAGCCCACGGCATCTGCGCCTTCGTCGGCCCAGAACCCGCTCGCCTCGTCGCTCGCTCTCTTCAGCAAAGCATCCTGAGGATCGCTGCCTTGTCTCGTGTTGGAAATCTTGGAACTGGCCTCGAGCAAGCGGCTGACGACATCCCGGCTACGGCGTGCTGTGAGAGACCAATCCTTCATGGCCTCGAACAGCTCCAGCGTCGACTCAACCTGGGCCCGCCAGTCGACAACGGCGGGGTTATCGGGCTGCCATAAGATGCTGACCAGCGGTATCATGGCTGCTTGATACAGAAACCACACGGCATTCCATCCGGACATTTGCTGGCGCATCCACCCTTTTGAGACGCTGTCCACCGTCTCTCGTGCGGCCTCCTGGCAATTCTTCACGGCGGCCACATCTTGCTCCGAGATGGGCAACTGGCCTTTGCTGGCCAGCGTCAGAAGAACAGGGCGGTAGAGAAGCATGCGTAGATTCCAGTACCGCCATGTCATGACGCTTCGAGATAGATGGAGTGACTCTACGCAGGGTTCCGTAGATCGAAGAAGCCAGGGGAGGTTGTTGTGCCAGTCGACAAGAAGGCTATCAAGATGATGTCGATCTTCTGACTCGAGAAGAGGACTGACTGCGAGCATGTCTTGAATTTTGGTCGCAATTTTGCAGAACTTTATGTTTTCGAGCAAAGGCATGATGCCCCCGAATTGGGCAGAGTCGTATTCTTCCTGTGTTTTAGAGAAATGAGTCAAGTGTCGGTAGATGGCAGCCAGCCATTTACCCAGCTTCAAGGTTCATGATTGACCTACATTCTCCGTAACAAGTTTAGGGGGTTGGATATTGATCGCCGGCCCCCATCGCCCAAACGAAGGGCGCCCAAGAGTTGTGGTGCCCCAAGTGTCGAGGCAGAACAAGGTCCACCAAGTGCGCCTCCGCGACTCAACGACCGCAGGATCAGACTGTGGCTCCTCCGGTGGCGGTTCTCGATGCAGACCGAGAGCAGTGGCCATTCTGAGGACGGCGCCGATAATGGCGTTGGCCATGTTTGGGCGGTTGATGTAGTGCAGATAGTAGCCTCCAAGAAGCCCCAGGGCATGGATGGTCTCGATGTGGCTGCTCCCAAATGCACTGAGATGGATGTGCTCTATGGCTTGGTTGTAGTACTTGATATGGCTCAAGTTGCTCGATGGCGTTGACATGATGCTGCTCGTGGCAAAGACCATGTTGAGCAGGGAGAGCCAGGGAGCATCGCACCGCCGACCCTCGCTGTAATGTTTTCGGAACGAGGCCTCATCCAGTAAGGGGGTGAGGACGTGGACGCGTTTGAAGTAGGCATCGACAAGAGCTTGCCCCTTGTATGTCCAGGGGATAGGAAACTGCTTCTTGGCGGATCTGGAAGCTGCACGGATAAGAGGAACCTTGCTGCGGGTGTTGTCGTCACTAGAAGAATCAGCAGACGGCTGTGACGCGAGCAATAGCTGAAGCTGGGGCTGGATCTGAAGCATGACGGTCAAGGCGACTTTGACGGACGAGGCACCGAGATAGGAAGAAGCCTGTTTGTCCATGGCGAGGGACAGGGCGTTTACATCGTCAGCTTCGGCCGGCAACGGGTCCCGGTCTCTTCGTTCCTCGTCCCACTGAGAGTTCTGCGCGGGCATCTGCTCGAGCTCCGTTGGGTGCTGCTGATCATCCTTGGGCGAGGGTGGGACCGGCGACAGGTCAACAGTCCTTTGCTGTGCCGGCTGATCTAGGAGGCTGCAGAGCTCCTGGCGTGATAAGGATAGCAAGTGGGAGACTTGATGGTTGGGAAAGAGACGCCGCAGCACGGAGCGGCACTCTTCGAGATTCCGTGACAGCTCTTCCAGTGATCTTACTTGCGAGTTGGAAGATGTTAGCCAAGACCAAACAACAAAAGAAGTTGGACAAGATAGTTAGGAAGACCTCATCATGGGGGAGGTTGAACTGACTTCCTGGACGGAACGAGACGCTGGCGATGCTGCTCATACACGCACCGCCTCCGGGAGCGGCTGGACTGGCACCGGCCGCAGGGCTGCTTGCCGTCGCAGCGGATCTTGCGGCGTTGACACTCGAGGCAGGCATGGAGGCTCTTTGCGGCCCTGCTGCCGGGCGTGTCCTGGGACCGATTCCCGTCCGAGGACGACTGGGGGGATCGATCGGCAGCCTTGCCCTGGACCCCCTGGACTAGCAAATGTGTAATTCTTTGTTAGCCAGATGGCACGGAATGGGAAAAGCCAAGAGAAACTTGTGTGAGATCCGGGAGAGTGACTTGGGATCCGAGATGCGAACGACTCAAAGGGGGGTGTGTGCTTTGCATGGATGGATGCTCAAGTAGGTGAATGGATGGAGAGATATAGTAGGTAGATGGAGACTCCACCCACATGTGTAGAACATGATGTTCCGAATGTGATACTTTTGATGACCAACGGGGGTGCCGTATCAGTTGCCGTTGCACTGCGTCGATGTGTCAAGAGAGAAGGATAGAGAAATGGCCAATAAGGGAAGCCAGTCATCAGACTGACGACTGCTTTCGTGACCAGCAAGAGGAAGATGCGGGTATCAGGAATTTTAGGCAAAGGAGGCCAACATTGAAGCTGAAGTGCCGAGGTAAGGTCAAGGCAGTGATTGAGGCAACATGAAGGAGGGCGAGAGATGACTCTCAATGAGATGATGTTACCTGAAACCTGTAAAGATGAGGAAGGCGCTGGCCGGCACTGCACCGTATGTTGCCCGAACAAGGATCCATTTCACAGTGCCACGTAAGTACCTCTACTGAGTGTCTACATAGGTAATTGGGCATTTTCTACATGGAAGATCAATCTACAGGCAAATCACATTGACGGTATATCACAAGCGGCCAGAAAGAAAAGAGAATGAACATTGGTGTTCAAACCCTTCAAAAATCGCCGGCTCTCGCTTTGCGCTCTTCGGCGGGGAAATTGGAAAAGTGAGAAACTACCTGGTAGTAATTGTGGGCACTGGAGATGTCGGGACTCGTCTCGCTTCCAGACAAAACACCACTCCAAACAAAGGAAAATATTGAATCAAGGCCGGAAGAGAGACAGACAATCTGGGGTAACCTAGAAAAGCAGCGAAGTCCCTCTCCTCTCCCCCATAATCCCAGATTCTTTCTCTTTGCCTAGGTAGTGGCACAAATAACACCACCTTTCATTTCGAGCCATATAAAGAGTGTTGCAGTGCATACATATGCATTACACAAGGTGAGCACTCTTCTTCTTTAACATACACATGCTCAAGACCACAACAAAGTCAAAGTCGGCACACGCACACACACAAGGCATTTATAACCGAGCAATGTAAAACTACCTTGCTACTACCTACCAATTTCTGTACATGACTACTCATCCCCTCCTCTATCCCCAGGATTATTTACCCCAGAGGCAGGTCGGGCGTCGGCCGGCTAGTCCCCTTGCGGGACATTGGGCCGCTTGTGTGGGAGACGCGCTTCTCCGCAGTCTGAGAAGCTGGGGGAGAGCTCCAGACGGTCTACTAGACGGACAGGGAACAGAGGGGAAGTGGATGAGCACTATCCGTAGTAGCAAGGTAGGTATGGTGATATATATGGGGGTTTACTACCACATAAGGTATGTCAAAAATATACCTTATACAAGGCACCATGGATGGGACAAGGACGAGCAGTGGAACTTGCACAGACAGCTAAGATACGGATGGCGGCACCGAATTGCTGTCGTGCAAAGATTCTACTGGCACGGAGTATTCATCTGGCAGGCTACCGGAGTAATACAGACAACAAGCCACCAGCTTTCTGCTCGTCCGGGGCAAAAGGGGGAGGGAGGGGGACCTTGCGTCGAGGTTGCACGACCACTAGTGGGATGCCACTGCCGTTGGGTAGTAATACCTGTGGTAATACTATGTACGAGCAACACACTCTCCAAGTTGAGCCGGCATGCTAGCTAGCGGAAAATTGGTAGGGTTACAATGTGCCTACACAGGCACGTACCTAGTAGTAAAGAACTCGTAGCTAAGGTAAAGTAGTAGCTTTGGGGAACCGTGACCAGGGTCTACCGTAGGCCGTGGATGTTCTAGGTAAAGGGCAGCAAAGGCGGCACATCATGGGGACTGAATGGGACTAGTAGTTACCTACATACACTCTCGCAGTCACTGAGGTAGGCATGGGTGTATGGCATCAATACATTGCCCATTGTCTGCTGCTGACCCCTCAGACCACATGATGAGTAGAAGCACACACACACACAGCCGAGCACATGTAAGACCACCCGTAATACTCCGTAAATTGCCGCTATATTGGGGGTTGCTGCCAGATACCTAGATGGGCAACCGGTCCATATTGGCTGAATGCATGGGGAACCACCACCTCCAACTCATGGTGGGTGAGTGGCAAATGGGATCTCACAAGGAGCCTGCAGACAGAGCATGGCAGGGAGCACCAGACACGAAAGAGGCACGCATCCATTGAGAATAGCAGGCTGTGTGGCAGTTGCAGATTCATGCTGCATCCTTAGGGCTCTCCTCTTGGCTCTCCCCTCACCCTCATATTTCACAATTATCAGCGGAAACAAAAGTAACAGCTAAAAATAGCAACCAAAGTTGTTTCCTCTGCCCTGACAAGGAACCATCGAAACAAAACATCAGCTCACAGCCCCAAGCCCTGCGCACAACTGCCCAGATATTCTTGATATAGTGGTATAGTATCGTGACCGCAAGTAAAAGTCCGTGGCATTAAGCCTTCTCGATATTGACAATGTCGCCGTGGCTGTCCACGGCCACGGCCTTCTTCGTCGTCGACGTCTTGACCGGGTTCTTGGCCTCGAAGATTTCGTCAAGCTCTTCCAACTGTAGAGAAAGCAATGGGTCAGAGACATGCCATGGAAAAGGATGGTTGAGTTGGCAACACTTACAGTGCGTCCCTTGGTCTCGGGAATGAAAAAGTAGACGACAACCGTCTGGACGAGATCCCAGATGGTAAAGATAATGTACGTCTTCCAGCCAATCTTGTCCATGGACACGGGCCATGCAAACTGGTTCAGGAGTCCAGCAGCGTTGGTGGCAAAGCTGGAAAAGGCCATGCCCTTGGCGCGCATCTCAAAGGAGAGCACCTCGACGGGATACAGGGCCTGCAGAGGAGTGATGCCCACAGAGTAGACGGCACCAAAGATGAAGATCATGGCCAGGGCAGCCTTGGAAGCGCTGGGGTTGCTGTAGATGGGATCGCCGTTGGCGTCATTTCCGATGAACGACTGCGCAAATTCGGATGAGGCAACCGTCATGCCCAGCCAGACCACGGTGCAGGCAGCAAAGGAGAAGAGCAGCAAGGGGCGACGACCAACGCGGTCGACCAGGAAGGCGCCCAGAATGGCCCAGGCGAACTGCTGGCAGTTGTTGATGAGCGTGATGTTGGCCTGCGCAATGGTGCCCGTGTAGCCGGCCGTATCGAGGACGGAGCCGAGGAAGTAGGAAAGAACCGCATTGCCAGCCCACTGGCCAAAAATGGTGATGGTGACGTTGCACAACAGACGGTAGACGGCGGCGCGCGAGCGGAAGAGCGCCCGGTAATCCCACCAGCGCTTATCGGCGCCGTCCATGTTGAGGAGCTGCTCATACTCGAAGAGCTGGAGCTGGACCCAGACGGAGTCGGGGTTTCCGTTGCCATGATACTTGGTGAGCACAGCCTTGGCGGCGTCCTTCTTGTGGTGCACGTAGAGCCAGCGGGGGGACTCGGGCAGGAACATGCAGAAGATGATGATGAGGCCGGAGAAGAGGGCCTGGAGCCAGGTGATGAGTCGCCACGAGTAGTCGCCTCCGACGTTGAGGCCGCCTCGAGCGGCACCGGCCGAGATGATGGCACCCGAGAACCAGAGAGTGTTGTACATGGCTAGGGACAGGGAAGAAGAAAGTTAGTCTATTGATTCCATACTTGACTGTTGAGCATCGGGTGAAGCTTGATGTCTTTCTGTCCATTTCCTCCACTGTCTCCCTTCCTGCACCATTGGGTTTGGGAATGAAGGAGGAAAAGACATTAGAAGAGAACGAGGGTCAATGGATACTTACCGCCAACGCGTCCACGGTATGCAGGGTGGTTAATCTCAACCACGTACATGGGGCCCGCTGCCGCTGCAATGGAGACGCCGAATCCAAGCAGAAAGCGGCCGCCCATGAACTGGCCCTGCGAGTTTGACAGACCCTGGATGATGGTGCCGACGACAATGAGGATGGCACCCAACAGCATGCCGATTCGGCGGCCAAAGCCGTCAATGGCAGGGCCGACAAAGGGAAGGGCGACGACACCACCAATCTGGTACATGGAAGACACAATGCCGGCCCAGATGCCGTCGTTTCCCACAGTGTACTTGGCCTTGAACCAGGGGTTCTGCAGCAGGTTGTTGATGAGCGAGCCGTCGTAGCCGTTCATGGTGCTGCAGAAGAAGGCAATGATGGAGAAGCTGTAGACGAGGACCTGAGCCTTGGTCCAGGCCTTGGGCGGCTCCTTCATCATGGCCTCCTCAAAGGCCTCGTGTCCGGTCACGACCTTGGTCCTGATCTCTCCCTACTCAGGCAAAACAAGAGAAGATGGTGTAAGCAGACTCACTCCTCCAAGCGAGGTGGCAAAACAAGAGGGAAGGGGAAGTAAAAATGATCATTGGGCAAATTGACTTACATGGTCGAGCTCCTCGTGAGCGTGAATGTCTTCTTTCTCGCCCATTGTTACGGGTAATCTCTAGCCTCTGGGCCAGAGACAGCGCTTCAGTCGGGGAGGCAGCGTTGAAGGAAAGCAATTGCTGCACAAAACGCCCCCTTTCTTCTGAGGTGAAGGAGAGTCAAGGGAACTGGCGAGTTGTGATGGGGTGAGGAGAGAAGAGGGAAAAAAGGTGAGGTTGCAGTCTGGATGGCCAGGGGGTGCTACCGCTTTTATGTCTATCTCGTGTCCTCGTTCCCTTGCCGCGTGTGATCCTTCCCCAGGCGATTTGGGCGAGTAACTATCGAGGAAATGGCCCTTGTCAATAGGGCCGAACAGGCGAAGCGTCGCAGCACGAATGAAGGCCTGGCAGCATCAGTTGGTCAAGCCATGTTGGAGCTGAGTTTCGCCGGAGCAGGTGAACACGGGCGGATTATTTGGCAGAGGAAGCTGGCCAGGACTCAGCGGGCAGGCTCTGCCGCTTATACGGCCGTTGTCCCTTTTCCCATCCTTTGCACCGTTTCCCGCGCTGCGTTGCTGCGCTCACACGCGTGCGGTGAAGCAGCTATTGGACGGCGGCGTCGTGCCGTGGCGTCGACTGGCCGGCCCTGGCCACAATGCGGGGGACCAGGCCCCCCCAAGCCAGATGCAGGCGCGGAGGATTGTGGTCCGCCTGTTGGGCGGGCATGGTTTGGGGATAGCTTTGGCCTGAGCCCGGCGCTTCGTCTGGACAGACGGATCCAGTGAATAGAGATTAGCCTAAGTGGTGCGGATCATCCGCCTCTGGGGAATCTGGAGGTGTCGAGGCTGACGATTGGGCCGAGGCCACGCGACGAACGGAGAAATCCTACATGGCCTTGCTGCTTCTGGCTGGCGTGGGGAGGAGGAGGAGGAGGTATGGAGGCATGGAGATGACACGATGCAGAGGATTGGAAGTATTGGAAGTTTGGGTGGTGGTGGTGGTGGTTGGTGGTGGTGGTTTGCCCTGGTTGCATGTCAGATGGCGAACCTAGGTGTGAAGAAGGCGAGCTGACTGGAGGGCCGTGAAAGCTGAGCATAAGAAGGCAAGGGGAGAAAAGAAGAGAGTGATTCCATTGCTTCTGAGGCTGGTTCGGCTGGTGGCGAGATAGAACAGCCATCCATGGCGTGATGGGGGAGCTGGCGGTTCGGTAGACTTGAGATGATGAGGAAAGGTACAGGTGGAAGAGACGGCAAGAATCACGAGGTTGAGAAGAAGGTAAGGTACAAAGTAACAGGTACAGCCTTGCATTCGGTTCGGCTAATGGCAGGTATGATCGGATCATTCACCAATCACTGGGCACAATTGCTGGGAAAGAGCAGTTGCCAAGCTGAAGCTGAATAGATTTGCTGCCAATACCTCAAAATACTATTTAGTACTAAGGTACTACTAGCTGAGAAAAGGTCACGTAGCTTAGATCTGAAGCCATGGAATGTGCCACATGAAGAGACAAAGACAAAGACAAAGACAAAAGACAAGGTCCTGCTTCGACAGGGAAGCATCAACGTCCATTTACCCGTTCCGGGACGCTGCCGAATTTCATGCATCAGTGATTGGCCCAAGGAGACATGGGGGAAAAGCCCCGCCGGCGCCACCTGGGGTTAGTTCATCATCTCGTAACGGTTTAGTCGGGCCGTTGGGAAGGAAAAGCGACGAGTTCCAGGGTAGGCGAATATAGTCGTGATGTGCTGATGTCGGAATACGGAGGTGACTTCAGAACAGCATTGACCAATAATAGAAACGCCATGCGGAGTAAAAAGCCATGTGCGTCGACAAAATGGGCATCATGCTGAGAGATTCTCCGAATGCCCTTTGCCTGATGAACTAGCAGTTGGCTGCAGCTAACATGCGTGCGGAATACTTGGCATTCTGTACCTCTACTCCAATGATTCTTTGAGAATGCTCGTTTGTTTTGCTAAGGTATACCTAGTCTTGTTCACATCTCACTGCAATAATTTCCATCTTCGACATCAAGATCATCTTGTAATTTCCGTCGTCTCCTGACGGTCATTCCTACAGTCCAACTGCCTTGACACTCAGCTCCCACAGCTTGTCCGCCTCGACATTGCTAATGGCATGGGGATGGACCGGGTCGACATAGTAATCGGCCACGCGGGCCTTTTCCAGCAGATACTTGCCATTGTGGTCTATTGGAAGAACACGAAATCATCAGCCAAGCTGCCTGTACTGTAATTATCAATGAGAGGGGGGACAAAACGTACCCTTGAGGACAGGATCAAAAGACGCGAAGATGTGCGTGGCCACTCCTCGTTCAAGTGAAAGCAACTCCTTTTCCATCCAGCCCAACGGCGACGCAGTCAACCGAGTGATTCGTGCTGCAGAACAAGAAGGCAAAAACAAATGACAAGTTAGCAACATAACCCCGTACCATCAACGACAGGAAGCCAGCAGTTGACAGTTGATGCTGACAATCAAACTCACCCAGCGAGTCGAGATCCCCCCCGGGAGCAAAGTCCAAGTGTCCCGCAAGATTCGTCGTCGCGATCGCTCCGGGATTCAAGCTGTAAGCCAGCACGCCGCGGTCGCCATACTTATTTGCCAAGCCGATGGAAAAGAGAATGTTGGCCGTCTTGGACTGGCCGTACGCGTTCCACTTCTCGTACGTCTCGCCGCCCTGTACCACCATCCATCCCGCTCCAACAAGTCAGTCATCTGCGACACACACGACGATAATCAAAACAAACAAAGGGGTTGGTCGGTTAGGATACAACAGGTCTGGCTGCACTTACATCGTAGTTGATGTCGGCGTAGCGGATTGCGCTGAACCAGTGGCCGCCGCTGCTGACGTTGACCACGCGCTTGTCCGTCGAAGCAAGGACCTTGTCAAAGATCAAGTTGGTCAGGAGAAAGTGACCCAGGTGGTTGCACGTGAGCTGGCTCTCGTATCCGTCCTCGCAGATCTTGTACGGCACAGCCATGATGCCGGCGTTGTTCATCAGCACGTCGATGGCGGGCACGTCGTCCCATGAGTTGACCTCGGCGGCCGCCCTTCGCACGGCAGCAAAGGAGCTGAGGTCGAGCTGGAGGACTCGTGTCTGGACATTAGGATGCGCCTTGCTGATGGACTCGGCTGTTTGCTTCACCTTGGTCAGGTCTCGGCCGGCGAGGATCAGGAGCTTGGGCTGTCCGGCAGCAATGGTCTCGACGTAGTTGGCTCCGAGGCTGTTGGGCGAGACGCCGGTGGTGAGAATGGTCTTGTTCTTGATAAAGGGGGCGTATTCGGCGACCAGCTCGGCGCCGGTGATGTCGTCCTTGTATGGAAAAGGCATGCTGATTGTGAAGAAGTACTTAGTGATGATCTTGATCACGGCGAATGCTAAGGGAGGATCGATGCTATGACAGGGCCCACAAGCTGAAGAAGTAGGAATCGTGAATAGAGGGTGTTGCCGAGTCTGAGTAGTCAGACAAGAGAGGAACTGGCTTGAATATTTATACAACTACCTCTTAGAAGAGCATATCTCCGCAACTTCATCGCGCCCATCTATCCCTTTGCCTACTCTCAACAGATTATCTCTCGCTTGTCCGACTTGCTCACCCATAGGTAGAATTAGCAGTCTGCATACCATCCAGTTTTACAACTACTCTCTTGGGAATTTCCACCCTTTCTCCCCACCTGAAAGTCCCGTAACTATCCCCTCCCTGTGGAGCAAGCGTCGAGGCAATCCGATCAATCTGATCATTTAAAAGTAATCAAGACGAGAAGTGCAGCTAATAAGCTTAAACCAGTCCCTTGGATACCTACCTAACCAAAGAGACCCTCTCGACGCCAGCCATCTGGTTGGCTGTCTACACTTTCCCAAAGCGGAAATCACCTTCTCCCCCCTATGAGCGACGGCCCCTTCTTAGACCCCTAAATTATCGAATCGGCACGCCAAGTGCAAAGTGGCGCTTGGCGCTTATTATTCTCAGCGACCTGATGATTTCTTATCATGGGTTTGCCTCTTCGTCATGTTAATCGGGGTTCTCGATGGTCAGCATAACGCGAACTTAACGAAAGTGGTAGAATGCTGGTTCTTTTAGAGTCTGACGCGGGTATCAAATGCGCATACTCTCATTATCAGAGCCATTCTTTCGGGTTGGAGAAGGTATCTGTCAACTACCCTTGAAGGGCATCTCAATGGACAGAGCACATCACAATGTCGCGGGTGGAACCATTGGTCGATATTCGTCTCAAAAATACAGTCATTTCCATTGCTAATCGAGACTATGAGGTGGCCAAGAAAAGACAAGAATGGCTCGCAATGACAAGGCAGTGGAGAGAAATCATTAACAAAATCATTATCATATGGCAACCGTATGGCATCGCAACGCGGGATACAGAAGCCCTCCAGAGAACCACAAGGCAGGTAGAGGGAAACAGGCGATGAAAAGAAGAAAAGGACCGTTGCGTCGGGTCGAACCATGGCTCGCCGACAGCCACCCCGAGACCAGGAGAAAGCAGCAGAAACAGAGCAAAACTCAAACAAAAAGCCATACACAAAGAATCCGTACAAGTTGGTATCCGACAAGGTACATTGATCATATCAAACTCCAAATATGCCTGCCCCATTGGCAAACCACAGGGCCGTTTTCATCTCGTTCCATTTCAGTGAAAAAATGTGCCTTCTAACCTCCCAATATGCCCTTTGCTTTTTTTTTTGTTTTTCTCATCTTCTCCTTGTTGCTTCTCTTTTCTTTGCGCACTTCTCCCTAAGTGCGTCCACCCCGTTCGCTCCACGCAGATGCGTCATGCTGTCAAACTTCCGTCAACGATGATGCCTGCTTGTCAAAGAAGTCGAAGAAGGAAAAGATGGCAACTCAAACTCGCATGCTGTCTTTCTTCGTTACTCGTTATTCATATCAATTGTATTCTGTGACGGGCCCTTCATCCCCGGATTCGCTCCACGTAGAATGAGTTTCTTGGATCAGCTACTCCTCTTCCTCCTCAATGGGAGCCGGGGTACGACGCTCAACACGCCTCTTGGGTCGCCTATGCCGGCTGCTGCTAATATTGCTGGCCGAGTCATCGGGATAGAGGTCGTATTCTTCCATCTGCCAGTCATCGTCGCTGGCATTCCCGGCGTCGCTTCCGGCCCACGGTGGTCGCTCGTAGCCAGAGTTCTGGGAATTGCCCGAGCCTGGGATCGAGAGCACGTCGATGCGTCGTCGATTCTGGAGGTTCTGCATGAGCCCAGCTCCGCGCTGTCGCAGGGCCGTCCGAACCGTCTCCGCCTGGTGGTGCAGCTTCTCGAACGCGTCCTCCAGCGCCTCCATGCCCTGGTAAATCTCGCGCTCAATCTCGGCAATAGCCGCCATCTCCATCTCTTCGTCATTGGACACAGGAGGCCGGCTGCCGCCCACGCCCGTAGACGTAAGGCTGATGAAGGAAGCCGGAGTGGTGCCGCGCGAGTACGGGGAGAAGGGCGTGGTGGTTCGGGATCCCATGGCCGAAGGGCCTCGGAACGGCGTCGGGCCCCTCGACTCGACTCCGCCAAAGTCCTCGCCGTCAGCGCCGGACCACAGGAATCCGTCGAAGCGACCGGACGTCAGTATCTCCCATTCCTGATTGTTAATATTGGACAGGGTGACGAGAAGGTCGTGAGTGTGGGGATTCTTGATGAGGTAGGTCGCGCTCTCCGCGTCGCGAGGCACCTGCTGAAGGCGGTACAGCCGCTGCAGCGACAGACCAGTCTTGACAATAAAGTCGTTGCGCGGTCGGTTCAGAGGGGTTGGGGCGCGCGTGGCCGGCCTCAGCTCCTTTGACCCGGCGAGGAGGGCGTTGAAGAAGGGCCGGTCTGCGGGATCGAGGTTGGTCAGGATGGCGAAGCTCAGCGTCTCGTCGTCGACTTCTTGGGGCGGCGGCACAGGCGTCTCGGCCGTGCTGTTCAGCCACCTGTCGACGGCGGATCTGACCTTCTTCGATTGTCGCAGGTAGTGCTCCCTGAATTCCTCGGCGATGTCGGGATCCAGCTGGATGGGGGAGTCGGGCCGTGGTGGCATCTCGCCCGAGACCTCGGCTGCCTTGGTGCCAATGTCCGCCAAGTCAAAGGGCGGCCATGCGGGGAGCTCGATGCGGCCGCTGACCCATTCGAGAACATCTCCCCAATTGAGACCGCGATGGGGCTCGTTGGATTTCTCGCAGATGATGCAGGAGCAGCCATGAGGTGGCAGATCTCGAGAGAAGACGTTCTCGAGCCGGTCGAGCAGGCGGCGAGCGACTGAGCGATGGCCGGTGGCCACTGCAACGGAGCCCTGCTTGGAGAGGACGGTTTGATACTGGTCGAGGAGGTTGACAAACGGCGTGAACAGCGACTCGGCGCCACTGAGGGCGGTATTGGAAGGCCTCAAGGTGCCGTTGACAAGGGGCAGCACCGAGAGAAAGTGCCTCGTGACTGGCTGCGGGAGGCCGCCGTTTTGCAGCAGGTAATCGACCCTGGGGACCTCGAGAACGTCGACGGCTGGGGGCGGAGGCGGAGGCGGCGGAGGGATGGGAGGCGGAGGATGCGTGGGCGCCTTCATAGCGGGCGTGGCGGTGCCCGAGTTGATAGTGGACGCATAGTCGTCGCCGTCGATGCCAGAGGCGGGAGTGCGGGATCGCTTCGAGTCTGCGTAGAGATGGGGAGAAAACTGATGGGCCTGGGTCGGCGTCTTGGGGGATGAGTCCTGGGCGCTGGACGGGGAGGAGTCGACATGGAGCGGCTCGGGCTTGCTCTTCCTGACGCTGCGAGTCGACGAGGAGCGCTTCGTGGTGTGGCGCGAGGCGGAGCTGGAGGAGCGGGACAGCACAGACGACCGCAGCTTGTCGTGAATCTTGTGGGTGGGCGAGCGTATCAGGGTGGCGGCGCTGGTTGACGAGCGGCGGCTGACCTTTGAGGACTTGTCTTCGGCAGCACGCGAGGCTGAGCGCGAAGGCGTCGACCTGTGGCCGCGCTCTAGGTCCTCGGCACGTTTCCTGGCGGCAGAGACGTCTGTTTCGGGGGGCGTTGGCGGTCGGGAGGCCTTCTTGGAGCTTGATCGGTGGAGGCCGTCGCTGGCCCTTGACCGACGCTCGTCTCCCGCGCCAGCAACGTCGGTGGGCTCGGGCGTCAGAGGATTGGAGGACTTGGCCTGAGATGACGGAACGGCAAGTTCCTCGCGGCTGACGATGGCTTCTTTGCTGTGCGCCTTGTCAAAGGACGGGTAGGGCAGCGAGATGCGGTCCTTGTCGATGGACAGCCTGGACATTTCGTCGACGCCCAGGTCGGACATGGAGGCCGGGCGCGGAGGGAGCTTATCCTTTTCTCTATCTCGGTCTCTGTCCCTCTCGCGATCGCGATCCCGGTCCCGGTCTCTGTCCCTGTCGTCTCTCTTCCGATGTCGCCTGGTGGACGAGGTGAGCGAATGGGTATCGCTGGAGCTGCGAGCGGATTTCGAAGAGCGGTGGGGGCGGTCATGATCAGGCTTGCGCTCCGACTTTGAGCGGCGGGCCTTGTCGCGCATGCGGTCGTCGACGTCGACGTCGGCGTCACGTTCCTTGGACGGCATTTCGAATCACCATCGGGGGCTGGCGGATGGATTGCCGACGAAGCTGGCTGCAGTTGCGGTCGCAGTTGCGGAGGGCTGCGAGGCGAGGCGAGGCGAGGCACGGCAGCGTGATGGAGATTTTGATGGAGATGGGGGTTTTTCGAGCAGGGGTTCTTGGCCTGCTGGCCCTTTTTTTTTTCTTGCTCTGCTTGGCTTGGGCTGGAGGTGGAGGAAGGGTGAGAAGATTGGGAGACTGGGATAGGGCGAGTGAACAAATGGATAGTAGAACCGAAGCGGCGAGCTGCAGGCAGGCGATAAAGATGGAACAAGAGAAAGGAGAAAAAAGATGAGATTTGACGATGATGATGCAAGTCTGCTGCAGAGTCGGAAGAGAGGGAAAAACTGAGTGGGTGAGGGGACGGTGAGGCAAGGGATTGGACGGGAGGATCACGGTCGAGGTCGAGATTGATTGATTGATGAGGTGCCGAAAGCTGTCGAAGTGCTGCAGCTTCCAGGTCTCAGGCAGCGACGACCCCTGGGAGATGGGTACCTACCTGTACCTCTAAAGGTACGTGCAGGTACCGGTACGCGGGGCGGGGGTAGCTGTCAGGTGGCACGGCCAGCGGCAACGGGCATCTGCAGTGCGCATCTCATGGGGGAAGCTCGGGTGCCTGTAGGCGGTGCTTGCAGCTGATGGTGGAGGCGATTGTGACGAGTTCTAGGGGAGGATACAGGGGGACAAGGTATTGCTACCTGGAGGAGATGGTGACGAGTTGTGGGTCGGTGA